TAATAATATTATTATCTATAATATATATTTAAGTATAGGGGTTAAGTATATTTAAATTAACTACTAGAAAGGATATAAAACCTCCTTTCCTCTAAGGTCTACTTAGTTTCTTATATAAGTAGTGATCCTATTCTAGCTACTATATTCCCTAGTAGCTTTCTTAGGTAAGCTACCTATAACCTTAGTAGCTAGTATATCTAGGGCTACCCTAGCTGCTAGCGGTGTAGGTGGCTTATTACTCTAAGCTTTACCCTTTACTACTACTCCTAACTACTAGGTTGCTTCTTTAGGTCTCCTTTCTTACTAGGTTATGATAATAATTAGTAGATAAATAAGGAATATATAAGGGTAGTTAGCTTATAGTAAAAAAGGGGAAGTAAGATTAAAAGAAAGAAGGTTAGACCTACTATAAAGGAACTATAAATAGTAGGTACCTCTATATTTAATAAAATAATATAAGGAATATATAGGAAATCTTTAGGGATAAAGATTAAAGGAGGGGAGGTATTATATTATAACCTAGCTACCTAAAGAAGTAACCTAGGGTAGGTAGTGAAGACTAGTAGAAGTAAAAGACTAGAAGAACTATAGGTGAAGAGGATCACCCTAATTATATAGTAATCTAGGTAACTTAGATTATAGTAGTTATAGTGATTAGGACTAACTGATCACCTAGATTATATTAGGATATTATAATCTACTATCTATATAAGGAGATAAGTAGACCTTAGAGGAAAGGAGGTTTTATATCCTTTCTAGTAGTTAATTTAAGTATACTTAACCCTTATACTTAAATATATATTATAGATAATAATATTATTATACTATTTAATTACCTTACTAAGCTACTAATAGGCCCTAACTATTCTAACCCTAATATAACCAAACCCTAAGTAATATATCCTAGTATTAGAATATTATACTTTTACTTATATAATAAACTTTATTATTTTAAAAAATAAAATAAATATAATATTTTAAAAATTAAACTTAATAAATTAATAATATTAGTAAAAAAGTAATAATTAATAGATAAATAAAAGATATATAAAAGTAAATAACCTATATTAAAAAGAAAAATAATAAAAGAAAGAGGATTAGACCTATTATAAAGGAATTATAAGGAAAAGGTATTTCTATATTTAATATAATTTAGGAAAAATAAGAATCTTTAAAGATAAAGATTAAAAAGGGGAGATATTATATTATAACCTAGCTATTTAAAAAGTAACTTAAAAGAAGTAATATAAAATATAATAGTAGAAAAAGATAATCTTTAGAGAAAATATATAAAAAGGTATTTAGATTATATAGTAATTTAGGTAAATTTAAGTTATTAGGATTATAGTAATTAGAGTAGCCTAATTACTTAGATTATAATATTATATTATAATCTCTAGTCTATATAAGGAAGTAAATAGCTTTTAAAGGATAGGAGGTTTTATATCCTCTTTAATAGTTAATTTAAATATATTTAATCTTTATATTTAAATATATATTATAGATAATAATATTATTATATTATTTAATTACCTTACTAAGTTACTAATAGGCTTTAACTATTCTAACTCTAATATAACCTAACCCTAAGTAATATATCCTAGTATTAGAATGTTATAGTGGTCTTATCTGGCGACTTCTAAGGAAGTCGCCTGTAGTTATGGCGACTTGTGTCCCGAGTCGCTCCGGTCGCTGGCGACTCCGGCGACTTACTGTTCTGAGCTTTGCCTGTTACTACTACTCCTGACCGCCTGGTCTCCCTGCCTGGCCCTGGCCCACGTCAGGTCGTGACATAATCCGCTAACGGCGCAGTGAAGATATGCGGCAGGCTGTGATAATCTACACTTAGTATATATATACCTCTGACATTAAAGCTATTTGTAGCGGCCTCGTATTTATATATAATTCATGCTCTTCAATTGTCTCCTCGGGATGCGATCCACTCCGCTCTCATTCCACTGCCAGACAACATCATTCGTGACGTTATGGATAACCTCAGAGAACATAATAGCTATCTCCTCTCACCCTGTGCTCTCGCGGATTCAGCTACCAATGATCAATCAAGCTCCATAGGGTCATTGGATGGTGGCAAGGGTGATAATAAACACATACTCACGCCCCTGCCTTAGGGAGAAGCAGGCTAAATGGGTATCAGGCTTCAACTTGATCTATCTAAAAAGGCCGGCTTTCTTCTATCAGGTGAGTGATAACCCATCAACTGTGCAGTGTGTATGTATGTATTGACAATTTGGTTTCTTCAGCCTCCGTATTCTTCGGTGTCCATATCGGATTCGTCTATTGGTTAGACGGAAGGGAAGTGTCATCGACACTATCTCAGGAGTGGTCCACCACAATCTCAAATATCATATCCTTATTGTTCGGCACGTTCCTTTTCGGCGGGATCAGCATTGCCTACGAACAAGTTCTTTCCAGAGAGGTTCATAGATAGTCTTTAAACGGAATTGAAGCTAAGAAGGCCGCAGGCGTCATCGCGAAACCATGGAATCTATTTTGGAGAGTCAAATACTGCCGTCGAACTCCATGCGCTTACATGGTGGCATCTTGCGCCGCTTTCATACCCCTTGCTCTTACATTTCCACCCGGCGCCTTGACTAACGCTCTCCGTAATATAGTGATGCTTCAGTTGGATAACGTGCCCACTATGAACATTAGCGATTATGGAAATGGTAGTACGGCGGATTTTCAAAAGCATTCCTTATATGAGATGAACGGCGACTTTAGCTTTATGTAGGGTCTATTGTTCCTCCTGCTTAGCGTAACATTGCTAATCGTGATCTAGGAGGAAGTTTCGCCCCAGACTTGACTCGATAGCGAGTCAAGTTCTATCATCAGGGGAGCCCGTTCAGCTGGAGTCTCCTTGTGGTAGCCCATGCGAATACAATATCTCATTAGAGGGACCTCGGTTCGACCGTACTGAGCGCGGCCGGGATGATGCCATCACGAAGCCATCAGGAAGTACTGCCCATTGTATGTATCAAAGGATATAATGCAATGGGGCAGAGAGCCGTATACTTTACACAACTCCTTCAAGATCAGTCGGAATTCGAAGTCGCACGTTTATGGCGAATGCGAGGTCAAAACGCTTGACAGTTCTGCTACACTTGCTACATACAACCTGCGGTTCGTCTACTCATAACGGCACGCGATCTATTACAAGAGAGTTCACCAATGAACGACGGTTTTGGCACGGTGACCATTGGGTTCAGGCGCAATTCTACTACTACTTCTATGATAATCCGGGGTTTATTCCTGGGGGTCCACGGTATCTGGACGATTTACGTTGGAATTTCACCCACGCCCAAGCATTCGTGATCAGTCGTGTGCTGTGCGTGCGTTGGAAGGCCAACTGTGGCTAAGTATATCAAAATTCCCTGGCAAGTCTTCTAATTTTAATGGCGAAGATAGTGCACGATGGCGACGGCATGGAAATGCCGCTAAAGTAGCCAGCAGCCTTTATATCGGCCTTGCAGAGCCAGGTACTCGTACACCCCGACTCACGCTTTCAGCAGACAGCATTAAGCAGTACCTGGAAGATATAGTTGTCTCGACCATATCTCTCAATTTGTCCACACACAATGGCGTCGTTGAGGCCAAAGTCGGCAGGCGAATGTACTCCTTTAGTGCTCGAGAATACTTTTGGGGCGGGTATGGGTCCAGTCTCGGCGCCGCGCTCGTCGCCTACTTCATGGCTTTCTACACGTACGAGCCAAGTGGATAACTTCCGGCTTGCCTCCTGTCTGACGGTTATATAGTGTTCAACCTTGGTGAGGATTAGCCAAGATATCACAATGTCAGTAGACCATGTTAACATTTATCTGTCAGGTATAAAATAAATAGTAGATACTATTGTATCTTATAGCATTAGGTCCAAGTCTTCTTTGCATAGAAACTATCGGCATGGTAGTCCAAAATTGCTCTTCGCCCCTTTTTCCGGCCTGATGATGGCAAGTCGTGCGTAATGCAAGCGCCTGTTGTATCCGTGCGAACAGTTGTTGGTGAAAATAGAGGCCGGGGTGAAATTGGCCTTTGCCTCGGTGTCGGCTGTGCAACTTGCCACGTCGCCAAAAGGCCTTTGGTAGGAGCATCGCGTGTATTGATGGGTTCTACTTCGAGGACTATAAGACAACGTCAAACCCTGACAATGTATCATGGCACCTTCGAGCAGCGCATTACGCGGGGCGTAAAAGAGAATAAAGTGGGCGTTGACCTACGCAATACTAATTCATTCATAAAACGCCCGAAGCACCGTGATGCCTTTGTTAGGGCAAACATAGTCCATAAGTGGCGCTAGGGGCTCTTCGAAATTCGATAGTAGCTCTGCATTGAGTGCCCCCGAGAATAGATGACTCACTGTTCCTAAGAGATCCATGGATCCATGACAATTTCATAGGGGGTAGTATCCATAAAGACCCTATGCCGTATCTTTCCGTTGAACCCTCGGAGCCTTGTCGTGCATGCTACCAATAGAATTGCGACCTTGTATGAGTGGGAAGTTTCCGTTGGCCTCGACCGTGGCCAGAAGGCCAGCCATTGCCAAAAAGATTCGAAAAGACGCTTTTTATCCAAATTCGATAAGCATACGCGAGTACCTTGCTTACATAGTCCATGCTAGCTATGACCCAGCCTTGAGTGGCCGTAACGAACGATGGAACGGAATGTGGTCGTCTCAAGACAGCTACTATAGCAACCGCAGATAAGGGGCTCGCTACGATGGTCCGAGAGGGACGCGGAGAGGAAAGAGTTCGAAGACTTAGTTGCAAGATAGACGGGTGGCTTAGAGGAGACGAGGCTTCGGCTGCAGTGGATTAAGGTTATCGGAGAGGTAAGGCTTGGCCCCAGTAGGCTTGTATGTTGAGGAAATAAGGTAATATAATTAGGCAGTCTTGCTGGCCGACTATGGATGTAAAAACTAAAGGAAACTAGGGCTCATAGCATAGTAGGTGCAGGCGATGCCACGGGCTTGTATGAGTTTGACACTGTTATGCCGTGAGGCCAAAGTATTGCATAGCCAAGCCAATTGCCAAAACACCGAATTTAAACCCTAGACCCGCAAACGTCGCCTGCACGAAATTGCTCGGGCAATACGCGTCGCCGGCCGCGCCGAGGAGATTGACCATCACCATCCACTTCCCGACGAAGCTAACGAAGCTCAGCGTTGCGAAGAACCAGAAAATGAAAATGGTAAGCCACCTCTTCCACCGCTTCGTGCTGTAGAATTTCCGCGTAAAGTAGCGGCTGAGCGGAAACATTTCCTTGCGTTCGAGTTCCTTTTGCTCCTTGTTCAGCTGCCACTCTGGCTCCCTCTGTCGCCGCTGGTGCCGTATTTTCCATATCAACTCCCAGATGGCCCAGATGGGTGTGAGGACGACGAAGGTTACGAGAGCCAAGAGGATTATGAGGCTGATGCTGGCGATTTCTGCGAGTTGGCCTGATCGAAAGATGATGGCCAAGATGAAGAAGAGCTGGAAGGTCAGGCTGAAAACCCCACCAATTGCGTAGGCGAGTGCCCAAGGCCCCAGGGCGAGAAGAAGCCCGAGAGGTACGAGGCCGAAGTTGGTAGTGAGGAGGGAGGGATTAATGGCGCTAACCAGAGCAAGTTGGGGAAGGGCGACAAGGAGCCCTAGGATCGTGATGACGGCATCTGTAACCAGCACTTGAAATCCCTCGCCCCTGCTGATATACCATCCGGCAGCAGCCGAAATCAACGGCGCGGCAGTCGGCTGAAGCAGCTCCATCGCGGTGATGGTGAGAGCCGAGTTCCGGTCGAAGCTGCTCTTTTGCAGCACAAACGTCGTGATGATGGGCTCCCTAGGCCCGAGCATAGTCGAACGAGAAGCATAAGCCAACTGAAGCTGGACGTGAGATATCTGTTGCTCAGCCACATCCTGAGCGCCGTGTGGCCGAACTCGATCAAGATGGAAATCGCCACTCCTACAAAGGACCATGTCTTGCTGTTGCACTCGTGCGAACCGCTGTAGATGAAGAGAGAGGTCGGGATGGAATTGGCCTTCGCGACGGTGTCCGCCGTGCAGCTGGCTACGTCTCCAAAGGGCTTTTGATAAGAGCATCGTGTGTATTGGTGGGTGCTATTCCAAGGACCCAGACAATGTCAGACGTCGGGACTGTACTCAGGCACTTTTACAGCTGTGCAGTACTCGGATGGGGACTGACTTACGCAATATCAATCCATTCATAAAGCGCCGGAAGCGCCGTGACGCCTTTGCTTGGGCACATGTAGTCCATAAGTGGCGCCAAGGACTCTTCCAAAATCTGGTCCGATGGTTAGGAACAGTCAAGATCGGCTTACAATTTCGAGCCAGATAGAGAAATGGCGCTTACAGGCATGAAGCTCGGCGCGGGCTCGTCGCCGATCTGGAACGTAAAATCAAGCGGGCTCTCCGGTCCATAGAGTCGCGCGATTGCCGCCTCCGGGTATGGGCTAAAATAAGCCTTCCAACCATCCCACATCAACATCTGGACTCCATCGGGTGCGCGGGGCTCCTGTGTAAATATCTCGTGGTAGCTGCAGTTTATAAACTGGTTCGCCATCTGCCATCGTTCCCAAGGTAAGACTGCCCATTTTGAGACTTCGAGGCCGTCGATGTATGCGCTGCAGTTTGTCTTGAATGTCTGGTTGAATCACGCGTTAGTTATGCAATACTGGATAGCCGTTCTGTCTTTGTTGCTCTTGTCAAGGGATCAATTAACTCACAGTTTCCAAAAGATCTTTTACAATCGCACAGGTGGTCGTATCAGAACCTGATGCCGTATCGTTCCTTCGGACCCTCGGAGCCGAGGCACCAACAGAATTGCGACCTTGTACAAGCGGAATGTTGGCGTTGGCCTCAACCGTGACCAAAAGGCCGACAGTTGCCAGCAAGATTCGAAAAGACGTGCCCATGGCTTCGGGAGCAGCGTAGATGTCGAGGCACCCTGAGTGCTTGATGAAAGAGTGACCCTCGACTCCATCTGCCAGTCCTGCTTGGCGGCGCTGCCAAGAATCTTATACCTGGTTGAACAACCATTTCCCACACTCGAGGTTCACTTCATTCATCTCTTGTCTGATTTGACCGTGGGATAGCATACCGTACCATCACGTCCAAGGTCTATTAAAATATGTAGGTACGAAATGCAAGCTGCCTCGACCTGTCGAGAACCCTGGCCAGGCTCAGTCTAATGGCTTCAGCTGGACAATAATCCAACGCCACCTTACCAGAGCGCGCGCTGTGGCTCACGCGATGGGCCCAGGCGCCGCAAACGAAATCTCTCGAAGCCGACAGGGATTCCCCTGAAATCCGCAATCAGGGCTGAGTTTAATTATGTGACCAAAGGTATGTGGGTGGAGGTGACATTTCATCCCCGAACCATTGGTTGTCCCTGGCGGCAGGCATGGTGCGGAGAGGAAAATCAAGATGCTGCTGCAAAGACAAAACGAGTCTATCACATTGTGAATCAGCTGCTTTGACTGCATGGGTGGAACAAACCGTGCCATCACACAGCAGGCGCAGGGCATGGGTGAAGTCAAGGACGTTAGCAAGAATCGAGTAGAGATACCGGGGCGGACAGACAAAATGCGTCTACCAAGGTAGACCGCGCAGAGTTCTAGAATCTGGAAATTCACTCCGAAGGCTACTCGGAAGGTTCGCATATAGATGGGTAGTGAGGGTGATATCATGTTGACGGTTATTTCCTATCCATCTCGGCCTTTAAGCACCACTCTCGGGCATGTATGTGCCTTGGCTGCCGCTTTGCCCCTGGCATTAGCTCGGGTGGCGACTGAACATTTCTCACGCTTTTTATATTAGCGCGTAGAATATCAACCCTGCATGACCCCGAAAGTCCAAGATGCGTTTTCCTGTCATTTCCTGGTCCAACCTATTCTACATGAACCATTCAAGCGACTGCCACAGTGGGATGAGCCGCGAGCAGCCACAACTCCAGTACATAATACCTCGGTAGATTGGTCACTCGCTGCGCCTCTCCTCCGCGTTGTTAACCGTCTGTCAGACACATGCGAACCACCCTCTTTTGGGGCATGCCCCTACGTGTAGCTTTCAACAACAACATGGGACATTGAACACGCTAGCATCTTAGCCACCTCGAGCTTCATTTTCGCAACAGAATCATCAGAAATAATCTTAACTGTATCGTATCTGCACTAATTACTCCCCGCGCGCGAGCAGACGAAACTCCGGCAGACCCAGGTTCACGAATTTCAACCAGCCATCAAATGATCAAATGTCCGTATTCCCGAAGTACCCCAAATCATCTTCCAGCCACCTTGGTCAACTCGACTCTCTGGCCTGAAAAAAAGAAAAAAAAAGAAATGGTCCCCATATGACTTGACCTAACTTCCATGGCTCTCGCCGTTTCACGGCCATCACCCTAAATCAACGGCGCTGAGTTCACTTGCCTGGACGGAAGCTAGACGGTGTTGCGACTTGCCGTGTAATTCGACGAGACTGGAGGGACGTTGGAGACCCCTTTCTGGAACACTCAGTTCCTGTGGGTATCTGCGTGAGGTCTGAGCCTGATCGCAATGTTCCTTTCCGTGATCGATCAGGGCTTTGAGTGTCATTGGGAAACCGCTAATGGCAACTTGGTAGTCCCCGCCGAAATCAGCATCGATCCGCACGAGGATGTTGAGATCCTTGTTCGACACTTGGATGACCACGTTGTCTACTTTGAAAGGCGTGCCATCTTCTGCGGGGTGAGGCCGAGTAAGATTGACGGGGTGTCCCGCAACCACGAACATCTTGGTAAGCTCCATGAGTTCTCTAAAGCCCGCCTCATCGGGGGCAAGTCGACAATAGATCCAGCCGCGAAAAATACAACGCCGTTCTTCCACTCCATGTAGTCCATCTCAAAGAAGAAGAGGCTTGCTCGCAGTCGAGCGGCCAGACACTCTATCATCCCGTTCGGACTGCGACCGACCATGGTAGAGAGTGTGGTGGAATACAGCTTCCTCCCCGCGTCCTTGTGAAAGTAGTATTGCTCTGCGATGGACTCCATTGCCGAGACGCTGCGGACGTCATCCAAGGAGGGTTGCTCAATGTCGCTCTTGAAGTCGACGTTTAGGCGTACGATTCGCTCCAAAATTCTTGCTTCGTGGTGGAAGTCCGCCCACACGCGCTCGCCGTCCATGGTGCTCAGAAGTGTCTTGAGGAGGTCGGCGAGCCACACTGGTTTGACATTCAATGCGGGTTGCCGATGTGGCCTGCTCGAGCGCCCGGAGCCTACCGAGAGAAGGACGTCGAAGTTAACGTCCTCCCCCAAATCGATTGAGGCTCTGACACCGCAAGTTTGATGGGGTTGTTGGCCGTCAGGGCCCCATCCCAACATTCGTACCCGTCGTGCAGGGCCTGCTCGAAGAACATGGGCGCGGCGGATGTGCAACGGGCACTATCGTATGTACACAAATACATGCATTAGCATCACCCCCATTCCTAGTGTCAAGGTGCAACGAGTGCGAGAAAAATCAACTTACGCATCAGAAATGCTCAACTCCGAGTTGAGATACCTGTCTCTATCCCCGCGATGATAATTCGCAATGAGTTTCAATTGTTTGGATACCGTCGTTGTAACGGCGACGCGGCAAGCATTCTGAAGACCAAACAATATGTGATGATAGTCTGGCAAGAAGGCGGTGCGAAGAGCAGACTCGAGGGGCTCCGTGTGATAGATGGAACTTCGAACCATCCTCGCGAGCCATCCAAACAATTTGTCTTTTGTTAGCGTCTTCCTCACGAACCCGGTGGCGGTAAAGTCGCGGAAGCGGGTAATGCATTCCTCGGTAGTTCGGTCCTGGACACCTAACCCTAGCGCAATGATGCCGCCTGCGCTGGTACCGACCATGAGGTCGAAGAAGCGTCCCAACGGGATCCCCAGCCCAGTGTGCTCCTCGAGCTTCCGCAGCACAACAAGCTCGACGATCCCGCGGACACCGCCACCATCCAGCGATAGCACTCGTATCCCAGCTAGGCTTGGCTTAACCCGCATCCTATGAGGCCACCAGTCACCCGTTGCGGCGCATATGACGCAGCTCCGGTGAATATATAGCCCGGGGTATTCGCTCCCCTTGGGCGTGTCGTCGAAATCCTGGACACACACGGCGCAAATCGCGTGGTTGCATGGGAGACGATACTCGGGCCGGCCGAAGAAGCAAGCGTAGCAAATGCTGGAGCCTTGGGCAAAATCATCTTGTGTCTCACCCCGGCGTGTCGCCGAAGGAAGGCCGCCGGCCCGGCGAAGGCTGGTTAGGCTTTTCCTGTGCGCCTTGGCGGCGTAGTACCTCCACTCTCGCCGGCCCATGGGCGCTTCCTTATCAATCCTGAGCATGGTGCTGTGGACGGCCGCTTCGATGGCGTCGAGAAAGGCTTTGCAATCAAAGTCATCGCTCACGAATAGGCCCCCGGCTTGCATAATTAGTCCTTGATCGTTCTGGTGTCCCAGGGCATGCCCCATCCTCGTGTTGACGCATCTGTCGCCGTCCTCGTTGATAAAGGCGCAGGGGGCGTTGGTGTCCAGGAACTGTGAAACGGCCCTATGAAAAGATTGCGAACCTCTTCGCTAAATACTACAGTGGGGAGCAGAGGCGCCGCTGAGTCTACTTCTGAGAGAGAAGAACTAACGTGTTAGACCAGGGGCACGTCACGTAGGCCGCAATTTCACCGGGATCGCCCACTCACCATTCTTGTCTTGGTAAATCGTGTGCCTCAGCAAGCTCGATGCTATGACTTGACTTGTGGCACGGAACCTTTTCTCCTTGTCCTCACCCCAAAGGCACTGGCCAATGATTTCCGAAAAGTGCTGCTCGGTGGAGCTGGGGATGGACAACTTGCGCCTACACCGGTTGAAATCAAAGGGTTCGCGCCGACCGGTGGTGAGGTGGGTGAAAGCAGAGTCTACGACGACGAGAAGCTGCCTGCTCTCAAACCTCATCCAAGACTCGGCCCTCGCCAGCTGCACACGACGTGAGTCGGCGCGGATGCGGTGGTTGAGCTTTGCCGTCTGTTCAACCACCATTTCAGCCGATCCAAGCGCCCGGTAGCCCTCGAGTGGGACATAATGGACGTAAACGCTCGAGTAGTGCAACCCAAAGAGCTCCTTCATACTGTGACTCCCGTGCTGTACAAACAATACGTGGGTTAGGATATATCCAGTGAAGAGCGACACGCGCTGCAAGCAAGAAGTTGAAACGCGACGCTGAACTAACCTTTTCCGCAAATTCGCCCATCCTGACGCTCTCTCTAATCTCAGGCTCGATGGCTGAGAAGAAACTATTCGTGGCGGCTTCGGGGTCCCCGAGAGCCAGTCTGGCTGCACCACGGTTGGAGCGTTGATGATGATGATTAGTGCCGGGAGAGCGTTGTGGTTGATTGTGTGTTGCGCCCCGGCAAAAGACCATTCAAGCAAGAGCCGCGCTGACTCGGCCCAAGCTTTCGGGTTCCTCGTCACGTAGCAGACCACGTCGCTGAATATGTAGAGAAATCGGGGATAAAGGCTCTGGACTGCCATCCGCCGGTCCACTTGTCTCCCTTCTTTCATGACAATGGGGTAGTATTTCCCGAATTTCATCCTGGACCAATGTTAACAACCTCGGCAATCCAACAAAAAGAAGACATAGAAGAAAAAGAGGGAGGAGGTCAGCGAAAGCGGCGTAGGTTGCAGGCCCGAGCAGAGGGGCCCGAGATGGTCTGGCCAGCTTCAGTCAAGGGGCCGGTCAGTCCTTACCATTGCTCCTGATGCGTAGCTGATATGGGTGCAGCTCCAAACATTCCCTCGCAGTCTGCATAAAGATAGGTGACTCGGTCCCGAAGGTAGCAGGGTCGAGGTAGAGATTCACCTCCCCGGTGGTTGGCTGAACAACGCCGGGGCCGGAATCGGCGCCCGGCACAGGGGCCTCGAGGGGTTGAGGGTGGTCGGCTCGTTTAGAATGGTAAATCAGTGAGCGAACTATGCCAGTGGCAGCAGCGCGCAACGTTAGTTCACGTATCGCAAGGGGGTTCTTTGCCGCGCATGATCTTCGATGACCGTTGACGTACCCAACGTTGATTTTCCAGCTCCGGTATCCCCAACAAAAGACACGATGCTGGGGAATTGGCGTCTCGGGCTGTTCTCGGCGAACTCGAGGGAACCCGTCGCCAACTCGATAAGCCTTGGGGTTTCGACAATGGATGTCATGCGATCACCTCGATACGTCATCTGCGTATCCAACCCAAACCATTTCGCAACCTCGTCGTCCCTGAACCGGTCCGCCATGGGCCTGGATCCCGATAGTTTGCCAGAGATCCAGTTCCACGCCTGCTCGGCCTTTCGGTTCATGACTTTGAGGTGCGTGGGGTGTCGGGCCAAGTGTTTCTTCAAGAAGCATCCCTCGCAGAACTTTGCGCCACAGGAACACATGGTGTTCCCGACCGCCTCCTCGCATTTTTCACAAAGATTGTCCATACCCTCGCGCTTCTGCTCTTTGCCGTCGGAGATGGGGTAGATGGGGGTCGAGTGTAGGAATTCGGGATTCGCAACAAGGTGTGTTGGGGGGTCTTGAAGCGAGCTGACCAGCCAGCGTGTGAGTTGTTTCTCGGCAAGTCTGACGGCACCTATTGAACGGGGGCGGGCTTTTGGTTGTTTTTAATAAAGTACTGGTCCCCCCTCGTTTGAAAGTGAACCTGCGTATAGAGTGCTCGGTCTTTGCTCCTTAAGCCGGCTCCCTCCCCAAAAGCAAGGCGAGTTCATCGTGGTATTCTGACCCATAGATCCTGTACTACCTGACCCGGTGCGGCTGCCCAAGGAGAAGGGGGAAGATACCCCGGTAAGGCTGTAGTAGGAGCCAATGAAGCTACACGATCTTGCCAATATCTATGCAGGATCATACTTAGCGTCTACTTGTGACACACACGGCCGCCAGTCACGTAATTATTAATAGCGTTGAGGGGTCTCCTTCGTCGAGCTTGTGCACACAATCGCGCCTTCGCTCGCAATGTCTTAGTACGTGCATGTATCCTGGTGCCACGCCTGCTGCCTGCTCTCCGTGCCCACATGGCACCAGGCTGCGGTATGAGTTTGGAACAAGATGGTTCGAGGAGAGGGCAGGCTGTCCACATCGCATCGCATGCGCCACGAAAAGGCTATGCCGGATGCAGCTGATACCACGACGGCAACTGAGGCCGCCCATGTCGGTTCTCTTCGCCTGACAAGAGCGCATGGCACTATGGTATCAAACCAAAAGGACAAGGGAATGCTCCCTAGTCATTTAGCATCTTCATACTCTTATATCCCACGTCAATATAAGATGGCTTGCTTATAAAAGAAAGGATGGTTGTGCGTCGAATTGCAAAGTTCCAACTTGAAACTCAACCTCGGTCTCAATGAGCAGTCACAAGGGAAGGGGAGAAGAAAGCAAGCAGAAAAATAGACTAGACAAATGTTAATGATTCCAACAGCGGAACTCGGATGAAATTGGCAAAGATTATTTGATTAGGAACCTCTATAAGGTACATGTAGAGCCTGACGTCCACAACTCACGGGTCGGTCTGCTCCAGTGCCATAACTTGGGGCAATATCGTGCGCATGATTTTGCCGCGGGTCTTGTACTTTTTCCCAATGGCCGCATCCAGCCAAAAGCTAGATTCTCGCTGGGCTCCGCGAAAGTTGTAGATGTAGAGCTCTCGCAACTGATCGGGCTTGATGGACGAGTCTTTGACCACGTTGCCGTGGCTATCGCGAAACATGAGGCCCAGTTCACCCTCCCTAAAGGCTTCTTCGTCGAGAATCAGAAGCCAGGCTACGGCGCACGCGGCATCGCACCGGATGGCATCCTCGTAGTCGTCCTCGTCAGCCTCGCCGTGCATGGTTGCGAAATCGTAAATTTCGCGGATAGCGTCGCTCGTGAACCCCCGGCGTGCGCGCGGCGCGGCAAGCTCGGGCAGGACCTTGTAGACGCGCTGCCAGTCGTCGCCGAAATCAAACAGCTCGGCATCGTCCAGCACGACCCACCACTTGTCCTCGGGATTCAGCTCCACGCCTTCGCACGGGTCCTGGTTGAGCCATTCCTCCAGCTTCGCGTCATCGTCGGACCCGCCGCCGTAGTGTGTGCGGAGAAAGTAGTAGTCGTCGGGAGGGCCCGACTTCCAGAGCTTCTGGGCGATCCTGCGAAGCTTTGCGGCCTCAGAGGTGCGAGGATTGTGTCAATCTCTTTTGGCTCGGAGCCTGGACGTCAGAAGCCGGGGGCCTTCCATGGAAACCTCGGGCTCGAGGACATCCTCGTCGATGAATTTCTCGACCAGCCGGCGGCGTTGATCGTCGTCATCGTCGGTGCAGGCCCAGTCCCAATTGCGCTATACGAGGGGAGCAGGTTATAATTAGTACAGTGGCCATTGTCCTCGATCAATGTCTTGCTTTTGGTGCAGCATGATCATTTCGATGTTCACACCAATGACGCGCCAGACCTACAACTAGATACTGCTCGACTGGGAGAGACCCCCAAGGAGGAGTGGCTTCTTCCATGACGGGGCTCGATTCCGTGGGAAATCGGGTGCTGGGCCACGAATCGATCAGGAGTCCACGCCGCTGGACGATGAGATCGATGATGAAGACACTTGAGAAGAAGCACAAAGCTCTTAGAAGACACGACACAGATTCCCCTCCTTGCTCAATCACGATCAATCCTCCAGATCCTTCAACGCCAGGCGATGAGTAAGCTTGAGTCTCGGCGTGTTTTCGTGTTTTTGAGTCACGATTGGCGACGCGAGGTCTGCGCCACACCGAGCCTACCATTAAAAAATAAATAAGCACAGAAAAATACCACCACGTTTCTAGGTGTCATCGATAGATGTTTTGATGGTACGTCGAGGTCCTGCCTCTCTTCCGCCACATTTTGACCGGTAGTCCGGAATTGTAGAGGGTTAATCCGTTTAGATTTCACAGAAAGGGCGACTTATTGGGATATAGATTCGTTTTATTTATGTGTGGTAGCATGAGAATTTTACCGATACCCCACGGTCATCGGGGATTACTCCGTACATATTCCTTTACGTGAAGCGAGGCAAGACTCCGTCATGTCGGCGCTCGCTATCTTCCTCGGCGAACAAAGAACATCGATAGGAACGAAAGGCAGCCTCCTCACATGGAGAGTCCTCCTCGAAAGACATGAGCAGTCTCGGGGACACAAGTCACCAATTGGTCAGGACGACACAGTGGATGAAGTCCATTAACTCATGCACAAGTGACAGCAACTTTGTATTAGACGGATCCTCCTTATCTCGACCCAGGTCAAATATCCGTGCCAGGCACGCTGAGCAAAGGGGAAAAGAAAACAAGCCCCACCTTCAAGTCAGCCATTATCAAGATCAGCTTTGAAGAGAGTTCCTTTTTTTTTTCCTTTTTCAACTGCTTTCCATATGTTGCCAGGATATCAGTCTTCTTCGTGTTTGAGCCCTCTCCGAAATCCAGTGTTGGTGCTGAGAGTGTTGTGCGGGTTGGGGGATCAGGATCGAGTTCTTCGTGTCGATCCGGAATGAACTCGCCGCAACCCCGAGAACAGTTCTAGTTGGCCTTCTAGGCCCAATCGAAACTTTATGTTGGCCTTGCGTTTCCCATGCACTGCGTAATATCATCAAGTTTCGAGATGGAACATGGTATTCAGCCTTTTACACGTAATAGGTACGGCATGGCTGTGGTGTGTAAGCCGTGGTGTGTAGGCCGTGGTGTGTTTGAGAGGGGTCTTGAGCTTATTCCACGCTCGCTCTAGTCGAGTGGGGGTCCCGAGAGCTTGAGGGAGGAGGGGAGCTACAATTGACAGCGCCCTGTCTACTCGGCCAGCTGCTTAGTACTTCTTAGAAGAATCGCCAAGTCCAGTTATCAGGATGTCCATAGCCGCCTTTCGACTTTGCGCTTTACATGTAGACTTTGAGAAGCAAGATATTATCTAACTAAGAGATTCCCCGTGTTTGAAGATGAGCTGCCTGTACGATAACAACTGCAAGCACGGACGCTAATCGGACGATAACTGAGACAGTCGGCTGAGCGCGGTGCTGAGTTTGGTAATGTTTCACAGTACGGGGACATTCTAGATCCCGACGAACTTCGCCTCCTCTTCAACGGCCTGCCTTCCCGCACCAAGTGAATGTTCGGCCGCACTGGAGACTAGTATCCTCAGGTACTCGTTGAAAACTTTTCCACCCAAGGACTGCGGGTCGGATCTGCGGGTAGAGGAGAAGAAGTACGATTCGAGCCAAAGTACGAGAAAGCCTACAATTTCCATTCTCCGTCAGCTACTACGGATGAGATCTCGTCTAAGACATCCCCACTGGCGGATCCTCACCGATAGCTAGCCAACCCGGCTTTTTCATGACTGGGGGCGGCGGGCCGCACCACGGCTGATGGGTTCTGCCACACGTATTTCATCATTGACGTCTTGTGTCTTGCGTCGATACCAAACCATCAGATCAGACAGCATGACTATAACGAGCATGGACCATAGCCTAACCCACGTCACGCAGTCCCACTCTCTACGATCCTACGCTGGGGGCGGCATCTGGTGCGGATCGGACCCGCCAGCTATCCGGCGTGGGGGCTGGGGGCGGCGGGTGGGGGCAGCAGGCGTAAAACTTGGCAACGGCCTAAACGAGGCACCAGGTACCATCTCGGAGCCAGAGATGTCGCGAGATTTAAGCTTTTTTAACGATTCAGGCACTCCCGAGAGTTAGTCTCCGCCTAGGGCCAACGCAAGCCGTTTCCCGTCGACATCCCACTGATGCCCTCGTATACGCTCGATGTAACGAGCTAGTGAGTGGAGAGCGTACACGTACACCCCGACTGCAGCATGGAAAATACTCGCTGCGGTACTTGTTGCGATACTAGCTGTTGTCATGGTATCCTTTCCTCCTCGTCACCTTATTTTCTTGTCACGCAGGTAAAGCTTCCATGCTGCCGTTCCAACGCCCGCAAGTGTCACAAACTCTAATGGAGAGAGTTGAGCCCCCTTGCCCGTACCGCCATGGCGTTGCCAGGAACGGGCGAGCGATCACCCCTGACAGCGGGAGCTACGGGTTCGGAGCTACGGATGGAGGCGTAATAGACTTTCCTGGTGGGCCGCGTCCAGTCTGCAACACATCAGGACGGCTTTTCCCCAGGTGGTCCCCGAGAACGATCCTATAAAGGGAGGCACGAGCTTCAACATCTCCATCTCTTTTATCCTCATTCCAGCAGGCACAACAATCTCCTTGACAACACCACTCTCGTTTTCTTTTTACTCGTGAACAAAGGAGACCTTGATCTTTCTTTTCCTCTCGCTCTTCTCACATTTCAAGATGCACGCAAAGCTGTTGTTGGCCCTCTTGGCCACGAGCCCTGTGGCTTTCGCTGGCGTCCTCCCACGACAGGCAGAGACCCTTTCCTCCACCACTTCGGACATTTCGTCTACCACATCCGAGTCTGGTACCATCAGCTCCAGCACTGTCGAGAGCACCGCCACCGAATCTGGCACCTCCACCGAATCCGGCACTGAGATCGAATCTAGCACTGAGTCTAGCAGTGTGACTGAATCCATCACGGCCACCGAATCCGACACCGTGGTCGTGACCGTCACCCCCACCTCTGAGGCTGAGACTAGTTCTTCCTCGGAGCCTTCGTCGACAGACACCGCCGTTAGCTCTTCCGAAAGTGCCTCGGAGACTGTGACAGTCACCGCATCCTCGTCCGACATTGAGACCACCACAGTCACGCCTACTTCGTCTGAATCGGAGTCTGCTTCCGAGACTGCTACGCTCACCGAATCCGAATCAGAGTCCGCCTCAGAGACCGTTACGCTTACTGAGTCCGAGTCCGAGTCTGCTTCGGAGACCGTTGTCCCTACCTCGTCTGAATCGGAGTCTGCTTCGGAGACCACCACCCTTACCGTCATCTCTTCAGAGACTACCACTGATGAAGGCACCACCACTTCGGCGTCGTCGTCGGATATCATTCCAATCATCATCACTACCTCGTCGGAAACCGAGTCGGAATCGGCTACCGTGACTTTGACCTCTGTCGAGTCCGAGACGGCCACCGAGACGGCCACCGAGAGCACCTCGACTTCGTCGGAAGCCGAGTCTACCACAATCACTTTCACATCCACTGAGTCTGAGACCGAGACCGAGACGGCTACCGAGAGCACCTCGACTTCGTCGGAAGCCGAGTCTACCACAATCACCCTCACATCCACCGAGTCTGAGACCGAGACCGAGACGGCCACTGAGAGCACCTCGACTTCGTCCGAAGCCGAATCTACCACAATCACCATCACGTCCACCGAGTCCGAGACTACCTCCTCTGCGCCGGAAACCACCACCACTTCATCCTCAATCCCGCCCGAGACGACCACGATCACCGAAACGTCCACCCAGTCCATCTCCCGCACCACCTCGAGCTCCACGACCACCCCACCCACCACCATCACCTCGACCGTCACACCTCTCCCGCCCGTGATCGAGACCGTGACCGTCGTGACGACCATCACCGCTTCCCCGGTGCTGAGCCCACCACCGTGACGCTGACCATCACCACCACACGCACCGCCTCTCGCACCTCCACTTCGACCCCGGCTCCCACCACCACCATCACCTCGACCGCCACGCCCCTCCCGCCCGTAATCGAGACCGTGACCGTCGTGACGACCATCACCGCTTCCCCGGTGCTGAGCCCACCACCGTGACGCTGACCATCACGACCACACGTACCGCCTCTCGCACCTCCACTTCCACCCCGGCTCCCACCACCACCGTCATCATCACCCCGACCGTCACCAGCACCTCGACGGTGAGGCCCCCGACCCAGGCCCCGCCCTCGGACATTGTGACCAAGACCATCACCTTCAACCCCACCACCCCCACCACTGTGACCGTCATCGTGTGCCCGACCGCCACCAGCACCGCCGAGCCCCTTCCTCCTTACTGGGTCCTTACCGCCTTCACCCGAACCTGCAACAGCGCTGATACTCTCTGCAACTACTCCTTCGGCATCCAGACCCACAACGACGCCCAGGAAGACGGCCAGTGCAACTACAGCATCGTCACGAACCAGGGTGTTCCCGCCAGCCGTCAGACCTTTGGCGGTGTCACCTGCGAGGGTGGGTTCGTCATCGGATCCGCCTGGAGCGATCAGTTTGGTGAGGCCAGGGGATACACCGTCATCAACGTCGCCAGCAGCAATGCCGTCGTCTACGCTCCTTACGCTGACCAGGACGTGGTGAACGGCGTCGCCGTTTCCCTGACCAGAGCTACACTCCTACTTTTGTTTAGACCTAGGGGGATAATCACGAGTAATACTCACCACGCTTAGTACTTTTCCTTTGTTGTGTTTTGGCGTTTGTTTGATTCCGTTACCATACTCTTTGTAATAATGGCTGGGATATTACATTCCCCGGGTTAGTCTTTCCACATCTTAATAAAGCCTTTGTTTTGGCGCATCGTTTATAAAATCGTTGGCTTGGTAGGAGGCCCGCATTCCACCTTTGCCTCTGTTTCTTTGGTCTCTTCATTCAGACTAGTTGTTCATGTTGGAGCTTCTAAAAGCCTCGTCTTTACCCGTCCCGGATGACATGTATGCTTTGATCTCTAGCGTCCAATGTAAGTGACAAGGAGACGCGGCCCTCCCACACCAATTGTTCTCGTGTCGATTGGCGCGCTACTCGACATCAATCCGGCCACTATCCGCGCCTCTACACTCCCCTAGCTAACCCGATTCAATCCAAGGAAGAGAATCTGCCAAACTCATCCAAACTCGGCCCTCCGGCCCCCGCCCGGTTTTCACGCCAAGTGAAATCACCACGGTTCCGTGCTTTTACCCAGGGCTGGATGATGGTGGTCTACTCTATACGTCGGAATGAGTGACGCAGCGAGGCGACGACCATCCCCGGGTTCAAGAAGAATACCAGAGCCGCCCGCCTCCTCCGTTGAGCCTCCTCGTCCATCCCCATTATTGCCGATTACTGATGCCGACCGACGACGATATAGTGGCTGGTGCTGTCAGGCCTAAACTGGTGCATTGAACCGCAATATTGTCCCGATGGACCGGCATAAGATGGGACACGTCCCGACCTGTCAAATGCGGGAGTTTAATCAAAAATGGCCGTTTGGGGTCGATCGGCAAGAGATCCGGCATTTATTTTGTTACCAAGTCCCCAGAACCAGCTGTTACACCAGACAAAATCAATTCGCTACCGAGAAATGGAAGAAAGCAGGCGTCCCTTTTTCATCCTGAGCAGGCGCACCAATCATCGCATCGAGATTCCGTCGTTTGGAGATGTTGTTCACGAAGCTAGAGATATGCAAAGCTTGGATGAGAGAGCCTTCTCGTAGACCAAGTATATAATAGTCTCCAACTTTCCCATACATTCCAGTCAAGTCCGTCAAGTTTGGCAAGTCAGTTCAATTCCATTGTTTTTGCTGCCCAAATCTCCATTCCATAGCTTTCCTATCTAGTTTCTTCAAGAGCTTGCACCGAAGAATGCCTAAATTTTCAACTCTTTTCGCCACGACAGCATTTCTTGCCGTCTGGTGGCCAAGTCTAGTGCTTGCTGCGAGTTCGGCCGGGTGCGGAAAAGCCCCAACCATCATCAGCCAGCAATATACAACCACGATCAATGGAAAACAGCGGGAATACATTGTCAGGGTCCCTGAAAATTACGACAGCGGTACTCCGCATCGCCTGATCTTCACCTGGCATCAACTCGGCGGAAGCGCCACCAAGATTGTCAACGGAGAGGACCCCAACCAGGGGGCGCCCTGCCCTTTATGGTTTACTCCCGCACGCCAACGAAAGCGCCATCTTTGTGGTGCCCAACGGGCTTAACGCGGGTTGGGGCAACCAGGGCGGCGAAGATGTCGCCTTTTTCGATGCCATGGTCAAAGTGATCGAAGAGGACCTCTGCGTCGACACCAGTCTCCGCTTCTCCACGGGCTTCAGCTACGGCGGCGCCATGTCTTATGCGCTCGCGTGTGCCCGTCCCGACGAGATCCGTGCCGTCGCCGTCATCTCCGGGGCTCTGCTGAGCGGCTGCGAGGGGGAACCCAGCCGGTGGCCTTTTACGGCCAACACGGAACCTCGGACTCGGTTCTCCCAGTCAGCAGCGGTCGCCAGCTCCGCGACAGATTCGTCAAGAATAATGGGTGCGAGCCGGCCGCAGAACCGCAGCCGGCCGGTGGCTCATCCACCAAAATCTCGTATCAAGGATGTGCTGAAGGTTATCCGCTAACTTGGGTGATTCACAATGGAGACCATAATCCTTCGCAGACAGACAGCGGTTCATCTACGCCCTTTGCCCCTGGAAATACTTGGGAGTTTTTCTCCCAGTTTGAAGCCGAATAGAAAGATGCTTGTTATGTATTTCGATGGGAATCTGAATAAAAAAAAGGTTCGCTATGCAAAGTGCTTTACCCATTTTTGGGTTGTTTCGGGGACGATTCCATGTCCTTCTCAAGGTGACTTTTTCCATGTCGAGGGCAAAGCTTTAGTTGTAAAGCGAGATACGACGTCTCTCCAGACGCCCAGAAGTAATCCCTCAAAAGCCAACGAAGCAGAGTCGGCACCACACCTTCCAAGTCTTCCACAACATGATGGTGCGGCGGGGCAGTGGCCTCCCGAGTACCTTGCTCCTCTATCCGCCTTCCGCGGCTGTGCAAGCCCAAACAAGAACAAAGAAAAACAATGCGGTTTACCAACGTACTCCTACACGCCCAGCACACGTTGGGCCGGGTGTATCCTCCTCCATGTATTATTTCCGCCAGTCTGGGCAACATGGATCAACCTGGAATCGGACGAATGGATGATGGCGGCGAAACAGCCTCACTCGGTGCTCAAAGTTCCAGACACATGATTATTCCCACCGGTGCTAAGGGCGCCGGTAATCTCTCGCTTTAACCAACAGTTTCCGCCCTCGCGCTGCAGCCACACACCAAGGTCTGCATTAAACTGTACCCCGACGCAGGATACGCCGAGATCCTCGGCCTGGTCGTTGAGGGCCGCGCACGACCTCAAGCAATCCTGCAACGTGTAGGCGATGAGGACAGTGATGTCCTTGCCGCCGGCCGGGCTCGGGTTATCGATGCCGCACCGCAAGTTGAACCTGTATTGCTTCGATTTGGTATTGATCGCCAGCTGCGCGGAGTCGAGATTCGGGCAGTCCAGTTGGAGGCTGCCGTCGGTGGCGGGGGCGCGATGAAGCCCGTTGCCGACGGGGCCGACGTCGACGATGTCTCGCTGGCGTTGGGGACTTGGTCGTGGCGTTCGGCTCGTCCTCTCCGTTGCTATCTCCGCCGGTGGATCCCTCTCCCGTCGACCCACCCCCATTTACGTCGTTGGATAGTTGTGCATCTGCAAGGCCGCGTCTGTAAGACATGTTAGCTTCGTCCGGCTGCCATGATCTTTCTTAGGAGTGGGGAGAAAGAAAATTAAAGAGCCGCGCGGGTGTATCGGGTCAAATACGTACTCGTATGCCTTTTTGACTGCGATGGAGCCCCCAACGCCGCCGCCGACCGCGCCGCCAATGACGGCAATGATGAGAATGACGACAACGATAAAGGTAGACCGCCGTAAGCCCAAAATCTTCTTGGGGTTGTCGGGGGTGTCGGAGTAGACTGGAGACGGAGTCGCGTAGGTTATGTAGCCTTGGTTCGGATCATATTTGCCTTCCCAAGCGACCTGCGGGAGTGCTTCGGGCAGATGCTCTCCCGTCTGGGCTACTTGCAACCCATCCATCTCTTCAATCCGAGATGATGGACAGCCAGAGATGTAGTCGATAGATTAGGGAGACGAGGAAGGCATCCTCTTTCGCGAATCGGGGAGGGGCAGAATGAATCTCTCTCGAACAAGCACGGAGAGAAACGGGAAGAGCCGAGGAAGGAGATGGAAGAAGGGGGCCAAGGCGAATTTTGAATGCCCTACTGGGCTGACACGGTTTCTCGAGCCCCTGTCAGCGGAAATGAGACGAAATGTCTGGCGATCAATTTCATCGTGGCGGAGCGCGCTCCAGAACCGTGCAGAGGGGTACAACGGACCGCCCAAATCTCCAGCAAAAAGAAATATGGCAGGGGACCAAGCCGCAGGAGTGAGGCTTATGGGAATAGAACCAATAAGCGTGAAATTCTGGGCGCTTTTCATGCAACAACGGTAGTATCGACCCCCAGATTGGGAATGGTTGAGTCCTGCGGTCCGCGATCCACAACTGAACTGCCTCGTTTTCTGTCAAAGCCGAGCCAAGCGCAAGCGAGTTCCAGACGCCGTTCATGCCTGATTTCTCGTTTCGCGAACCCTACCAAACGGGGGACGTCCTCGAGTCCTTCCACTGCGCTGGGAATTCTTTGCTTCGTGCGGCACAGGCTTCTTGTCTGCCAAGCGCGATAAGGATATTGATCCCTAGGTGTAGATATCGATCCTTCATTTACCGCAGGGTTCACCACGTGTGCAAGAAAAAGAAAAGAAAGAGAAAATCGTGCGACAGTTCACTCCAAACTACAATCCAGAAAATACGGCAGCAAATTTGTCAATTGAAGAAGCATTGGTTCCCGTCGAGATTGCCCTGCTTTCCTACCCCTCCCTCATTGTATTCCAAGCTCACAAGTGTCTCGCAGGATTGTGTTCTTCGCAGAAGTCAGGTCCACCGTAGAGTCAAGAGACGGCGACTCGGTGAATTGCTATTGAATATGCCCAACTTCCCGTCAAGCCATCGTGTAGACTGCCTGCCCGGCGATATGGCGCGCGCCTTAGTCGTTGCAGCACGAACCGTCGCTGTTGCCGCACGTATGCTGGCCAATAGGGCACCACCCAACCCAGCAGCGCGCCGAGATCCCGGCATCCTGATCGCACTTGGCCCAGTGGAGGCCCATCTCGGCCGCGCCAAGGAGGAACGGAGTGCAACCGCCAATGCAATCGGCGGGCGAATTCCAGCTGGCGCCGCCAATTTGAAAGTATCTTCCAGCGCAGTTCCAGTTGTCCCAGCGGGCTGTTCACGACGTCGTAGTGAGCATTGCACGCCTAGCGAAGAAGGGAGAGCGCCATAGCGCGGACGAGGACAGAATGCTACTTACGGTTGGCCCTCAGGTCGTTGATACACTGACGCAGGGCATCAGCGTTGCCGAATCCGGACGGTCAGGCCAGGTTTTGACGGCCATGGTGCGGAAGTCACCTGCGGCAACGCTAGCAGCCTCCGCCTCGGTGATGGATGACCCATCGCGAGCGACTGTGGCAGCCTGGGCGCCGGCGAGGAAGGAAATGATGAAGGTCTTGATATTCATTGTGGAAAAGAATGCAGCAGGTAGCTGAAAGAAGAGGAGAAGAGGTGATGATGGGATGGGAGATGAGAAACCAAGGGAGAAAACAAGGCAGGCATAGCTCCCTTTTATGCTCGGAGGGCAGCGGTCAACTCTTCCCTCATCGTCCTTGATCGCGATGTCCGTCTCGTCCTAGACCAAGCAACTTACGTAGGGGCTCTTCATAAACGCAAGATGGATCGTGAGCCGAAGGATCAAGCTGCAGTCTACATATTGCTGAGACGGCATGTTGCCGAATAGATCGAGTCCATACGGCCTTTCTCGTACGCTCATGGTCATCCTTTTCCACATGTAAGTGATGATGAACCTTGGGATCGCACAGCCGTTCGTCGTCGTCAGACAATAGATGAATGTTCATCCTCCAACAATCTACAACCTCCCGCTCTGCTCCTCTAAACTCGGAACCGGACTCAAGTCATAGTTCCCCTTAGCGTATTCATGTCATGGCGGAGCTGCCAATGGAGCTACGCCGCAGTTGGAATTGAAGTGGATCCCCAGATGTTTCCAATGCTGGCCCATATTCTACCGCACCGATGATGGCTCGATAGATCTAGATATAATATCTAGGGCTACTATCATCACCTATTTTTATCACCATGCTATCGACGGCGGCCGCATTTCGCAACGAGGGATCTTTTGAAGGTCGTTAGGATATTACTAGAATCCATGCTCGAGGGCGCAAGATGTTCAATGCCTTGCTTTCGTTGATTACATGTCCGCAACGTGGACGCTTAGGTGTTTGCCAAGCATCTCTGCCGCGTTGCTGATGCAAGATGCTCCCCACAATTCGGGGGCCTTTATTTAGCTGCGAGTAGATAAAACGTGCAAGGCAGATTTTCTAGTAGACGGGGTGCAATCAGTCCCTTGCATGGGGCCCCCTCTTCTTACGATGAACTCACTTGCGCCGAGATTCTCATCCTCGTTTTCCATCGCAAACCCGCAGAACATGCCACCACAATGTTCTTGACCTTGTCGACGGGGTCTGTGTTAGGTTTGCTCACGTCTGGGCCTAGAAGAAGTAGATACTAGAGAGGGATCCTGGATGCTTTACGCTGTATTAGTGATCAAGTTTAGAAGAAGCTACCTGTTACACAGCCCAATGATTTATGATTTCACGCGTCGTTTTCTCTCCGTCAAGGCGGGTTTCCGAGGACGACGATAAAGCTCTCGAACTGCGCCGCTTCCTTCAATGAAAACAACTTGAAATCTGGAAAGATCTGGAGAGTGGTCGGTGCCGAGGGAGAGAGGAGACGAGGAGACGGCTCTACTCGAGCGTGGGCCGGTCCCGAAACGGCTCGTTCCCGAGACCCGAGGCGGCCAGGCCCTACACAAACGAGCGAGTCGGCGCCGAGCGGCGTTCAGGTGCTACGTTGCACAAAACTCGGGCAAGCCCGCGCTAAACCTGATTTAGGGCACAAATCGACCCCCACCTGGCGCAGCTCCGGGTAGACAACCTCTATTAGTGCTTTCATTTTCTACTTCTTGACTGAGCCACTTGCAAATTGCCTGTGAAGAGCATATGTCGCTAAAGCGGCAGATTCGCCTGCAGCAGCGCAAAGAATGAAGCTGAGCGGTAGAAGGACTCAGTTAATGTCGATTTACTCTGGACGCACGCGGGATGAACGTTTGTGTCACATACGCGTAATATTCTAAACCTGAGATTATTGATCATTTGTGAACACGTTCAGCGCGCCAACAATCAGCGTGTGTGAGGCGGTGTTGTCAACCTGAGATCAAAAACATGATGCAGGAGGTGATCGATCGGCCCGTGATTTTAGCCCGGCAAGTGTGAACTTGAAGAAGTGGATCTTGAAAAACATCTAATATTTCCAAGAATAGACTTGGCAAATTGAAGCTGTCTAACTAGCTGTTATTGAAGATTGCCCCAATTGTCCCATGGGTCATTTGAACGCCCCCGGTTTCTCCCAAAGCCTGGGATTCTTTGTTCCTCACCACTGACGCAGCCAGCTCTGCACCTGTTAACATTGAAGATGTCTTCTTGATGCCGCAAGTTGGATGGACGTGGTCTCCTCCCCCGCTGCTGGTGGCCTCATTGATAATGTCAGCGCTCATACATTCGCTGCGCCCCTTTGTCCCCTTGCGCGGAGAGTGGGAGGTGATGCGCAAACACGATGACACTTCATGGAAAGGGAAGCTTCCGATTCGGTGGGAAAATGCTCATCTAAGATTATCCGCTTCGTAAACGACGACTAACGCGACACCTAAACATAAAAAGGTCAATGTAATCTAAAGGGAGTTCCTCGTCGTTTAGACCAAGCCAGATCCTCTTATACTATATCACGCATTACACTAGACATACATCTTCTTAAATTCGTACAGAAAAAGTCTCTTCTTTAGTGAAATCCTCAAGCTCGCGGCGGAAGATGTGACATTGTAGGGTTAGGGTTAGTAATAGTGCCACGCAGGCAAAGGGAGGCGCCTCCAGCTTGGTCCTCTCCACCGCAACCTCCACCACTTATCAATCGTCAATGCCTCGGTAGGTCTGCGATATCCTTTCAGAAGCGTAGGGTTGGAGAAAGTGTACATGTGTTTAGGATAGCGAGCGTCAAACGACGACGCCCAAAGTCACAGGATTCCGGCAACCAAACCCCCACGAAAATATTCGCAGCGGTGATACCCTTTGCTCCCCTCTGAGAGGATCAAGTGGCTCCGGTGGTTCCGTACACGAAGCGCCGGTCGTGACAAAGGCAAACCTTTTGACACCACCTCCACGGCGACAATGCTGGCCAAGATCTAATAGTGGATGCCTACCTCTACCAGACATATCCATTGCTTTCCGGCCACCGGGATCCCGAAATAGCCCAGTTCAACCCAGTATCGGATGGAGCCTCGCGCTTATGAGCCAGTTGCCAAACGAAAGGGGAACCTTTGTATCGCGGAAATGACCACCACTCCGTACGAGGTGCCACCATGTATATCGCGGGGCTGTTCTAGATGAAAGGTGCTATGGCATTGCCGTCCCGCGGCGCCAAGACACGGAAGCCCCGTTGGAAACCACATCTCCTGCTGTAGCCCGTGTATAGCGTGGCTGTGTTGGGGTCTTTAGTGATTACGGCGTTTCCGGGTCGGGTTGTTATTGGATGGCAAGGAAACAGACAAAAGGCCATTCTTGATCATGGAACACAACCCCAGGTCCTGTTGTTCACTCATCATGGTTGATTATTGCCGTCGTCCAGGTGGAATTTCTCCCCCTCAAAGCGGACCCTCACGAACTTTGCTCTCTGTTGGGCGTCATCCAGATCCAGCAACGACCCCAAGGCGCTCTGCACCTCGGGATTCGGGGCGAGCATGCTCCCTATCGCAGAGCCCTTGAGGACGGGGACCTGAAGCCTGTGCGTGGTGATGACGGTAAAGAGGAAGAAGAAGAAAGACATTGCAATCATGGCCGCTAGAAAAGTGAGCCAGGGCCACCGCACCTGGACAAACGTCTCATCCTTCCAGGCGGTTCCCGCGATGGGCAAAGCATCAGACGACCGGATACTAGCCAAGGAGAAAAGGAAGAAAAGGGGGTTAGCACACGTCCACTCTTCATCTAGTGTTCTCTGCTGCCGACGTGGGAATCAGAAACTTACTGGTTGGACATGCTCGTTGCTAAGCCGTCGTACAGGCTATTGAGCCGCTCGAACTGCGTTTCGGCGTCATCGAGGGCATCATCCTGACCCCACAAGGCAGCCCGTAGGTAAAACGACGAGCCCGCGGTGGCGATGGCGCTGTCGGACTGGAGGCCGTTCCAGATGAGCTGAGAGTACATGATGACGTTGAGATTCGTCGACGTGCCCAGGAAGGATGGGGTGCCGAATTCGAAATCATCCTCGCCCTCCGAATCGCTGCGGGGTTCGCAAATGCCAGTGTTCTCGGAACCGGGCCCTCTGGGTCGTCGCAGAATAGCTGGTTATCGCTGCTTCCATAAGGAAAGTGGCAGCTAAGTCGAGGAGCCGTCGCGATCTCCGCCGACGCGGGCGTGGTCGAGGACGACGTGACGTTGGTCACAGAGATGCCCTGCTCCATGGCTGTCTCGTATTCGTTGACGCACAGGTATAGAAGCAGCTCGTAGGCCCGAAACCGCCACGCGTCCTCTCGGGTCCGGTCGTATCCCGGGTACGAGACGTTGCCCGCGGCGCTGGTGATGATGAAGAAATCCGCCAAGACGGCGTAGTTGATGGCGTCCCCCTCAAAGGCGAGCGTGCGGTCGGCGCCGTGGGCGAGGAAAGCGTACGAGAGCGGTGTGACGAGGTGGACTCCGTTGGGGAGCGAGGCGTTGTACGATGTTGTGCCGTTGGGGACCACGCCCGAGGCGGCCCCGATGGTTCAGTCGGTGTCGTTGGAGTTGGGTAATTGTGACACGCTGAGCCGAGAGCTCACATCGGCTAATCTAGAGCATACGGCGAGCGACCTATACCGGGGAAAGTGCACTTCGAAGTAGGACACGTCGCCAGCATGTGGGCCGGGACATGGTCGACAAAGGAGGAAGTCCCATCCGTGATGGCCTTGGTGATGCCGGCGGCGTTGGCTTCGTCCCATGTTTGCGCCCGCGTGATGCCGAGTCGGTCCACCGCGTCGCCCACCTGCCGGCTCGGGTAGTCGAGGACCTGCTGGGTGATGGGGTAGGTGAGCGCGCTCAGGATGCACAGCGCGCCGGCTACGGAGACGGGATGCTTCACGTGGAACCGCGCGACGAGCGAGCACGAGCCCCAGAACCCGCGGCTGGCGAGGTCGAGGACGTGGAAGTCGTGGAGCGGCCGCGTCTTGTTCCAGTACATGTTCCACTTCCACTGGCCAATCGCCTCGTACAGTGGCAGCATCATGCCGGCGGTCGAGATGGTCGTCATCAAGGCCACCAGCGTGTTGAGAGTCAGCTGTAGCGGCCACTCGGGCGGCGTCTGTTGGTCGTAGCGCCAGAGCAAAACGATGATGCCTGCATGCGGCCAAAGGGATCAGCAACGAGGCTCGGGGCCTTGTACGCGTGAATAACCTCCCACCCCACGATGCGAATGCTTACCAATAAAGGCGGCAAGACTCACTGCGAAGTTTGCCGCTTCTAGGGACCAATTCCATCGCGTATACCACCGTTTTCGCCTCCGCGACGCCTGCGACGCCGTTCCTTTGCCGTTGGGAGCATCTTCCAAGCCAAGCATACCTACGCTCGACACCTCGTGCTGGTCGTTTTCGAAGACGTAGACGCCGCCATAGGACGAGGAGTTGTTGGTCTTGTATTCGTAGTCTTCTTCGATTTGGGGCGAGTGTGCGGGCCGCTGGTACCCCATCTGTGGTATGGAAACGGCAGACACCATTGTCGTCGATTTAAAAACTGACAGTCACGTCACGACCCGGTACTATAGCTTGGTGCGGGAGGCGGCAGGCCATGATACGTGCGTGGTGGCAGCAGAGCATTTATACAATCGGGATCGGCAAAGCGGCATGGGTGCCTGCCCGACGTCAATCCCTCCCAACCTTAAAATTAAAGGGTGGAAGGATTGCAGACGGAGATTTTGGTGAAATCGGGTGTCGAGCGAGAGTGTGATTGGCGAGATGCCCAATTCAGCACGCACACATTTAGGTGTGGGTCGTAACCATGTCTCCTTTTGTGGGAAAAGAAAATCAAGGGGGACGACACGACCCAAGATAGGACAGGAAGGCGGAAGAGGGGAGGGACGAGAGGAGGGACGAGAGGAGGGACGAGAGGGCGGTGGGTACCCGTCGAGGACCACCCTCCTGCATCTTTTGGCTCGAGGTCTCTTATACCGACGAGGGCTAAGAGATTCTCTATGTCGCCTCCGCGATGTCATCTCCGTCTCACATCTGGTGTTAAAATAGACATCACAACTCTATTCTCGAGCTTATCGTCGGAGGTGGGCGCGTCCGGTTTAAGCAGAGTGGCCGAGGAGGGGCGGGACCTGCTCCGAACGTGGCGCTTCTCCCGGTGCTTGGACTTGGTCTCCTTGCATCTCTGCTTCAAAGGGAAGACAACATGCAACGTCCTACATTACTTGCAGAAGCCAAAAACATTTGGGGAGGGTGGTTGGCCAAGACGGGACGGGACGGCGCGATTGACGGGGGCACGATCGAACAGCACGCACAACAACCTCATTCATTATAATAGGAGGAAAAGAATCAGAGAAAAGAAGAATTGAAGGTCTTTGCAGCTATTAGCGGTTTGAACCCCCACTCGACAAGGTAGGACCCGCTGATCAGCAGATCCTGAATCCTGCGCGTTTTAGTTCCGAGGCCCTTTCAAAGTAAGGTAGTGTAGCGGGAGTGAATGCTCCGACTAGTCATCACCGACTCGTCGGGTGGAAGCTCTCTTTCAAACAGCTTGAATGTGTTTTCATTATTATTATTACTTGGGAAAGAAGGAGAGAAAAAAATGTTCCGTGGCTAAAGAGCAGCAGCCACGAATTGAAGATAACTAAAGCCCCCGATCGAGGAAGGACGAAATGTAGGTTCCGTTGACCGGAATTGCGATCCACGGCCTACACCAGCTTGGTCCCATAGAAAGCGAAAACAGTCGCCGGCGCATCGGCCTGTTTTACATGTCCCTCTATATTCGTCCTCAAGAGCTGTCCACTGCCTGGACCGCAAGGTCAATGGGCACGAGCGAGTCGTCGCCGGTCGCGTTTTCGGGCCCGAGGGCAATAGTCCATACTTCGTACTCGGGGAGCTCGTAGGTGGTGGTGTAAAGGTGTGTCCAGGGCTCGGCATCGGGATCGCACACCTGCGTATACTCGGTCCACGACATGCCCTCCATGTCCGTGCCGGCCTGGCCCCAAACCGTGTGCCCCACGAAGTCGCATGCCGGGGCGCTACACTGGAGAGTCTTGCCGGAGGGCGGCTCGCAAGTCACCATCTGCCAGTTGGCGGTTCCCGGCGTACACGCCGCGAGCAGAGCAAAGGTCTGGCCTACCGAATACGTCGCGCAGGTATAGACGGCCGGGCCAGGGCGAAGGTAACCGGTCTCTGCTTCGTAGGAGAAAGAGGCTTCCGGTAAATACGACGTGTTGAAGGCGAGGTAAAATCCGTTCGCGTTTCGAGTCTGCAGTGATTTACCGGCCGTGGGGCCACTTGTCGAGGCGAGTTTAAAGCTAGCAGGCACAGTCGGTGCCGCCGAGGGAGGGCCGCTGCTCTCCGCCGTCTCCGTCGCGGTCTCCGTCTCTGTGGCCAGCGTTACAGGATCGGTGGGGATATCGGTGGGGACATCCGTGAGTGAGGGGACGGGGTCTCCGTATCACTCTCCGTCGCGCTCTCGGTCTCGCTCTCCGTCGAGCTCTCGGTCTCACTCTCCGTCGCACTCTCCGTCACGGTCTCCGTCGCACTCTCCGTCACGGTCTCCGTCGCACTCTCTGTCGCGATCTCCGTCGCGGTCTCCGCCTCGCTCTCCGTCACACTCTCCGTGTCGGTCTCTGTCGCTGTCTCCGTCTCCGTCTCCGTGGCGACTGTTACGGTGTCAGTGGGGATATCGGTAGGGAGATCCGTGAGCGAGGGAGACGGGGTCTCGGTGTCATCGGGGATCGACGAGGCGGTTTCTTCTTCTTCGGCGAACGAGGATGTCGGGGCAGCCGTCTCGCTTTCTGAAATGGATGGAATGTCGGAGACGGTGGGGAGGTCTACGCTGGGGATCGAGCTCGGGATGGTGGTCTCAGTCTCGGCCTCGATACTTGTTACAAGGGATGGCTCGGAAGAGACTGATTAAGGAGTTAGTTGGTGTTGGACGCTTCAGCAAGACTCATGGGCCTTTGTTTCCCGACAATGTCCAACTTACGTGTTGTCGTGCGGGCCCGGCAATGCCCGGCACTGGCGACCTCAAGGCCATAGAGGCCAGCGACGAGAAGCGCAAGGGTCCGCGACTTCATTGAAACGAGTGAGAAGAGGGGTGGAAGTTGAAGGATTGTTACACCGAAATGGAAACAGAAAAAGAAGAAAAAAAAGGAGCGTGGGGAGGAAGAGTGGGTAGAAAAAGAGAGAAAAGCTGGCAAACTGGGACACTCCCACGCCTTCCGATGGATATATAAGGGACCGATATATCTCCTGCGGTAAGTAGAGGACGGGTGGGGATTATTCCAACGCACCCACGGACAAGTGAGCCAGCCCTGCTTAGCTCGCTCGCAATCAACGAAACGTGCTTGAAAGATCCAATGGCATCCGAGTGATCAATCTCAAGATGGCTCTCCGTTGCCAGGTCCCGCTATGCCTCGTAGTAACTTGGTCGAGGCCCACTTTATATGCCGGGTGTGAAGAGCGGAAAGGGAACTAACCTAACTACATTGGAGATTCAGCTCGGTCACCCACAAGATACGGTACTGCACATCCCACTCAACTGTCTTGTCCGCCAGCGATGGTGTCTGTCTGTCCCTTCTTCTTTTCTTATTTTCCTTGTGAATTGTGATGCCGGATCTTTCAGTCCTTCTTCTCCCTCGTCCCATACGTTCAAGCACGAGTCGATGATTGCAGCCGAAGCACTCTTCGTTCCTGACCTCAGCCTGTTCAAGCTGGAGTTCCTGCATTCTGTTCCTGAGAGACTACCCTACCCACCTTTATTAGTTGTGAACTATTAGTTTGGAAGCGGGCCTAGCTCGACACTAGTTCGCCCCCTTTCTTTCCCAACCTTGTCACACCTTGCCGGGGGCAAGAGGGGCTATGCGACAGGACAATACTTGGAATCGATTGAATTATTGAGAAAAGAAAACGAATATTGAATCCGGTTCGGTGGAGGAATTGAATCCTCATATAATTTCTCGCAAGCACTGCCATCTGTTCAATCCAGTTCGGGAAAGCTCAGCAAACTAACGATGAGAAGGGGCAAACTGGATTCCGACGCGTCATGAAGAAAATACGGAACGGTTAGACAGGCATAAAAATGATAAATGAAATGAAATAACCTTTTCAAAAAAAGAAGAGGTAGCGGTATCTACAAACACACTTGCTAGGGCGTTGGGTTGGCTACTAGTGGAGTTACGCCCTGCCCGTTCGGCATCATCTCGTCGGACTTGGAACGAATTTCGGCATCGGCGGAATGTCTTGTTTAGTCCTAATTTCTTAACTGGTCAGATTTTGGCAGGATTGGGTGGCCCTAACAAAATTTTTGACGTGATTTGGCTGTCGTGCCCACTCCCACTTCATCCATCCCCGATCGATCACGAAAGAGGTGGCGGAGAATTTACCCCGCGCCTAGCCATCTTGGATCCTCCGAGCAAGTGATAGTATTCCTCCAATCTCTCAAAGGGCCAACTAGCAACTAAGACACTCGCCGACATGGACCACCCGGCCGTCGACCTCCTCAAGTCTCTCATGTCCATGGTGAGCACGAGCGAGCTGGAGCAGGACATTGGCATCTTTCTCGAGCGCCACCTCCAAGGGCTAGGCTACACCGTGGAGCGCATCGCCATCGCCCCGGGATCCACCCGCCACAATGTCTACGCGTACCTGGGCTCGTCTCGCCAGACGCGCATCCTGCTCACGGCCCACATGGACACGGTGCCTCCCCACATCCCGCTAACCGTGGACGGCGATGTTCTTCGAGGGCGGGGCTCGTCCGATGACCTGGGCCCGCTCGCCGCCCAGATCGTGGCCGCGGAGGAGCTGCGCAAGGAGGGCCAGGTCCGAGAAGAGGGCGGCGACATTGGGCTGCTCTTCGTGGTGGGTGAGGAAAACGGCGGCCACGGGATGATTGCGGCCAACGATATGGGGCTGACCTGGGAGTCTGGTATCTTTGCTGAGCCGACGGAAAACCGCCTGGCCAAGGGGCACAAGGGACAGGTTGCTTTCGAAATAATTGCCAACGGAATCGCCTGGTAAGGAATATCTCTGTTTTTTTGGTTTTTTTCCCCGCCATTCTACATATCCACGGCGTCAAGCTCGCGTCTCACCAACAACCTCTACCTGTAGCCACTCGGGATATCCCCACCTCGGCAGAAGCGCAACCTCTGCCCTTCTCGCCGTGCTCAACGACCTCGCCGCTGAAAAATGGCCAGAGTCGGACCTCCTCGGGCCATCCACCTTCAACATCGGAACCCTCGCGGGCGGGAGAAGCACAACATCGTGGCGCCGTCGGCCAAGGCGCTGTGCGAGGTGCGCATGGTATCCGACCTCCCGGGCATCAAGAAGAGGCTCGAGGAAATTGTGGCTCGGCACGAGAACGTGGAGCTCCAGTTTGTCTTTGAGTACCCAGAGGCTCTACTTGAGTGGGAGATTGAGGGCTTCGATGCGGCTCCCGTGGCCTTTGGGACAGACATACCGCGGTTGAGGGCAGAATACTGCGCAAACCGGGTCTTGTACGGACCGGGCTCGATCCTCGTGGCCCATGGGCCCGACGAGTTCATTCGGATCCCGGATTTGATTAGCAGCGTGTCGGGGTACAAGAGACTCGTCTTGCACTTTCTCCAGAAGAGTCAATAAGAGGTACTTTGAGAGTTCGATTCTCCCATCACCCAATCACATCAACGTTGTACCTGAACACTTCTGTGATACTTGATCGTAGACCCTAGTTCTCGATGCACTGGCTTATCTTGGGTTTCTTCTCACATATTTCCATCTTTATCTTTTTCGATCCTTGAAAATCGATTATATCATGAGCCTGTGAAATTATAACCAGAACCCATTCTGCTACTTCTGGTAAACCTTTTAGTAGGGTTAACCAAGCTGTAGGCAAGACTATACGGCATATGCTGAACCGGACTGGGAGATTTCTCGACTTGATGAAAATCCCTGTCGCCGTCGCTCGTGGCCCCCTGATCATAGAGTAGATGAGCCACCAGTTAGCGCCCTGCACGAAGTAATCAATGCCAGGGGGCAATATTGGTTTCTTGACTTTTAGCTCGTCCACATGCAAAGAGGGTTGCATGACAGTCTCCACTTGGCGTAGTGAAGCGTGAATATCGTTAGTTTGTTTTCAAGTTTCCCGTGGATCCACAGCGGCGAAGATTGCTTCTGTTCGAAAATGACTTTGTTATTGAATTTCCGTTCCAAAGTTAGTCCTGATAATATATGGTATGCGGCCTTGACCTGTTTTGAACGGGACAAATCGCACGAATCCTAAAGTTGTCGGCTCATATCTCGTGGCCTGGCCCTCGATTGGCAGGCCCTACGTGGCTTTCCCTCAAAGTCCAGTCGAGTGATGCTGGAGATATTGGTGACGTGAAAGGCTTGCCGCCACGGGCGGAGCATCTCTCCCGACCCCTGCTTTCAGCTGTGAGTCTTGGCCCAAAGGGGAAGATTTAGGGAATTGCGAATGTTTTGGAAACGCGGGAATTTTGATGGAGGACAAGGACTTGTGACGTCAAACGAACGTTGACTCTTGCATGACAACTTTGAGAGGAAAGTCCTCTGAGACGAGTACGTAAAATCGACTACATTTCACCGCATATGAATCCGTCAATCCTTTGTTGATTGTGCTTCTAAACTAGATCATGTTGAATCTTACGATTTCGATGATGCTTGCCGAACTCCACAATGGCCCAGGTGCGGAGTGTAGCACTCATCTCTATCGCACGTCTTCACAAAATCTCTTCAAAAGTACCCCGTCCTAGCCCTTAGTATACACTAGATGGAAAATGAGGTTCTGCTACCTATGAGTCCATTCTGGGCCACGGCTCTACCGTAAGCTGCTTCCAAATGCCCTTCCACCGTTCCACCTTTTTCTCATAGTTTTCCCTCGGGGCGAGCCTCGGATGGGGCCGAACAATCATGTTAAAAAGTCGGAAAGACCCCTGGGCGCGTACACGGTCCATTCACCATCCCGCTCCAGCCGGACGCCAATCATGGCGCTGGTCGTCATCCACGAGTCTATCCCGTCCTCCACGCTCTGGTGCACCGGACACGCGATGCCGAATCGCTCTTCGTACCAGAGGTGCACGCGGGCCTGGTTGCGAATCTCTACTTCGACGGAAATGTCGGCAAACAGCTTCCTCCCGCCACAATGACGGCATCCTCGGCTTCGTAAGAGAGGTCCGACGCGTCGTAAAAGACGAGATCGTAATCGTGGATCCCCGTTTCCGGCGGCAGCGACGAGACGTGGTTCCAGATGGTTTGCGAGACGGCCCCGGCGGCAACGTACCACTGGGGCAGGTTGAGCGTTGCTGCGCGCTTCAGCACCTCGACCAAGGTGGGGTTGGTCGAGAGGACCAGGCGGAGATGGTCAAGCTGGAGCCGGACGGGAAGCTGCGCTGGCTTCATTGTCGGATAGCGAGGCAATATCACGACGAAACGGCAGAGTGAAATCTAAAGGAAGTCTATTTCGATGCTCGTGATGAGGGTAGATGTGCTTATTGCTTGCTTATGAGTTCCGACCGGAAAATCATCCCAAAAATATCCATCATTGACTCAATCGGATCCTAGGAATGCCACGTGACTGGTTGGTGATTCTTCGACTTGCATCCAATCTTTTTCTCTCCTCTTAGTAGAGAAACTTGGCATTCTTCTAGCAGTGTCTTTGGCCAGTTATATCTATGGATCTTTATCTTTTTTGTAAATGGACCGCACAAAACCACAACTTTATACCGAACGATCCCCTTCATTCTACGATGCCTCTATGTTTCCTTGCTTGCTTCTGATACGGGGAGTGGAGTGAATACACTGGAACTCAGCACTAACACGTCGATAAGAAAACCTCTATGGTCTAGACTCTCGCAGCCTTTCCTTCTTTCCGTATAATCTTCCCAGTTCGCTACACGTCGGATTCGATCTCAGCCACAGTAGGTACTCGATCCAGCTTCAGGCCCAAAAGTCGGCAAGCAAGTGCACACACTCCCAAATCATCTGCACGTCGTCGCTCGAGACGCCGAGCCGCCGGATACCCCGGATATGCCAATGGGTTTCCTTTCTCAGGTTCTGAATCATGATGCTCGCCAGCACCGCAATCTCGGTGCCGAGGTCATCGAGGACCTGGCGGTCGCTCAGGTACAGGCCGTAGGTGATGTTGCGCGAGATCCACCCAAAGTCCTTGTGGTCGTTGAAGATGTCGAGCGTGCTGTCCGTGTTGCGCGTGTAGATTTTCCGCATCCAGCCCATCCCTCGCTCCAGGTTCGCCTCGTCGCACTGCCAACCCTCCCGCGTGAAGCTAAAGTCTTTGTCTTCCTGCCTCTCGTGCTGATTGATGGCCATGATGGCCTCGAGGGGCTTGCATACCCCGACAACGCACACGCATTTGACTAAAACTTCCCGGATTGATCGAATGAGAGCCTGTCGCTGCTCCGGCGTGGAAAACTGCGGTTGGGCGATGAGGTGCAGGTACAATTGGTCGCAGAGCTCGGGATCGTTTCCGCCGACCAGCGTGGCGGTGCAAAAGATGTACCAGTAGTCGGCGCCGATTCCGGAGTCGGCAAACCTCTTTTCAATGGTGGTGAACAACTCCGGCAACCCTGGTTTAGAGGAGCGGGCGTCGCTCGTTGTGGTGGAAGCCATTGCGAGTTTTGCTTGCCGTTGCTGTTGCTGTTGCTGTTGCGAGGCCGTGGTGGAATGGTTTCTTGCTGATGCAGGGAAAAATGGGTTTGGCGCCAACAATGCGGTGTAGTACCTCGCGTTGTCGAATTGGATGGCCTCTGTCTGGTCGAGTGCGCCCAACAAAATCCGGGACTCCGGCGGTAGTGCGGGGTTGTAGGCCTTTTTAGTCTTGGGGTCTTGGGGAGCAACATTGCTTCTCGGAGCTTATAAGAAAGGGGGCGAGAGTGGCGGATACGAATGGATGGATGGGATCAAGTGGAATCTCGTTCATTGCATCAACCATTCAGTGCGTGTCTGACGAAAGTGGGGTAATATCAGCTCTGGACGCGAGGGAATATAAGCTCTGATCAATGCTGACATTACCCACGCGTTCATGTGATGGGCATACGAAGTTGCAACGTGAGACCAAGGGGCTCGGGCAAGTATGCCGGCAAACGCATGGATGTGGCCCTTGTCAGCTTGAAATAAACAAATCCTTGCCAAAGACAAGGTTCAGACAAAGAAGAAAGGATTCTATACCACGATTTATCATTCTCGGGTCAGCATTTAATTTGCTCAACAAGCTAACCTAGTGATAAGAATGCATCACCAGTTGGATCCGTCTCCCCATCTCCTGGAGCAAGCACAAGGCAAGACCGTTTTGATCACGGGCTCCGCGCGTGGAATCGGGGCTGCAACCGCCACCGTCTTCAACAACCACGGGGCCAATGTTGTAGTTGTGGATTTGCCCAGTAGCGCAGAGGCGGCCAGCACGCTCATTGGAACCCTTAAGCATCCCCAAAAGCAACTTTTGTCCGGGCTAGCGTTACGGAATGGGGCCAACTGGTGCACGCTTTTGAGGTAGCCATTGCTCGGTTCGGCCAGGTGGACATTGTCGTGGCCAACGCAGGCATCATGGAAAGCAAGACCGTTCTTGATGTCGACGTGGACGAGAACGGCCGGCCGCTGGAATCAACCGAAGCACTTCGGGTTCTTGATGTCAACTTGAAGGGAACTCTTAACAGTACGTTTGTGGTTTCGTTGAGATTTATCAACGGAAAGTTGCTGAATCCACCAACCCCTTCCAGCGCTTAGATTAGGTCTGTTCTACCTCGGTAAGAATCCGCAAACGGCGAACGGGTCCAGGGGTTCCATCACTCTCGTAACCTCTACTTCTGGGTACTTTGGTACAACGGGGAACTCGGCCTACGTTGCGTCCAAGCATGGCGTTGTCGGGCTCTTGAGAGCGTCTCAGCTCAAGGCGGCCTCTCTCGGCGTGAGGGTGAATGGCATTGCGCCCTGCTACACCCCAACGTTTATAACCGCCGGGTTCGGAACCAGCATCACGGACGCTGGAATCGAAACCAACACGCCGGAACACGTAGGCCAGGCCATTGCCGTTGCTTCGTTGGACGAAACGAGGCGCGGTACTTGTTGTTTAGTAAGTAGTTGGAACGACTTTCAACCTTGGTCATTCGTTGTAAGATCTTGAAAGGCTAATGATTCGACGTGCGCAAAGGTTGCCGGCAAATATCTACGGGAGCTCGAATCCACGCAAAAACAGTTGATGGGCGACTGGCTCGGCCAAGACGCGGCCGACATGCTCGCCGAATTCGGGCGTTTCCTGGCGAATACCGGCGGATACCGCCTGCCCCCGAGCGTAGGGTAGTAGGCAAGGTAGGGTAGGGCTGGCTCGCTCTGCAGGGTGTCAACATGTCCTGTCCCTGCTGACATGTTAAAAAGTCGCCCTACAGGGCAAACCTTGTGAGGTAAGCAAGGGTGGACCTCGTTGCCCCGGGAAAATTATCGGACCTCGAATTTGTTGTGGTTTTGGCGCATGCAGGCATTGATCATGGTACTTGGAAGCCAACCATTCCCAGGCTGTCTATTTCTAGATGCTCTCATTTTCCCTGCTTGCGTGCTCAAGGGTACATTCCGGGCGGTTTCCGTAAAATACCTCCGAGGCTTCGTTTTGAGTGCTACGCCTGGACGCTGTTGAGTAGGTGTCATAAGGAACTGCCAGGAAATGTCGATAGCTTTAGAGATGTCGTGGTCCGAAACCAACTCGTTGAATAGCTCAAAGGAGGTCAATTAGTTGACCCAAGATGCTTGTCAGACTAAAAGTTGATAGGGAGCATTCCCTCCTGTTATACATTGAACATTGAAGTCCTAGGAGGCAACGAAAATCAGCCTATTTGACCAAAAGTAGCAGCCACACATTGGTCTAACAAGGCTTTAGAGACAGCACGCAAAGTCATGGTATATATAGGTCAATTCGATAAACCCCTGAAAAGACGTGTCCCATTATACGTAAACCCACGGGGCGAACCGCACTCGGCTTTCCTGCATTCACTCGCACCTCGCCGTTTACGCACTCTCCAACCGGAAAGAGGCTTGACGTTGACCGAAGCTATCATCCATCACATGCATATTGGCATGTCGGATGGACAAGGTATCCGGATCAACCAACCAAGCCGGGCCACAGGATACCGGAAATACGAATCACAAAGCGAAGCCACTAGAAGATGTTTGTGCGGCAAGAAAATGACAGCGCCATACCCCACCACCTTCAACCCCGGTCCCGTCCCCCTTCTTTTGATTCTTCTTACTCGGGAGAGACATAGGTAATGTACGCGAGCAGGTCCTGATTCTCAGAAAAGGCCACGTCCTTGAACGTAAACACTTGCCCACCAGGAAAAACGTAGTCTTGGACAATGGCGATGGGAATGTTGGCGACACGGTATCCGACGACCTCTCTCACCTGCTCGGTGATTTGCGAGATGACGGCGTTGATCCCCACAATGGAGTTTAGAACTTCATTCACCTCCGCAATCTCGGTCTTGCGGGACGTATCCCACTCCTCGGAGCGCTTATATTGGATCTGTCCCACGCTGTTGATGCCGAGATCGTACTTTTCCGTCATGACGCTGGCGATGACGTTGCCCTCGGCCTTTTTGCTAATCTTGGACAGCTTCACGTTGACGAATTTCTGCTGGTGGACCCGGATCTGCGTGCCCTGGAACCATACCTCGCACGTGTAGTAGGTGGCAATCTTGATCTGGCCCCCGTCGCCGCCCAAGCCGGCGACGTCGCTATCCTCGGCGCCGTACTCAAACTTGAGCACCATGGGCCCCGTTTCCGGCATGGTGATGTGCGTCGGCTGCTGTCCGGCAATCATCTGGACGGAGAACTTGGTCTTCAGCGTCAGCGAGTGCTCCAGCGTCGCCTTGACCTTGGGCTGGAACATTTGCTGCGAGACGTAGTTGCCGAGCTCCTTGCGGAAATAGCGGGCGAGCGTGTTCCTGTTGATGGCGATGACGCCGTCGTGGTCCTTGACGTGGTTCACCGTCGGCACCCAGTTCCAGAGAAAGGCTCGGTTCTCCGGAGGCAGCTTGTTGCCGTCGGCCGCGCACAGGTAGTTGAGGGTGGAAAGCTTCTTCTGCTCCACGGCCGTGGGCATGGGGCTCGTGCCCGGCCTCTCTACGTAGGGCGACACGCTCAGGTCGAGGCTCGTGAGCGTCATGGTGGGCGTGGGCACGTTCTTCTTGGTCTCCCGCTTGTACAATGTCGCGCCGAGCACCGGCTCGCCGAGGTCGCGCATCGCGGCGAAGTAGTCGTTCATAAAGTAGTTGCGAATCACCTCGTCGACAATGTCGGTCCTCCCGACAAACGTGTCGGCCGACATGAGCTTGGTCTGCGTGAGGTTGAAGAGCAGCTGCTGCACGCCGTACACGGTCGTGTCGAGGTTGCCAACCTTTTCCTGCGCCTCGCGGCTCAGAAACGTAAATGCCGCCGCGTCCTCGCCCTCGACGTTTCTCAGGCGCAGATCCACGTCGGCCCCCACGGACCAAGGGGCGTCAGCTTCGTCCTGGGATTTGCCCGTGTACTCGACCCGCATCGCAAACGGATTAAACTCGAGCTTGATCCATCGAAACTCGGAGCACAGCAGCTGGAACCGCACCTTGGACGCGTGCGAGTTGAGCGTCACGACGTCGGGCAAGTCGTCGTGGTTTGGCTTTCCCAGGCGCGCCTTGATCCCTACAGCAAACCCGGCCCGGAACACGGCGTTCAGGGCCGCTTCCTGCTCCGGCGTGCGGTCTTGGAGGGGGATTTCAAAGGGGTCGACGCCGCCGGCCAGCGCCTTGATCTTCTCGTAGGGGATGAGCTTGGGCGGTTCCGTAAAGGCCAGGGGGTTCCTTGCGTAGCAGAGGTAGATGGGCTTGTTCTCCTCATTGGTGTTGAGGCTCCCCAGGTAGTCGATCATGGTCGCATTGATGCTCTCTTGCGTAACCGCCACCACGTAGTCGTAGCCATATGTGCCCAGGTTCGACGGCGGCCTGGAAAGGGACGAAAACTTGAGCTGGCTCTTATCGTCCGCCTCTTGAGCAGGCCGGGTAGGGGTTGGGGCTGGGGGACGATGATTTCCCGGGTTACGGGAACGCGAAAATCGGCAGACATTTTTGCGGTTTGTAGTTTTCAATAATAGAGGATTGATATAGTTGGCCTTGATGGAGAAGAGGATAGAAAAAGAGTAGAAGAGGACTTGAAGCTCAATGGATATCGTTTGGTATTTTTGGCGATAGTCACATACAGTCATTGCTGCAAGGAAGACTTGGCTATTTATCTTGGGCCCCACGTTTGGTCTTCCCCTTTTTTCTTCGTTTTTATTTACTTGGAGTTATCAGGATATCCCAGACTGGTGGCATATGTGTGCGATAGACACCTTGACGTTTTCAGCCCAGGAAACCCAAGGAACAAGAGCGAGTTATCGTGTTGCGAGTCCCTAGTCCAATACCCTGCCGGCAGTTCTCTCACTGCTTCATGTGTTATCGGCTCAATTGTTTCCCGCGTGAAACCAATAGCATCACCGCGTGGCATGGTTTTTCTTTCTCACATTCTCTCCTTTTAAGCTGCGAACATGTGGTATGGTTCGGGTGGGGGCTGAGATGCAGGGAGGAATCCTGACGGAATCGCCGAGACCTGCATCGTGACTTTTTGGCCCCCTCTTCCTCGTCTTCCTTGTGCGCGCTCCGTTGATGGTTTTAGCGCTACTGTGGGGTGAACCGCCGTGGAATGCCTTGTGCATGTCGTCACAGAGCCAATACCCTAAATATTCCCCGAACCCTTGGTCGATTGGAGGTTGAACATGCTGGGCGTGACGCAATGGCATGTCTTTGGCAGCAATTCATTGACTCTCCGCCGCAATGGAACGCTCCAATGCATGCAGCACCGCACGCACCGCGCACGCCCAGCCGCAGACGGGCTGTGGCTTCTGGGCTGCCTGCGTGGTCGCGAAGAAGGCGTAAGCTTACCCACCCCTGCCCTGTCGAGTTTAAATACTGCAACGTCGCTTAACGGCGTGCCCCTCCCTTTCCCGACATCCGCCGCTCGTCATTGGCGCTCGCAGCTCTTCAGCTTAAGCTTATCGAGGGTGTTCCCAAGCTCCCAAAACTCGGGGTCGGGTTGGAAAGAGCAGTTGCAAAGAGTTGACTGGTTAGTTGCCAACCCTCCGGGATAGCCCCGCTGACCTCGTATCCGAAACTCAACCCTGAGAGACGGCCAAGACAACCTCCCAAACGACGCACTTGTCCGATTCTTTTCGTCTGTTTGTTTTTGACAAGTATTGGACTGTCATGAGCAGCCCCTTATCGGAAGAGAACCGGCATTTCTCGCCAGCATCCTGCCGAAAGCCGGGATATCTGGGAGCAGGGAAGGAATGGGTCGGGACAAGGTGGGGGAGGAGCTTAAAAGCACACGAAGACGGGGGTTGAGAATTGCTCGTGGCTATAAAAGCGCTTCTCATCACCCCACACAATAGCCGCGCAACTTGGCGGATAGAGGTGGAGCCAACGCGAATATTCCTTTTACTTTCTAGACTCTAGTCTTTAGCTACTCAAGCAAGTTCATTACAAGCACCGTTAGAATCTCGATCCCCTTCCCCCTCGTCTCCCCTCCCATCCCCACCTTTCCCTCTCACGATGGAGGTGTTTGTCGAGACGGAGCTGCTGGAGAACCGAAAGCACGCCGTGGTCATGGCCCCTGACGTAGCTTTCGAGGTTCTCCAAGCGCCCAACGGCGACGCCTTGTTCTTCTCCATCGGCACCGATGGCATCTTTACATGACACGCGAGGTCCGCTCTTCCTCCACCGGATGGACGAGGAGAAACCTCTCCGGCCCCTTGGCTGCGCGTCACCCCGGCGCAGCGATTAGGGCCAAATCCTTTGATCTGTCGCAGAACAAGCAGACGCTGGCGTACGACCTTGCCCTCGTCGTTACCGCGCAGGGCAACGACTACCTCTACCTCTCCCTCGGTAACAAGCACACCGAGGAGGAGTGGGAGAATGGCGTTGTCTGGGAGGCTGTCCCCTTTGACTCGACCGCCCACGCGGCGCCCTCCCCGCTGGTCATTGCGGGCGTCTACCTCATGAATCTCCCGCCCAAGACGGGGACCACGCCCGTGCAAAACTGCTTCGTGGATATTCTGCGTCGCGCGGACGACCCCCTCAAACTACTTGATCGCTACTACATTGATCTCAAGTATACCCCGCGCTGGAACCGCCACACCTTGCCCATCGACCTCGGCGCGGGTTCCGTGCAGAGCGCCTTGGGGCGGCGGCCCGCCGACTCGTCCCCGGGCATTTACACGTTTGGAAACGTGGGCGCGTCGTCGCAGCTCATCTACCAGCCGCAGTATACCACGCGCACTTCCTTGGTCCCGCCCCGTCCCACGCGTCTGATGATGCCCTCGGATCCCACCGCCATCGCGTCCGCGTTGAGCTCGACAGGGAGCACAAACCTATTCCTGGCCGCGTCGGGCGGTCTCTACCTCTTCACGCCCGAGAAGCAAACGGACGCGGCGGAACCCGTGCTCGCGGTTCCGGCGTCTTTCGGAGGGAGAAATGTCTTGGGCCGGGTTCTCTCCTTGCACGCGTCTACGGTGGGCAAGACGACGGCGGTGTGGGCCCTCAACACGCAGGGGCAATTGATTTACATGACCTGCGCCGCGGGCAAGGAGGCTACGCCCTCCGAGTGGTCCGCGCCGCTTCCCATCGGCAGCCAAGTCGAGTCGTTTGCGTTTTACATCAACCGCGCCGTCGGCGAGTCCAACGTTGTCTTTTGCAATGGTGCCGCCGGTACCCTCCAGCAGCTGACGCAAGACCCCACGACCTTGTCGTGGCAATCGTCCAGCATCCTGCTCCCGCCCACCGAGGTGGAGGACGTGTCCACCTTTGATTCCTTCACCACCCAAATCACCGTTCAGAAAAATGGCGTCCCGGCCTCCAACCTGGCGGTGCTGCTCATCTCGGATACCGCCGTGTCCTTCCAGGCCAACGACTTGTACACGGTGTTGGAACCCAATAAGCCCGTGCCCATCAATACGGACGCGTCGGGTATCCTGACAGTTATACAAGAGGCCACGTCCCTGGCATCCGCTACCTGCTTCCGGGTCCGCATTCCCGAGAGCCAGATGCCTGATATCTTGGTCGATCCCCTCGCGCCCGTGATGAAGAAGCTCGCGCAGATCCAGAGCGGCGGTGACTTTGAAAAGTTCCCCGGATTTGTGGCGGGCGACGTGACGGGCAAGAAAAGGACGGCGCCGCTCTCGCCATCCAAAAGCTGGTGCAGCTGCGCGCCGACTTGCCCATCTCTGCCGCCTCGACCGCGGTGAATCTCAGTCCGGTGACCAGTCCCTCGAGTCTCTCCGTCACCCTCAACGGCGGTAGCATCACGAACGCCTCTAAGGGTCCCAGCGCTAGCACGCAGCCCAGCCCGAAGCCCGTCAAGAAGCTCAAGTCTGGGGGATTTATGCAAGCGCTTGCCCAGGGCTTCGAGGCCATTTCGATGCAGTTTGTCAAGATGCTGGAAGGCGGCTGGAAGATCCTGATTGAAATCAAGGATGCCATCGTCGAGATTGCCGTGGCCCTGCGAGACGAGATCAGTTCCCTGTTTGATCGCGCGCTGGACTGGATCAAGGCGACTTGGAAGAAGATCAAGGAGAAGCTCCTCGACATCTTTTGGCCGTGGCCCGACATCAAGCGGACCAAAAACGTCTACAAGGCCGTGTTTACCTGCACTACCAACAGCGTCATTGATGGCATCACGAATATCGAGGTGGGCTCGCGCCAATTTTTGAAAACCTCTCGGCCAAGCTGGAGCCGCTGAAGCGTGGACCAACGGCGAAAAGGGGCAAAACCGCCGGCGAAATCGAGCGAGAGCGCGCCAAGAACGAGGTAGAGAAGAACCCCAAAGCCAACTTCTTCTCCTACCACCTCATGAACGGCGTCCAACAGGTGACGGGAGAGACTGACAAGAATGCCATTACCAACGTCGTCGCTAACCAGATTGGCGAGCTGTTCAACAATCTCTACGAGCTCATTGACGAGCAGACGGAGATATTCGCCGGTTCCGTCAGCGACATCAAGCACATCATCGACAACTTTGGCAACATGGAGGTGCTGGACATCCTCATCGCCCTCGTGGCCATTGTGGGAGACGTGGTGGTGAAGACGGCGGGCAACGTGGTTGACAAGTTGATCAAGTAAGTCAAATCTCCCAACGTCAGCTCTCTCTCTCTCTCTCTCTCTAGACAGGTACACTAACATTGAACCACTGCGCTAGGCTCATGAAACTAGTGATCCAGGGCTTCTTGAACATCATGAACGCCGAGATCAAGCTCCCCATCATCAGCACCGTGTATAAAGAATTTGTCGGCAGCAAGCTTACCCTCCTCGACTTGGTCTGCCTCATCGCCGCGGTGCCGACGACCATGATGTGCAAGGTGCTGACGGGTGGCAAGGCGCCCTTGACGACAACGAGCGCACAAACGCAATCATCGCGTCGACTCGCCTGCCCGAGCTACGAGCCAACCTCTGGGGCGCGGGGGCTAATCCAGCTCCCAAACGCCAAGAGGTCAAGATTGCGACGGTCAACGCCAGAGAAGCCGCCCCGGCGACTCCTTCATGTCCTTTGCGGTCGTGCGAGACCCCAACGCCGCGTTTGCGACGGCCGAGCAGCAGCAGCCGGAACCGGAATCACAGCCAACGACGGCCTCAGCCCCTTCGAGCCTCGCTGACAGGGCAAACCAGAAGCTTGGTGATCGCAACGGACGCACCGACTTTGCGTTGGCCATGGTGGCGTACATTTCCTCGCAAATTTATTCCCGGCTCAAGTTTATGCAGCTCGCCAAGGAAAAGGGCAAGGCTCACCGCTCGTCGAAAAGTACCCCGAGCCCAGGCGGATTCTCGGCCACCATTGACAAATTGTGCACCCTGTTTTACATTGGCGTCCTCGTTCCCAACGCCACCTCCTTTGATCCCTCGTGGGAACTCAACAGCTGGTCGTATGCCAACGGCACCATTGCCGTCATTTGCTTCCTCAAGGCCGTGGCCGATTGCTTTGACTGGGACACTCTCGCCAACGTCAACGGCGGTTACGTGTTGAGAAAGTCGGAGTGGGACACGCACAAGCCCGGGGAAGCAATGTATCCCGCGCAGTACTGGAAGGGATACATATCTCCGGTTCTCGACACCGCCATCTCCCTTGCGTGGTCTGTCACGACCACGGCGCAGTTCATCAAAACCGAGGATAAAAAGCCCGACGTCTGGCTCGGGTACACCTACAATATGTGCGGAAATATCGGTGGTCTCATGTCTTGCTTGTTGGTGGAAAAGGTTCCCGAGCAAGCCCAGTTGGTGGGCGCAGTCGGCGTTCAGGTCGGGATGCATTACTATGGAATGTTTGCCCTGGCCCAAGCCCTCGCGATGTTGTACCAAGAATAGTATCCTTTGATTTCCTTGTACTAAGTAGTGAGCGTTGCGCACAATATATGCGGCAGCAAGTTTTTGATATCTTCCAATTCCACGTACACTCGGGTGTAATGTTCTATGTAGATACGGCGATCCAGTCCGGATCTGATTCGGAAGAATGGATGGATCTGACCACTGGGCCGAACAACGCTACAAGCTATGAGCCGAGAAATCCGAAGCCGTCGCATTCCCCGGAGTGACTTCTGGGGCCGTCTTACGGCCACATCGTTGCTCCACACTCTGTAGCCAATGAGCGACAGGTTCTATCGTGGGGATTCTCGGCGCATCTCGGTGCACACGATCCCAATGCAACAGAGTGCCCGTCCAAACAAAGAACGCGATCGATTTAATTTAGATCAAGTCGTCGCGAACAAGCATCTGATCTGGGCCAGCCCACGGGCTGGCTGTTATGTATAAATAAGCACCTTGAGACCATCAAACATGCCCGCGTCCGCAAGGGTAGAGAAGCAGAAAAAGGCAAGGCATTCTGTCACCATATCATCAAGATGCAGCTTTCTTCCATTCTAGCTCTCGCGCTTCTGCCTATGGGCATTCTCGCGAACCCCGTCCCTCAGCCCGACGAGGTAGCCGAGCCTGCTCAGCTCTTCAAGCGGACTGTCCAAACGTGCTCCATCATCCGGTCTGCCGTGAATTGCCGAAGGGGCCCGTCGACCAGCTCCGGGGTCAAGACGAAGCTTGCCAAGGGAGAGCAGCACAAGTTTGGCTGCGTTCTCAAGGGGAGTGCATCACCATTGACGGATTTGGCAACTGGTACGTGACATGGCTTGTCCACGCAATGCCCTTGAATCTAGCTAACCCACCTCGTCACTCCTTCTAGTGGCTGGCACTGGTCAATTACTGCCGGCTGTTACGTGAATGGGCATTATACCAGTGCTCAGTGTACACTTGGTATGTTTCCATCGCGCGTGGTGTCGAGCGACGAACCGCTTTTACTAACAACCAGTACAGGACGGCTTGGAAGTTGCTAGAGCAGATTGACGGCATCGGTGATGAGAGTCCTGTGCGGCTGTTACCTCTTGATCTATTGCACTAAAATCAATTAAGTCTGTGAAAATGGGATTGTAATATATCCTACTGTTCGTGAAACCAGGGAGCAGGAATGCATACACCGCGAATTGCAGTTCAAAACACCCGTCCCTCCGTCAGCCCTTGTTGGGGAATGCAAGGGTTCCGCTGTTATGGGCAAACAATAAACAAACGATAGCCTGCAGTTTATAATTCAATATCAAGACACATGCTCATCGAGTACCGATCCCGTAAGAGCCATGAATCTACAGTAGAAATAAGCAAAGAGGCACCCCCGTGAATGGCTACCACTGCTGTCCCCCTCGCCCTAGCCACGCCGCCTTGGGAGCCCTACAACCTTGCTAATCCCCTCGTCAAGCAGGGCCACCATTTTCCCAACTTCGCCCAGAAGCTGATCCCCATATTCATCCACAAGCTCCTTTCGTATCATCGAGACTTCATCTTCGAGTGCTTGGTCTATAAGAGCATCGATGCAGAGCCCAAGAACTGATGGCAGAGGAGGGTGCAGCAACTGGATGTTGCATTGCTGGCTGACAGTTGAAACTTGTTTCCGCATCGAGCGCTTTGTGAATGCGAGTTGTCATCCAGCTTGACTGTTGTGAGCTGAAGGCCCGGCTTGGTAGCACGCCGCTGCCCCAGGTATTATGCCCAACGTCGCTCGTGAGCCATATCGCAACGCCAGCAGCGCGATGATGGCTTGATCAGCTTGCGCTTGAATTACGGTCAAGCGATGAAATAACCGTCTGTTTTGCTCCCTGCTCTTCCAAACCCATGATTTCACACCACCGTGGGACACGCGTGGCTGACTCCCGTCGCCTCTTGCATACATGTAATGGTCACTCGAATGAAGGGTGAAGAGGGGCTCAACCCGCACGAAGAATAGTATGCAGGGACCTGAAAAGGGCCAAGTTGCCTTTGGTGGCGCTCAAGCTATTGATGTTTTCCCGCGCATCTTGGCTAGCCAGGGCCAGCCGCATCATTGCGCGACACCGCCTCCCGAAAATTATTAGCGGGTTTTATCCCCGGTCTCCTGCCCAGGGTTCTTGCATGTGTATTGATCCGCTAGAGCGGCGCGCTCAAATTCTGAGCGGCTATGGGCAAGTCTGAGATATAAAACTCGCTCAGGAGCCCAGACCTTTTCTTTTCCTGCTTCTTTTACTCCTTGCCTCAGTTTCTGTGCCAGGGCCTAGCTGATAGATCGAAAACTAGAACTCGTCGCTGCGTATCTCATTCCTTCGGCATTGTCACGACGTGCTTCATGATGTCAGACCCAAAGAACAGCATTTACGTCATTAACAATTCCGGCCGGCAGCAAAGCTACGCCTTGTTCAACGACCTACCTCGTCTTTTCGGAGAGGCCGATGCCGAAATCTGGACAAGCGTGCTTGCGGTATGCACGGTGCCGAATGGATCCCAGAATGAATTCACCATCGAGAAACAATGCTATGCCTTCGTCGGCGCTTCCAACACCGCCGTCAGCTCCGGCGTCACGGGTGGCGTCAGAGGCCAGAGGAAGGTTATCCTCGGCATCAAGGCACTCGACGAGACCATCACCTACGGAACAACCTTGCAGATGGACGTCGTCGAAGGTGCACCCCAGTTTCTGCCAGAGGAGCTTCCCAAAGCCGCTCAACCTGGCGCTTTCGAGATCAGGACCGCTGATTCCACTGACGAGAACAACTTTACGTTCGAGAATGCCAAAGCTAGTAAGTAGGAGATTTGCATGCAAGGCCATGCATGGTTTTGGTTCCCCCCCAACAAAGCGTGTCATTGCAATTGATCTAATGAAGGACCAAAATCCCAACGTCTTAGACAATTGGATCATTGGCCTGGGCGGCTTCACGGATGGAGTCAAGATTGGGCCGCCAGCGGCGTACTTGGTCCCCAAGCCTGGGATTTCCTATCAAATTCAGCCCTCCAACACTTACTACGTATGCGTCGGTAAATCTGAAACGGGCCAGGCCATGAACGGGGCAGACTCAAGTCTCAAGGTAATCAAGCTCGACTTTGCCATGGGCACAAGAGAGCTTATCGTTGTGCATGACCAAGAGAACAACCTCGTCACGCAATTGTAGGGACGTTCGCCGATCGCTCTGTAATCTTGCGCGGGGGCTCGGCCAGGCTCGATACGCACGCGATGGAAGGGCTGATGCGATGGGGCCGACGGAGAGATGGGGAAATGGGCTAAGGAGAGGTTGGAGGCTTATACTTGATCGAGATAGGGGAATTTCTCTCTGTCAATGAAGCTAGCAGTCTTCCACCATGACGAAGTTTAGATACGCTCGCATTTATACCTGAAAGATGTGGGCATACGTATCCGCCATATATACCAGCTAGAGTCTACCGAATTGGTCTCGACACGAAAGGCGTTGATCTAATTTATGCTACAAGTAGAATGGGCTATAGGCCCGCTCTAGTCCACAGAGACACGGAGAGACTGCCCTCGTGATAATGCCATGAGTGCTTCTATCAGTCTGGTGCGCCGATGCTCACGGTTTTACTCTAGGGGTTCATTTCACGGTATGAACAACGGTATCTTCAATCACGTCCGGGACCTCGCGATGGACTGGGTGAAAAGCCAACGTGTCACGCTTGTATCGGCCTACGTGCATCAAACAGGGAGGGTTCACGGCAAGAGACGTTGATCTCGTAAGGGTATAAAATCATATATTGTAAGTCCATCGCTATGCACAAAAAACCAAAAGGACGAAAAGACACCACATCCTGGGTGGAGCAAACGACCTGTCATGATTGTCTCGGTGCAGTCCATGCCTGGTGGATGGGGAAAAAGAATTGAAAAATTAATAAATGTATCGGAATTGAGCGTTCTGTAGCCAATGGTTAGTACAATGCATTTTGATGTAGTCATGGAATCTGGGAGTCATAACATACCGTCTTGTCGGTCAAGTCGTCGTTGAAGGCATTGTTGAAGCTCTCAGCGCCAACCTCGTCCCTCTTGCGGTTGTCCCGCGCGCAAATGACTCGGTAGATGACCATGAGCACGATGGAGATGAAGGAAGTGATGATGACAACGGTAAAACCGGGAATGTACCGGGGCGCATCCTGGGGCCTAAAGACGAGAGGGCCGATAAAGTTTCCTACAGTCCAGAAATTAGCGGTCTGTTTTGCATCGTTGTATCAAGGGATGGTAAACGTACCGACGCAGTAGCCGATGAACAATCCGGACGAGGCGATGGATTTCTTGGTATATCCAGCAGTGTTGGCGACCTGTAATGATACAAGCGTTAGAAGACTGGATTGTAAACCTTTGGAGGAAGAGATCGAAACATACCTGGATGCTCATCAAGACACCATAACTGGCACCCACGACGGGGAGGATGATGGCTCCAAAGAGGAGAGGGCCCTTCTTCTGTAAAGGGTGTTAGAGTCACGCAAAGAACAACCACGGCAAGGGGAGATTGGGGGAGGGTGACGAACGTCGCGGGGGAGAAGAACGAGCAGCAGGCAAGAGAGGATGGCGATAGTCTCGGCCACGCAGAACAGCCAAGAGCGAACGTTCTTGAACTTGTAGCAGCACCAGCAGAAGAAGAGACACATGGTTCCCGAGTAGAAGCCGCAGGGCATGAGGAGGAGAAGGGAGTTGAAGGGTCCGAAGCCGAACGAGTTGATGATGATGGGCAAGAAGGTGGAGATGGGGCCGTTGGCAATCATGCAGAGGGTGGCGATCCAGAAGAGGAGCCAGAACTTGACGTCGACAAGCAGCTCCTTGACCTGGGAGCTCTTGAAGTGGGTGTTGCGGATACCGGCGTTGTTGGTTCGGAGCCTGGCGACGGCAAGGTATCGCTCACGCTCAGAGAGGCCTCGGGCGCGGATAGGCTCACCGGGAAGGACCTGCGATTCCAAGTTAGCAAAAACTCACTACCTACGGCAAGAGCTGCCGCAATACGACTACGTCGCACGTACCCAGAGGAGAGCAACACCCCAAATCATGGTGATGCCACCGGCAAAGTAGAACATGTATCGCCAAGAGGATACACCGCCGCCAATCTGGCCCCAGCCCCAGTTGATCAAGGGGAGAAGATGGAGACGTATCCAGTGCAGCAGTACCAAATACTAAGAGGAGGGTTTCATGTTAGCATACCGTTGCGAAGTAGAAATAGCACGCAAATGCACGCGGTGGACCGTCCCCAGAAGACTCACCCCATACGCAGCGCCTGCTCATCCTTCTTGTACCAGCTGCCTACGACCAACATAAACATGGGGCTGATACCGCTCTCGAGGACGCCGAGGAAGAACCTCTGAGCATACAATCCCTTGTAGTTGTGGCAGACGGTGGTGAGGAGGAGGCAGAGACCCCACAAAACGACGGTGCCGGCAGCAACGCGCTCAACGGGGAACCTCTGGGCGAGGAGCATGACGGGGTAGGCGCCAATGATGAAACCGAGGTAGAAGATGGAGGAGGACCTGAGAGCGAAGAACGAGCGCGAGGGTTAGCGAAACTGAACATGAACGACACCATTTCCTTGTAGAGATTTGTCTCGGGGAGGAGCGGACTCATGGGCGGGCTTACATGGAATAGCGGTTGCCGGTGAGAAGATCGAGATCTGTTCGAAGACCAAAGAGGGCCTTGGTTGCAAAGTTAGCCTTGAATGCCACAAAACCGACAGAAAGAAAACATCGACAAGACATACTGCTTGACCCAACATGGCCTTGTCGTAGTACTGGAGCGAGTAGGTGAGACACAGGACGGGCATGAGCCTCCAGTCAATCTTGCGACGGAGCTTCTTCTCTTCCGCCGCGTCCCACTCGAGTTCGCCATGGTAGTTGGCCAAGACCTTCATGGCCTCGTCCTGGTGGACGGTGTCGACGACTTGGGCATCCTTGGGCGTCGAATCAACCTTTTCCAGGTGATCGGCGGGACGCACGGCGCTGGCCTTTTCCATGTCAGACATGGTGGCGGTGGCAATGGCGGTGGTGAGGTGAGAAGAAAAGAAAAAGAAAAGAAAATAGCCTGTATGCTTGGCCCGGGGTCTAGGACAAAGACGCAAGGGTAAAGATGGAGATGATCGCCAGGCACTTTTGAAACCAAGGGTTGAGAAACTGAAAGATGAAGCTTTCCGGTGCCCTGGACCTGGAAGGAAAGTTGATGCGAGGTTGCTGATCCCGCCGCCGCGGATCTGGTCTTTTAAGTATAATTTGCCAACGAGCATTTGTGGAGGATCCGATGAGCATACCCCAGATTTTCTCCTCCTCCTCCTACTCCTCCTCCCCCTGGACATTGGACATTGGGATAAAAATCCGGGGCAGTAGCTCAAGCAATGCGGGGAAGCTATGGAGTCGCCGACTATCCTAATGCGTGGATACCGAAGCTTGTTTCGGTAACGCTGAAGCCGAAAGAAGCTATCGACCCTGATGCATCCATCGTCTCCCCGGCGTGCGTCTGACGGACAAGGGGGGTGGAGTACAAGGAATCTAGCGTGGTGTGGGGAGAGAGAGAGAATGAGAGATGGAGAGAGAGAGATCAGCACATCGGGGGCCATGCGCCATGCGTACCATCGACTTGCTACTCAAATCAAATCGGCCACCCCCTTCACCTATTCCCTAACCCTAACCGTCCAAACCGTAGAAACCAGGCTCGCCTGCACTGCACCACGATTGATTACCTTGGTCAGTCTTATTGGAAGGTGAAGAAAAAGGCAACGGAGATGCCTGCAATGGCCGATGGCGAATGGCGAATGACGGGCCAAGATTGAGGGGAGCTATCCCGAAATCGTCGACCCCAAGGTCTCGCCTCCTCTCCAATCTCCAATAAATCGCGACGTGCCAATCATACTTGATTCCCGGCGATGGGATCGATTCCCATGCCACTCCTCCTCCTCCGCTTTCAAGGTCAAGGAGCCCAGCACATTCGTCAATAGCAAACAACCTCTCGGCTTCCTATCTTTTGAAGCTTCATCGGAATGTACAGGCGTGAGCTTTCGTCCCTGTCCCTTGCGCACCCTTTCCCCCTCCACCCAGAACAGAAAATCCATAGCGCGCAAAGCTGAACCCACTTCCTTCCGTGCTCTCTACTCCTTCCTGGAGCAGATGCAATCATGCAATCATAATAGTCTTGCGCGTTGACATATTGTCGATCATCGCCTCGCGTGTGCTCGAGTGGAGTCTGGGGAGGAAAACAAGTTGAGAGGACCCTCGCACGCTTTGTGGGGAAGCCGGACAAAAAGGAGAAGCGCAATTCTCGTTCTTGATCTGGGGTAATAAGAGCCCCGCACGCGTTCGCATGGTTTGGCCTGCACGCTGGCTTCGCGCTCCTCCCGGAACATGGTCCGGCGTCCCCCATTCATTATCCTCATTTTCGCTGTTATCTTGGCTCTTTTTCAAACACGCGTCCGGCATCTCGCCAAACCTCAATCTGGCTAGGCCGCCGGTCCCCGTTGACGCCTTGTTTCTCTCCCAACTGCCCGGACTTGGCCCTCCTGATAAAAAGTAGCTTCCCCGTTCCCCGCCTCTGGCTTTTTGGGTTTTGGCTTTTGTTCGTCTTAGTTTATTTCTTTTGTCATTTTTTTCGCGCTTCTTGTTTTCCGTCGGCTAGTGGCATTAAGCACTTTGGGAAAGGGCTGAAAACAATACGCCACGAAATCTTGTCTTTTCGGATACGTCGGCCAAGCTAGCCACAGTATGCTGATGGGATCGGGGAAGAAGCAAGACCCGCCTTATCATGAAGAATAAGGCGGCGACGAAGTGTGGGGAAGGGCAGATACGCACGAGAGTATACATGGCGCTGGAGAGGGGAACGCTCGCGGGCTTTTGCCCATCTCACATTGCCTTTGCCTTCCTTTCGGGTCTCTCTCTCTCTCTCCCACACTTCGGCATCTCGGGCTCTCGGACCCCCTTCTCCCCACCGGCGAAGTTGAGTTTGGGAAAAGCGGCGCCAAGGACGCGCCTCGCGGGGTTCTTGGACAAGAACTAGGACAAAGGAGGACGAAAGCGCCGAGCTCTTCCCCAGTTCCCCAGGATTTAAGGGACATTGCCAAAGCCACAGAAACCCCAAAGGAAAAAAAGACCGGCCTAAGCACCCATTTGCAAACAAATTTGTGATATTAATACGTCAAACCTCGATACGCCAAAGTCTTGTCACGGCCGAGTAACGCTATTCTCCGACTTTGATCGTCATATTGAGAGAAATCGAGTTATCTTGCCACCTAGCCACGCCAGGGTAATCACCTCTTCACCAGAAAAGGAAGAAAGAAAGGAATAATACACAAAGCCATGGCGGATCAGATTCCACAGACAATGTTTGCTTGGCGCAAGCATCGGGGCAACCCGGAGCCGGTATGGGAAGAGGTTCCAGTTCCGGAAGTAACACCCACGGGCGTCTTGTGCAAGATGATTGCAAGCGGCGGTAAGTTGTCGAGAGGATTCCAAATCAGCCCCTACCAGCAATGGACGCATATCATTTTATTCTCCTCTTCTGAATTCAAAATATCGGACACGGACTGATGCAAAGGAAATTTCTTTCATGACGCAGTTTGCCGAAGTGACTATTCTCAATTGACCATAGAGACCCAGCCGGCCTGGTTCAAAGACAAATGGACACTGGTATGGAAATCGTGCGCTGCTCTACGACGTTGGAGGCACATGTCGGCCACTGAATAAAACTGACGTGCGATACAAGGGACACGAAGGGTGCGGACGAATCGTCAAGGCCGGGCCCGAGGTAAAGGGCTTCAAGGTGGTGAGTTATACTAGAGACAAGTTCACACCCGCGCACTCGTACACGTGTCACTTACACCACCCACTTTGTTGCAGGGCGATGTTGTAGCCATGTTCGCCACCCCAGGCTGCGGTGCTTCTGATTGCCCCGAGTGCAGCCGCGAGCTATTTCAAATCTGCGAACGCTGTCACCATTCGGGGATTGGTGAAGACGGCTTCTACGCTCCGTATGCGGCCATTGATCAGCGTGGCCTGGCCATCGTCCCAGAAGGTAGGCAACTCCCACGTTGGCTAGGTCTCACCAGATACGAATCCAAGTCAGGAAGCAATAAAGTGTGTACATACTAACGTTTCGAAAACTACAAGGTGTCACGCCCTCCGAGGCTGCCGTAGCCTGCGACGCCGTCACCACGGCATACCATGCAGTCAAGCGTAGGGCCAAGGTCAAGGCCTCGGACACAGTCTTCCTCTTTGGTCTGGGCGGGCTCGGGTTCAACGCGCTCCAAATCATCCACGGCATCGGCGCGAGGGTCATTGTTTCTGATGTCCGGGACGAGATGCTGGACGAGGCAGAGGCCCTAGGCATTCCCCGGTCGGACATTGTGCCCGTGGGCAAGTCCCCACCGGTCTGGATCGAAGAGAACGGCCTCTACGGGAAAGTCGACATTGTCCTCGACTTTGTCGGGCGACACCAGACCTTTGAAGACGCGCAACACATTGGTAGGTGACACTGCACTCCGCGGATTCAACCGTCCTCAGGCTAACCCGAGATACCTTCTATAGTTCGCCGCGCTGGAAAGATTGTCAACGTCGGAAGCATGGACCAACAAAACACGGTGCACATGAAGATTGGCACGAGGAAGCGGTTGACCTTCAAATTTTCCTACGGAGGCCAGGTCTCAGATCTAGAAGAGGTGCTCCAGCTCATTGCAAAGGGAACACTCAAGCCCGTAGTCGGGCCGGGCAAACTAGAAGACTTTCCCACCACCCTCAAGGATCTCGTAGCGGGAAAGATCAAGGGCCGCGTGGCGCTTTTGCAAGAGTAGCCGAAACAACAAGAGTCTAGTGAATAATAATCTTTTTCTTTCTTGTAAACACGCATTTCTACAAGGGCTCCCAATATTGATGCCCACTTACACGCAAAGCGTGCGCCGCCCTCTCTCATGTGCTGTGCGAACAAATGGATCGTGTCATGAGGTAGAACGTGCCACCCGAGAAAAGCTCACCCCCTTTGCCAACGCTAGCTTGATTCGGGCAATTGAACATAAGGCTTATTCTGGAAGTCTTCGTCGCCGGATCTGGACTGCGCGGGCGTCGCCTTTTCGGCAACCTGCTCAGCACGGATCTCCTTGGCTGGAGTTGGAGATGAGGGGGACGAGCCAAAAGGTGGCGAGAACGAGCTAGTTCCCCCTCCAAAATGATGAATGTGGCTAGGAACAACAACACCATCGCGCCTTCGAGTTCATATGCAGCCGGCACGCGGCAAGCCGCAATCTGTATCTGTCCGTCCTCTCTACTAGTCTTGTCGCGGGCCATGTGATGTCTACGAACGCTGCTAGCTCCTAGCTCAAGGCGTATGGGGAAGCACACCCTACCCTCCATCTCGGTAATAAACTCCTGGTAGGGAGGGCCCAAGATACCGGTTCCAGACCTCGAGTCTATTGGTTCCGCCGCCACCCCTTCTCCTCCTTCCTTTTCTCGTCACCCACACACGCACACACACACCCGACCCCTCACCGGGAGTCTTAGGGACACGGCATCACCAACTTTACCGGGCGGCAACCCTCCTGAAGCGTTCTTGGAGTAGCTTCCCGCGAATGCTTGATGCAACAAGCAATTTTGGGACACAACTCGGGGGTTCATTCAGCATCGCACGGTTGCGGCTGAGAGTTTTGCTCGATTTTCTCATTTTCACAATCAGTCAGATGAGCCCATTTGTAACAAGATCAATTAATTGTTTTTAGGAAATGGTCAAGTTTATTATCTACTTGTAATCACGAGAAATTCTTCAATTTGCCCCGTCAACCTCCCATGTGTCGCTTGTTAGGAGAGAGTCAATTAATTGAGCTGATCTGGGATCGCATTTAATAGTGACCGCACATGGGGGACACTGGTCAGGAACCCACCGAGCCCTGTTGAGAAATCCGTGTCGTGGGATTTGACGTGAACCAACTATCATACACCGTCGGCAAGTCAACTTCGCACGCACGACTGGCCAATGACTAAAGCAAGGTAATGAACAAATATGGTGTGATATGTACGAGCTACTAGCTACTTGATCAAATGGCATTTACAGATTTCCAATACGCGTCCAGATCCCTCAAAAACGCCCACTTGAGCTTCTTGGCATACCCTTGCTCCTTCCAATCGTTGAGCTGCGCCGGGAAATGGGGAACCAAGTCGCGCACGTCGCGATCGTGCGCAATAATGACAAAGATGCTGTCGTTGACGTCAAACTCTTGCATGTGCCCGATGGTCTTCATGGCCAGGACAGGGTCCGTGCCGAAGCGGACTTCGTACAGGGGCTCGTTGGGCTTCCTGCCGCGCGACTCTTGGAGCTTGGCAAACTCCTCGCCGGGGCAAAAGGGCTTGTGCTTGGGGACGAAGCCGGTGTGCGGCTCGATGGCGCCGTCCGGGATAGGCAGGTACTGGGAGGGGCGGTACTCGCCGCCGTAATGGGCAATGTCGCCGCCGAGCCAGACAAAGGTGTCGGGGTTCTTTGTGGTGCGCGCGAGGCCGTTGAGATGGCCCACGGCGTGGCCGGGGGTGTCGAGGAGGTAAAAGGAGCCGTCGCCGAAATAGTCAAAGGCGTCAAACTTGCCAATCTTGAGCGACCCTTCGCCCGTGCAGTTAATCTCGCGGAGGTTCCGGCCCCTGGACTTGTTAGCTCAACGTAACGAGGAACAGAATTGAATAGGGAAACTCAACTCGTAATCGCTCTCAAGAATTTCGGATTCAGGGTTGGCCGGCGCGCCGGGGAGCATCTCTTCTTTGAAGCCTGGGCCAACAATAAGATCTGTAGAAGGGGAACAGCGAAGGGTTGCCGATATGATCCCAGTGGTAGTGGCTATCGCAAGAGTTAGCCAAAGAAAGAAAAGGGAACGGGATGTGAAGCAGTCAGATGCAAGGGCGCCATACCTCCATATCACGGCCTCGATATCCTCTCCCTTGATACCATTCTCCTCCAAGACCTCGATGACGTCTTGCGTAACATCGAATTTGTAAGGCGTGGTGGGAATGTAGTTGGAGATCTTGGGAGCGAGGTTGAGATAGTCTTTGCGCACGCCAAGGTCAAACACGAGCTTGCGGCCAGAGCTGTGCTCGAGGAGGAAGGACAGGGCTGGGCTCGTTCCAAAGTGCTCGACGTAGGGAACGGGAGGGCCCATGAGCTTGGCGACGTTTCCGGGGCCAAAGTTGACCGTGTTGATCATGCTGACCTTGATCGTGTCTCCCGACGGGATCTCGTGCTGAGGAGGTGGTACTGCGTCTGTACACATTGTGGCGTTTCTTGTGGCAAAAGAAGACGGAGGAGAAGATGGGTCTTTGCCTGTTTGTGTTCTTTTCTCTTTTTTTCAGGAGGGCACACGAATCAAGGGATTAGGAATATGCTGAGACTAAGATTGTTGCTGTTCACTTATTTTGTTTTTCAAGAACAAACACACTCGAAATGATATTTCACCCGTCTACACTGCACAGCGAGGGAGAGAAGGGGGCGGGCTCAACGGCCGATTATATCCATCTCCGTGTCTTGGGAGTCCCGGCTACCCGGCAGGACCTCCAAACAAGGCCACAGGGTTCCCCGCGGGGCAGAATGCGGGGGAGGGGCGCGAGACGGGGGCCACTAGTCCGCGCTAGGCCGTAGCGGAGGGTTTTTAGTGCTTCAACTCGGACATCATTCTCCTGGAGCAAGGTTGCCAGAAGGATTATCGGGAAAAGGAGGAGGCCACTTAGGGGAAGAGGGGGTACTTGATAGGAGTGCAACCGTATTTTGACAACCGAAAACAAGGCAACCCTTTCTAGGGTCGGGAAGACGTAGATACCGAAATCACGGTTCGGCTTCTTTAAGCGAGTAAAATGCCCCTGGGGTTGCCACCTGTTGAACTCTGTGCAGTATCTCTTCCCTTCCTCCCAAATACCTGGCCCCTCATGAATAACGCAGACTTACTAGGCCAGATGGATCAGATAATCCAGCAATGCTTCTGAATTAAAGGGCAGAATTGTCCATTCAATTTTTCTCTCCCAATCAAGCAGGTAACTACTGCTAGAAAAAGAAATGAATAGGAGAATGATCGAACTTTTATGGTCTAAGGTCACTTATATCCTGCGCCAACAAATACCGCCTCGTAGTTGAGCCAATCAAGCGGAAGCCGGCGCAGGTTGCCACCAACCACTCTTCAGAATTTACTCATCCAATCTTGTTGCTGAGGCAAGAACACTACTAGGTACGTTACGCGCCTACCAGTATCTCGCCTCTATTACATCGCCACCGAACTGAACGGGCGGGCCTTGTTTCGAGATCATTATCCCTTGGCAGTGTCGTTGATACAGGACTCGCTAAAGCCGTACCTTGTGACTAGCTAACAGAAAGCCCGTTTCCGGAATACATTCAAGACCGGCCAGCACGATTGGTAGCGAACATACTCAGGATACCTCTTCACCACTGCACAGTTTCCAGATACCCGGTCTTGTAATAAGCAACCATGTTCAGCCATTCACGCTCGTGGGGATTGGCCATAGAATCCAGTGTAGCTCGAGAAGGAACACTATATGAGTGAGGGATGAAAACTTTTTGAAACGCGTCGCAAAGATTCGAAAGCCAAAGGCTCGAGATGCTATATAGAACTGAAGACGCTGGTCGAATATCCCATGCGGGACTCCCTCTTCCGCGCCCCTACACATTCTCTCTAGTATACTACCTCAATGTATACCAGTAAAGCGGACTAATGGGTGGTGGTGGCCTACCTTCGGTCCCAACATTCTAAGATGTCTAGAGTCAACAGTAAGAGAGGCTATGAAAAAGAGAAGAAAAGATGGAAATGGCGAGAAGAAACACCATCGCCGTCCTGCCAAGTCAGGTGGCAAGGATACATTCGCTCAAAATGGAAACGAACTTATTTATAGTCCCTTAATAGTCCCCAGGAAGCTAGCTAAACACTCAACGCTCATATCAAAAGCACTATGTGAAATGCTAACGAGGTGTACATCAAAAGGAATGTAAACTAAACTAAAAGTGGCGCGCACCAAATTTCTATCATGGCATGTTTGTCGGGGTGTGGAAAACTTAATGATGATTGTGCCATTGGAGACTAATGATGGCGAATGCTGAACTGCAGGCTTCGATAAATCCTGGCTGGTAGTCGGGTGGCAGCCACAATATTTCTCTGCCGTCATACTTGAGCCATTCTCCACGCAGCGTGAGGTGAGCGTCAAACTCGACAAAGTGCTTAGAGTTAAAAGCCGCATAACTCGTCGCTGCGCCATCTTCAGTTGTCTCCAGACGATTACCAGAGGAAATATCCCATATCGTGATAATCTCAGGGGACACTGACGCCATACGCAGGCCATCAGCTGAGATTTCCAGCCTATTAACCCACCCGTTGGGTTCAAACGTCTGCACGGCAGCACCCGCCTCTATATTCCAGACTATGAGGGTGCCATATGCAGCGCTCGAGGCCGCAAGCTTACTATTCCGTGAAAATGTAACTGCAATGACGCAACCACGGTGCTGAAGTGTTCGTACGTTGCTGCCTGTCTCTGCATCCCAAATCCTGATAGATCCGTCGTCGAACCCCGAGATAACTTGCTTATTGTCAATTGAAAACTCTATTACCGTGACCCTGACGTTAAGCTGGAACGTCTGTAAGGTACTACTACCTGTAGTTATATCCCAGATCTTGATTGTGCCATTGTTAGAGCTCGAAGCCATACGGGTATTATCAGTGGCAGAAAGTGCAATTGCAGTAATCCGCTCTTCACCATGCTGAAGTGTCTGTATCTTACTTCCTGTGAATGCATCCCAGATGTTGATGGACCCTTTGTCGGACACCGACCAAACACAACTATTATCGGTTGAAAATCCCACTCTACACACAGCCGCTATGTGGAATTTGCAGTGGGTCACCTTCCACCATTGTATCCCAGATGTTGATACTTTGGCTAGACCCCAAAACTAGACGCATACCATCGACTGAAAATTTCGGCCACGGGCTACCCGAGGACTTCAGTAAGTCATAACTGCCATCCCGGGTCGTAAGGGCGCCATCGCGGTAGTTGGGGGCTAACAGGCTATCTAAAAATGCATTCATCCTCATTCTCACCCTTGACAGCATCGGTTGATCGTCACGTGTACGGTGATGTTCTTGCCAATTACTGCCTTTCGCTGGGTCCCATATCTTGATAATTCCATCGTTGGAGCTTGAGATAACGCTCGTACCATTATGTGATATCGTTACTGATAAGACTGCTCCATTGCCATGCGAAAACTTTCGTAGGAGCGTACGAGTAGTTACATCCCACATGGTAATTGTGCCCCCGACATGGCCGAAGACGATATGTGTAGAATCTGCTGAAAATACCATTGTCACAATCCTGTGATAAGGCATAATTATCCCTAGGTTCTTGCCGGCAACTACATCCCAGATCCTAATCTTGCCTGAATAAGAGACCGAAATAAGACGACCACCATCCGTTGAAAACGCCACCGTGTGAACGATGTCTCCATGTTTAGGTGTGTGTAAGGTGTTACCTGTAGCAATATCCCAGGCTTTGATGGTGCCATCTGTTAATACAGAAACGGCACGTCTACCATCAGCCGAAAGTGTTACTGTCTTGAGCTTCCCGCCACTCCGGAGTGTCCGGACGGTACTACCGACAGCCATATCCCAGATCTTAACGGTGCCATCGCCAGACCCTGATATAGCGCGCATAACATTAGTTGAAAATTCCAATGCCATAATTTGGGCTCCATGCCGAAGCGTCCTTAGGTCACCGCCTGTACTTGCATCCCACGTCTTAATGGTGCCGTCAGTGAAACCCGCCATGATTTGCAGCCCATTAGGTGAAAAGGCCACTATCATAAGTTGTGCGTTATGATGAAGTGTCAGCTCACTACTCCCCGTGGCCAGATCCCAGATCTTAATGGTGCCGTCCGGAGAGCGTGAAACCACACGTGCAGTTCTAGCCGAAAACCCCAGTGCTGTAAGCTCGCCGCTATGTTGAAGCGTCTGTAGGTTACTACCTGTAGTTGCGCCCCAGATTTTGATCGCGCCGTCCCGAGACCCCGAAACAATGCACGCACTGTCAGCTGCGGACTTGGGGTCCCCATGTTTGCGTTGAGGCATTTGCAGTTGGTCATGAACAGGGAAGTTCCGACGTTGATCATTGGGCGAAACAACCGCATATAAGTGCCGTCGGCTAAAACTGCTACCCATGTGGCCCCGTAGGCATGGTGCTGCAGCGTCTGCAAACACGGGCTCCATTTCTCTGGAATGTTGTGAACTTTTATCCACCCTGGCTCTTCTCGTTCAAAACAAGTCCGAATTTCGCTCTTAGTGGGACTGAAGATCAAAGCAGAATAGTATGTCTGGAGTGGAGAATCCTCGATTATCCATTTATTGTGGAGCATAAACCGGTTCGCGTCGTTGACGAGACTGAGTAGCTTGCGAGGTGGTGCTAAGGGCTGTTTCCGTGTCAGCCCATCCCGACTAAACCTTGGCCTCCTTTTGACTTCATATGTTACTTGGAGTGAATTCTCGAACTTTTTCATCGCAATCACGGCCTCTGGCATTGCCTTTAGTAGACTCAAAGCTTCGAGCCAAAACAGGAATTTGCGCTTGAAAAACTGTAGAATTCGTGGGCACAACTGCCGAACCTCATTAGTAGTTGCATTTTCAGTCCCGAGGCAGAAATGGTGGATCCAGTGCAAGCAAGAATACCGAATGGTTGCAAGAGGGTCCGGCTCGGGGCGATGAACGTCAGCGATCCGTTGGCCAGGGTGAGATAAATTGTACATGTTCCGCCGTAGAGCGTTGCTCAACAAGATGTCAAGGGACCGCGTAAACAAATCGTAATGGGCTCGAGCAACCCCTATATATCTATAGAGATATATATATATATATATATCAACCCCCTTGCAGAAAATCTTGCTCCTCGCTGTTTCGTTTAGGTAATCTTTGGCCGACTGGTGTATGAGATATACGATCCCATCTTTTATGGAGAGAAAATACCCACAGCTGCTGATAAGTGATCGCAAAGTCTCCAAGTCTTCAGAAATCTCCTTGTCCAACCCAGATATAGCACCCAGCTCCGCGAGTACAATGGTTGGGTCGCGAGTATAACGGCCGCTAGAATGAGAAGACACAATCTTGAATCACCCCGCTTCACCTCTGCAACCTTGGTGAGCATGCGATCATACACAGCGTCCAATCCCGGAGGAGTTTCGTCGACTAGTTTTAGCACGTGTCTTTTATCGGCGTCGTGAAGCTCTTGAGCAGTGAGAGCAGCCCATAAGAAGGTACCTTGGGCCTTCTGACACATTTTCTGGGTGAGCTGTTCTTTGACCGTTCGATCCTCGACTTTGCGAAGCCGGGAGACCTTATGCCGAATATAGATATCCACAGCATCGGAGACCGCCCGTGAGTTGGCCTCTAGATTTACTATGCCATTGCGATCGTTGAAGATATTGCCCAACATGCTACGAATCTCGTCGCAGTTTCGACTCGAGACAACCCACTTGATATGAGCATGAGCGGACGACTGTTCAACGACCAGCTTCACCAGCTTCCGCTTGTCTATCTCACACTCATCAAGAGCGTCAATAATGAAGCAGGCCCTTCCTAGGTGAGGATCATCGAGAATTTTCTTAAAGACTCTTTCCAATGCGTACCAAGCATTGATATCCGTGAAGGCTGAGTCGCTGCTCTCATACTCGTCCCGTACGTGGGAGGCCAGGCAGGGTTGTTTCTTCGCGAGCATATAGATTAGGCCGCGCAGAACACAAGTGGCGCTGTTCAACTGCGAATCGGTAGCCTGGCAAAAGAAATAGGATAAGATGCCATCTTCCATTTTGCTGTCCTCCAGATCGTTGATGATGCCACAAAGCAGCATTGTCTTGCCCTTGCCCGGGTCACCATTGATCCAAAGTAGCCGACGGCTTGTATCATCACTTCTCCACGATTTGTATTCGGGATTCTCCTTTATCCATTCATATGACTTTTCATGAAGACCTCCTTTCATATCTTGAATCCTCTTCTTATCGTCAACAGGATTAGTGAGCCGCAGTGCTGCCATGCTCTGTCGTATCCTAGTTCCTTGCACATCTTCACCTGTTGATTGAGACCGCGACGGAATTAGAATGCTACCGTTATGGATAAAAAGTATCATACTGACCCAAATGAAGATTCTCTATAATTGGGTTGTTTAGTTGAGGGCCGGAGCCTGAGTTATTGTTCTGTTGGCCCCCCAGTTGACGCTCTGCGGCCCAGAGCCCGCGTTGGTGAATCTCGACATCCGCGATAATATGCACTTGATAGTACCGATCCTAGGCCAGTCATAAGAAGATAAATGAAGGAATCCCTTTTATAACTAACTAGGGGATTCACCTCTCGGTGCGGTTCACTCTAGAATGATACTAAAAGAAGAAGAGTCGAGGCAGGAAAAGAGGCAGGGGCGGGATCAAAGAAAGAGGGGATATGTAATACGAGTAAAGGGGCTGATACACTCACGGAAGTTTTCTATTATTGGTGCTCCTAAGCGGGCAACCCCTTGACATGACACGGCCGAGCTTGCTTTTTTCAAGTGGGGGTTAGGTTGAGGCATCTAAGTGATTGGGTCGTGATGCAGTCCCTGACCACCCTTAATCCAACAGACCAGTCAATGACAGTTCCACGAGCGGGGTAAGCATCCATGGCTCTCAATAACCACAGCCTGGTGCTCAGCCATTATATACTTAGGTACGTCTTAAAGCGCCTCATCAGGCTTTCAGTTAATACACACCGGATCGCTTCAGAATCTACGAAGCTGACTACTGATAGTACGGGCGGGTACCCACACACATAAGGGACGCGGAATTGATCAACATGAAATGAGGGAGGTGCGTTGTCTCCACGTTCAGAGATTCGTATTTCTTTTCCACATTGTGATGGTTGTATTCGGGTCCACGACATGGGCACATCTTGGAAACTCATCCTGCATATTTGTGTGAAAAGCGGAACCATGAGCTATGGATATATGGGTGGTGGCTACAACTTGGCAACATTCACAGACGGGCAGATCCACAGACACTTCAAAGCTTTAGCTAAAAGTGCGTTTTAGCTAACAGCACTGACGCTTCAAGAGTCAGTCGGTACATGTATTCCCATGAACCACCTCGGTACGACTTGCTGATATACTCGCTGCTTTGAGATCTATCACGGATCTGATCGTTTCCAAAGAGATTCACGGATTTTACAGGACTGGACGTACGCAAGAAGTCCATGGATCCTGCCGCATGAATAGGCCTCAACTTTTTCCCTGCACGACAGGTCTTCTAACCGCTTCCATGCAAATGCCTGCTGATGCAGCCTGGTCCTATAATATGCTTGCCAGGCTTGAGAATGGGATCGGCGAATTAGACATCAACACATTACATGTATCAAGCTTCAGGAAACTACACACACTGTGCTTCTTGGCACTGCTACTGGATGCAATCGTTTCCATTAGCTTCTAGTCGACGAGTTTCGCAAAATCTTCCGCCATACGGCATAGAAAGTGGAAGGTTCCAAGATATCAGCCCTATGACATGAGAAACCGGCTGGCGACCGCCACAACACTGAACTATTTGTATCGCGACCAAAGAATCAAAGCAAAGCAAGAGCATTTCGAAGATCACACTGAAAGGAAGCAAGAAAAATTTTCGTTGACAATATCTCGATAAGGGGCCCCACATTGATAACAGTCGAGGACGCTAATCCTCGCCATTAGATAAGATGGCTGGTAGATAATAACCGCACGTTTCCCAACTAGCTTAACGCGGCGCTTTATCTCCGAAATCGCGAATAATTTCTTGCTTCCGGAGTAAAATCGGCAATCTTGGGAAGAACGGCAGGGGTGGATAGCGCGGTGCGCGCCAGACATCCACGGATGAAATTGATCGATTCGACGCGGTGAGAGACCCGCCAAGTTTTATCGATTATATTTCTACAAGTGGCCTGCGGCCGCAGCTAAGCAATAGTTTGCGTTGAACAGACATTGCCTATCTATGGCCCTGAATCTTTTTACGGGCGTCGAATTCTCGGCGGGTGCAAAAGTTGGGCTCCACGCTTTAGCACTATTTCCAGTATGAACCGGGGATAATGGATGGCGAAGATAGGACAAGAAGAGATGGTAGGTCTTGGCCCCCGAAATCGGCCTACTTCCACACATTTCGCCCACCCAGCTGAGAATCTTGGTGAGTTGGACGACTGTTCGATTCATTATGGAGCCAGTAATGGTAGCCCGGCAGTAGACATGTAGAGAGAATGTGTGGCTTACAGACCCTTGTGCCAGCATTCCCTACGCTGGGGGATACAGTCTATCGGTATGGAGAGTTCGATATTCTGCAAGTTCTACTTGTCTTTTCTACTGCAAGACTTCTTGCCATAGCAGGCGGGCGAGCTACTATCACGGGGCAACCATCGAGTCCTCTTGAACCAGAGACGGGATAAACGTGGCTTGATACCGAGATGGACATGGCCAAGAGCTTGCCTTATCAACGGCATGTCAAACTTGAATCCAGTCGTAGACTAGTATCAGTGGTTTTCCCACGATAGAGCCAAGGCGTACATGCCGTATCGAGGGCTTGCTAGATCGAGGGGTGGCAGGACCCGAGCACCTCGAATGCAGGGCCGAACGATTTAGCACCACCTTCTGCCACCAAGTTTGGGTATGACCTATGACTAGTCCATAGCTGCTGTGCGGTACCTTCTCGTTGTAGCTACTCCCGTGGCTAGGTTCCCTTTTCAGTAGGCGCCTCTGCATAAGCGTGCTCCTGGGCATTACTAACGATGCAGTGTGGCCCCCTCGACAGCTCAAGGACAGTCCAGGTAGGATAGCCCGTGCGTGCTGGTACTGCATCTAGAACCTGCAAGGGAGGCGGCTTAGCCGCGCCGAGGACACGGACGAGAGCTGTCAGCACTCTACAAGAGCCGGCTCTAGGGGACATCTTAAAATCAACGACGAGTAGACTTCTCGGCTCAGGTTACGTATGATGCACAAAATGTACCTCTACTGTGGAGGGTAGCCCCTACTTCACTGACACTGATGATTTGAGTATACTCATAAAGAAACAACACTACATTTATTCATTGATTAAGAGGAAATAGAAAAGAGAAGAAATGGTAAAATACATCTAAGACAAGTTAAAGATGGCCTTGAGAACAGTGAGGGCGGCAAAGAGCTCGTTATCATGGTACTTGCGCGCGATAATCTGGAGGTTAATCGGGGCGCCCGTGAAATCCGACTCTTCCCACAACTGCTTCACGTGCTTACACGCGTCGCTCAAGGGCGTGTAGTCGGCGGCGTAGCTCTCGCCGGTTTCCGTCTTGATCGGTGTCGGGACGACAACGCCGGGGTAGTCTACGAAATTGTAGAGAGACGTGTACGTCCAGTAAAACGCTGTATCATGGGCGCTGGCCGGCCCCACAAAGGCCGGGCCAATGGTCACGTCTACGTCCTGCGCGTGCCAGTCAGCGGCAAAGTCGCAGCGGAACTCGTCTCGCTCGCGGCGCATCTGGTTCACGGCCTCGGCCGTCTGCATACCCGCGGGCTCGGCGTCCTTCCAGATCCAGTCGCTCAGAGGGAAGACGGGCTCGCCGGTGGACTGGATGGCTTCCTTTACGACGCTGCCGCCGTCGGGCCAGTACATGCGCCGAATCTTGGACCACGCGTCCGCGGCGCCGTAGGGCTTGAACTCCTTGATCTCGACGAGATCCGCGTAGCGCGGGTCCGTGAGAAGTTGGCGCGCCCACGCAATGGCGCGCTTTACGGGGGCTGGGGCTCGATGAAGCCGTCGTTCTCAATGATGCCGATCTTGAGGCGGCGGCCCGGAGTGCCGGCGAGGCCGGTCAGGGGATGGGCACAAGCCTGGGGTCCAGAAGGTGGGGCTTGGCCGAGAGGACGCAGCGCATGAAGAGGTCCATGTCGCGGAGACTGCGGCACATGGGGCCGGTGGAGCACAAGACGTTGAGCTCAGCAGAGAAAGGGGCAGCGAGGAATCCGCGCATGGGCAAGGTGTAAGTAGTGGGCTTGAAGCCGTAGATGCCGCTAAAGGCGGAGGGCCCGCGGATGCTTCCGCCAATGTCGGTACCGATCCCGAGCACGGAACCCTTGAGGGCGATGAGGGCAGCCTCGCCGCCAGTGGAGCCGCCGGCGGACAGGTGGATGTTGTAAGGGTTGAGAACGCGGCCCCAGAGGGAGTCGCTCTCGAGGTGCATGATGGTCTGGGGCTGGTTGGTCTTGCAGTAGAAGACGGCGCCAAGGGAGCGCAGAATGGAAATCATCTGGCAGTCCTCCTTGTCCTGGACGAGCGTAGCCAGGCAGCTCTGGATGGACCAGGTCCCGGCGATGGGCATGTGAATCTTGATGCTCAGGGGCACACCATGAAGGGGCCCAATGGTCTTGCCGTGCTCTGCCAGGTAGTCATCGAGCCCCTTGGCTTGCGCAACGGCCTCGTCGAGGAACCATTCCGTCAAGCAGCAGGTGAGCTGATGGGCAATGATGGCGCGCTTGGCAAAGCAGAAGCCACGGCGACGGCCGTGTACTTGCGGCTCGCGATGGCCTCGGCGAGGCCGACGGCATCGTAGTTTTCCGTGATCTCGAGGTCCAGGTCGGACAGGAGACCGCAGGAAGCCGGGATGCCCGACACATCAGTGGGAGGGTTGTTGATGAGATCTAGAGGGAGACGGAGCGACTGGGGGATCCTGTCGGCAAAAGCCCCGAGAATCTCAGCGCGCCTCGTCTCGTACTCTGGCGATCCCGTGGGCACGCTCTTGGGTTGGATGACGGGAAGGGCAGCGGTGACCATTTTGGCAGGTAAGAGCAGTGAGGCTCTGGGGTATCTAGGAAAGAGGAAAAGAAGAGTGAGAGAAAGGGGAAAATGGCGAAGAAACGGTGGAGAGGGAAACCAAGATCCAAAGACCAAGAAGAGATATGCTATGGAGAGGGGAGCAAGAGGAGGAGCGAGGACAGGGATATTGCTGGATCAAGCCAAGTCTTATCAGCAGGGCAGTTGAATGCTTGGGCGATATCCCCTTTATATAATCATCAGTTGATATCATCGAGGGCATTCCGAGCGATTCGACTACCGTCCGCGGGGTAAAACGAAAAAGAGGGTCCCGATTGCATAGCAACTTGGCCTCTTCGATCGCGAGATCATCACTTGTCGTCGCTTATTAGCTAAGAGATGCCATCACGGGGAAATGGAAGCTCCAAGCTCTCACCCTTTGGCATCGGGCGCAAATAGCTCCAATTGGCCCCTGGGAGCAGTGTTCCAACGGGTAGGGCCCGGTTGCGGGGTCGGCGCCCCGCCTAGTCCGGGATCGTGAGGAGCGGGCCAATCACGCCTATTTGCGCCCGCGATAGCTACCACAGCTTGGCGGAACCCCAACAGCGCCACCACGTCCATGCGTTATCACCCCCTTGCCCTCCCCCGAAATCTCCAAGTCGGTAATAGAGGGCATTGGCCAGAAAGGGGCTATCGCCTTACCCCAGACGATACGGGAGCGTAGCTCAGAGACCTGGACAGGCACTAGTCGCGCGAAGAAAGGGATGGGGGAATGACGGCCAAAACATTCCGCGCCCTGCTGGGAAGAGGGACCCGACCCTTTGGCGAAGCTAGCGTGATGATAATAGCAGATAAGCCGATTGGCAACCTTAGATGTAGCATTTTGTTCGCGACGCTCAAGGCATTTTTTGGGTTTGCGTCTTCACAACATCAAGTTTATTTGTCTCATCCATTCCTCCGGGTTTCCCTGCTTGCATGGAATCACGACATGTTTCTATAAAGACCCGCGACGATCCCCGGCTGCTCCTCGATCTTGTTGGGTGTACTTGTTGTTCCCTTCTTTCTTTTCCTCACTCTTCAGCACCCACCGAGACATCCCCTTCTCGTTTCCCTCCTCGCTTGTCTTGACCGCTTTTTTCTCTATCCCTCTGCCTTCCTTCTTCTCTCAATCTGTGGTTCATCTCGAGGCCTTTCTCATGACGTCCGCATCCGGCAACATGTCTGCGGAGACCGCAGTCCCGGGCACCGTCCACCTCGTGGACTTGGACCATACCATGCGCGCACGCCACGCTGGTGGTCAAACGGATATTGTCCTGGATCCAGCCCCTTCCAATGATCCCAATGACCCGCTGAACTGGTCACCGCGTCGCAAGCTTCTCAGCTTGATCTGCCAGAACTTGTAAGTTGTCAATCACACTGTTGTGTTTTGCTCTCCGTGCAGATGCAAGTCGAAGGGATAGATGAGCTAACCAGGCGTCAACGTTCTTAGATACACTTGGTTCGTCGGCATTTCCGTCTCCACGGTCTACTCCGTCATTGTGCCGCTCTCCGAGGCATCAGGAGTGTCCATTGCAACGCTCAACGAAGGCACGGGTTTCATGTTTCTTTTCCTCGGCTGGGGCCTGCTCTTCTGGCAGCCATTTTCGCTGCGATATGGAAAGCGTCTGGCATACATCATTTCCACCGTGGGAGGAATCGTGAGTGTTATAATCCCAGGCTAATGCGCCATACCGTAACCAAAAGGCTGACTAGAGTTTACTTTTGTGCGTTGATAGGGTGTGAGCGTCTGGAGGTAAGTGACCGCCACTAGATCCTGCCGGCTCTTTATTCTGTATGTACAAGCTAACCAAATCGTTACAGTGCCTATGTCAAGAGCAACGGAGAATGGATCGCAAAGTGTATTATTCAAGGCTTCCTGTTGGCACCCATTGAAGCCCTTCCGGAAATCTCCATTACTGATATTGTAAGTAAACCAGCCCCAGCGCCACTTCCGCCCACATGTTGTTTTACGCGCTAACAGTCCGTCTTCTCGTTTCCCAGTATTTCACCCACGAGCGCGGCACGTACATGGGCCTCTATACCTTGTCCCTCCTGGGCAGCAACTACTTTGCGCCCATCATCTGCGGCTTCATCGCCCAATACCAGGGGTGGCAATGGGTGTTTTACTGGCCCGCCATCTTCCTCGGCGCCACCCTGCTCTTCCTCCTCTTCTTCATGGAGGAGACCAACTACAACAGAAAGGCGCCCGCCAACGTAGGCTCCGACAACGAAACCAACGTGGCTGCCGGTGGGGCTTCTGCTGACGAAAAGGGTGTCAAGTCCGAGCACTCGGACGCCGCCTCGCGCTCCGCCGAGCCCGGCGAAGAGTACCCGCCCCCGCGCAACTTTGTGCAAAAGATGTCGCTCTGGCAGCCTTCGCCCGGCCAAAACATCTTCAAGCGGGCCTGGCGCAGCTTGTACTTCCTGAGCTGGCCCGTCATCTTTTACGCGGGCTTCTCGTACGGCTCCTACATTATCTGGTTCAACGTCCTCAACGCCACCGCGTCCATCGTGCTGTCTGGTGAGCCGTACAATTTCCCCCGTCCATGGTCGGTCTCAGCTACGTCGCCTGCTGCGTGGGCACCATTGTCGGCTCCCTCTTCTCTGGCCAGTTCAGCGACTGGCTCACCATCAAGCTGGCCCGCCGTAATGGCGGCATCATGGAGGCGGAGCACCGCCTGTGGCCCTTTGTCGTCTGCATCTTCGTCGTGCCCGGTGCCCTCATCCTCTGGGGTGTTGGCGCGTCTCGGGGCATCCACTGGTTCGGCCTTACTTTTGCCATGGGCTGCGTCGCCTTTAGCTTCGCCGTCGGCGTCACGCTGAGCATCAACTACTTGATTGACAGCTACCATGAGATCCGAGGCGACGCCCTCGTTTCGGTCATTCTTGTGCGCAACACCATGTCCTTTGCTATGGGTTACGGGTAAGTTCCATCCATTATTCTTTTTCCGATTTTCCTACTTTGCATGGAACAGGGATCCCCAAAATTTTCGAGTAGAGGCTAACTAGACGATTAGCATCACCCCGTGGTTGACCAACCTCGGTCTTCAAAACTGCTTCATTTCCGCCGCCTTCGTGGGCATGGCTGCTTCGTGCGTCTTTTTCGTCATGATCAAGTACGGCAAGGCGCTCCGAATTCGTAGCGCGGCCAAATACCACAAGGTGGTGGAGGAGGATAGGGCCACGTGGGAGAGCACTTAGATCTATTGCTACAATACGTGAGGCAAGGTTCTGTGGGTGGTGTTAACTAGGGTTTTATCGATACGTGAGAATGGAGATTGGTGCAGGTGTCTTTTAATTAGTTTCAATTGTTCTTATTCCCAGTTTGGATTCGCCTTGTCTCTAGTGCGGATTCCATCAATATTCTTACTCTTAGCTTCCTTGGACCAAGGGGTTGAACCTTTCTTTGTTTTATTCAGCTCTCGGAGTTGGTTATTCGAAACCACTAAGTCACTCTCTCCCTCGTAGAACTAGGCAAGCCCATAAACCTTCTAAAAGAGTACATGTAATAGGATGTACGGCGGTAGTTAAGACGTCTTTTCATCCTGCGATAAAATCAATATCCATAAATCTTTTTCACAACCTCAAAGTCTTACCATGTACATCCTTTGAGGCGTTGTGGTGGGCGGGTGAAAACGGACATGGGAATAATACATGAGGAGTAAGTAACCACGTAACCCTCAACAATCGGGTTTTTGGTGGATTGAATGCCGAATCACGCGCGCCGCTTATCATCCTGACGAAGAGAAACCAAGGTGGAGAAAGAATATGCCCTCCCAGTTTGGGTTTAGAGCTTTTCCCCGCATCCTTCGCAGCCAATCTCAAGACGGGCAAACGTTGCTCCAAGAGAGTGAAGCTCTCGGGTGGAGACGACGCCCAAAAGGGGCTAAGGAACCACGCCAGAAACCCGCACCAGCGAGTCCAGCTGCTTGGGACGATAAACGAGGTTTAGCGGCGGCCCTGGGTAGAATCGAATAGAAGTGGAGAAATGTGCGATAGCTAGGCTCACGTTATTCGACCCGGAGATCCATAGATAATGATACATATGGGCCTAGTCCCCTCCCAACCACGGCCATTCCACCCACACTCCAAAAACTTCCCACGCCCCCTGTCTCTGCCGGTTTGACGAATCTGCCCCCTCCCCCTCTTTTTCCAAGAGATAACAGCGCAGCGGCACAACTGGGTGGAGATCTTTGCATGCAGCAAATACCTAATAGAACCGTGTACCGTAACCATGTCCACGGCCAACGCGTCAAAAGCGAGGCTTCGCACAAAGACGGGGTGCTTGACTTGTCCGTAGAATATCCCTCCCCTCCCCTTTGTCTCGGCTCCTCGGCCGCGTTATATTCTCTCTTTTCCCCTCCCCTACCTGTCGCCTCTTTTTGTCTAACCTCTGCGTCCCTAGGCCGACAGCGCCGGAAGAAATGTGACGAAAAGGTGCCCGAGTGCGGATACTGCGTCCGAGCCGGTCGGGAGTGCGCCTGGCCATCGACGTCGGACCTCCTCGACCGGCGCTTCGCCTCCCACCAACGATCGCGACACCAGGGCAAACCCCTTCCCCGAGGGCCACCGGCGCGAGGCCCTTCCTTCCGGTGGCTGGTGGCGGCATGCCTCTCTCGGTGCCCTTGGAACTGCAGCTAATCAACGAAGCCGGCGCCGCCCACGGCGTCATCTCTCGGGACCTGGAAATGGTCATCTCGCGACACTTTATCGAGCGATACTACGGCTTGCTTCTGCTTCCTAATGGGCACCCTGGGTTTTACAACGGGTGGATTACCGAGATTCAGGAGCTCATGACGCGTCACAAGAGCCTTTATTATTCACTACTCGCCAATGCGGCGTCGCATATCCACTTTATCGACACGTCGTCCACCATGCAGGAACTCGCCCTCACGTATTACTCCCACTCCCTTAAGGATCTATCACGCCTGCTCGCCACGTCTGCGCATGAGCTACAAAACCATAATGGCATCTTGATGTCGGTTATGCTACTATACCTCCATGGGGTATGTTACTCGTCCCACCTTTTTATCCCACCCCTTCCTCCTCTCCCCTCAAATCCTTCTCCCCATCCATCGTCGGGCCACTCGCTCTAAATAAAGAGCCACTCGACACGCAATGACCTTTCTAACTCCATCTCCGCGGTAGTGCATGGGCAGGGGCACGTACACAGATATTCCACGACACGTCAACGCCGCCACGCGGATCCTCACCATGCGTCTTCTCGACGGCGAGCTAAAGATCGAGCGTCTCTTTGACAGACTCGCCATCGAGAGCCTGCTCTACCAGATATTCCTGACCACGACGGGCCTCTGGCTCGACCCCATCGGCCTCGACTACGAGTTCAACGCCGAATTCTGGTACCGCGCCGAGGACCTGCTCGAGCGATCCAACTTCTTCCCCGACCAGCCCCGCAGCGTCAACAGCCCCGTGCTAGGCGTGCCCGTGTCGCTCTTTCGGCTCACGCTCTCCCTCAAGCAGCAGCTCCAAAATCCCTTTCAGCGCGACCAGGACACCATTGACCAGCTCCGCGGCGAGGTGGAGATGTGGGAAGCGGCCCTCTTGTGCAACCGCGAGCCCACCGCCGACCTTTTCCCCGGCGACGAGGTCAAGAACCGCCAGCAGGGCTACTACAACGACGTGCTCTACCTCTTCGCCGTCATCGCCTCCGTCATGTTTGAGCAACTCTGCCTCGAGGTGGACGCGGGAACGACGGTCGCGGACGGCCTGCCCATGGCCATGCCAACCGACTGCTGGCAGGTGGCCAAGGCGGTCGAGATCCTCGAGTCGCGTCGCGACGATAGCGGATGGGCGGGCTGCTACATGGGCAACTGGCCCACGTACACCTTGGGCTTCTTCATGACCTCCCGGAGCACATCGACCTCGTCCGCTCCGAAATGCAGCGGCGCTGGGATTTGGTCAAGTTTTCGCAGGTCGCGCGATTCAGAAACGACCTGGAGCAGACGTGGGCCGCGCGAGAGAGGGCAAGGGCGAACCGCGGTTTCCACGCCAACTTGCCCTTTCGCGCGGACAAGGCGTCGTCTTCGGATGGCAGGATCTACGCCGGGTGATTGACGCCGCAGGGATGGTCAGCCAAGAGTGATGATCTCGGCCATCACCCGCCCTACTCGGCTGTGCCAAGAATTTATTTCCTCCACAGGTAGGAGGTTGAAGATCACAGCACAACGTCGCAACAATCACCCCCAAAGTGCCCCCTATAAATTTGAAAGAATTCAGGGCAATTCCCACATTTCATAGCCTTCGAAAGAAAAGAGGTACCGAGGTACTTTCATCCTGGCAGAGATCTGCTGACAAAGGAGCCTGGTCAATATCCGAGGTTTAGCAGCTTGAGATGGCCAAATAAGAGCTAGCCAAGAATAGTTCCAGGGCTTCTTGGGCCCTTACAGAGCTCGAGTTGTGCTAGCCCAACTGGAAGTGGTGATGGTGATAGGCGAACCGATGGCGACGGAGATGCCCACGCCAATCAATACCGGTTCCTTCAGAACTGCGTGCTTGGTGAGAGCCATGAGCCTTGCTTGCGTGTACAAACAGTGATTAGTAGAATAACTGAGAATTCGACCGTCTTCAATTTCTACGTATCCAAAGTTTTCTCCCCATCGACACAGCTATTTGGGATCTGTGTTATGTCTCTTCGAACTCATGATGCTAGGTCGAATTGTCCTGCTACACTCGCTTTGGGCTAATAGTAGGGAGAAAAGCGAAAATGCGGAAACCTCAAGGCAGAGTTCGACCTGTCGTTGTCCAGGCTTTCTCGTCGACGTCGTTTTCCAAGCGACTAATGGCCAGTCTGACTCTGCATAAGCGTGTGGTGAGGGCTCATTGGCGATAAACAGGCGCCGAAACCCCTCTTAGCTTCCCCTCATTCACGGATCTATGGATGAATCAGTTCATTCGATATAGTTCCTTTGAGGATCAAATACAAACTAGAATGGTCGTGCCACTCCTAGAATAATTCAAGAATTTGGCTGCGGAAAACAGCCACTCGTGCTTTATCTTAAGCTCTAGGTCTAATGGCACATAAGCTTTGCTCGGCATGCAGCGGTATCACCCTGCCAGCGCTGTGCCAACCAGGCGGCTACCAGCACATCCCCCATGGCCGCGAAATTTTTAAATCCGCGGAGAGCTGCGACTTGTGCGAGTTGATTCGGCAGGCCATTCACCAAAATGTATCGTACAGGGCCGGAACGCGAAAAGAGAGAGCAAAAGCTGCTCCAAGACATGTTGCTGGAGCCGATTGTCATGGTCGGATTCACGTCGTCGGCGGAACTCATTCCCCAGCCCGAAATTGCGAGCGATGGAACACACCCGCTGAACCTAGTTGGGATAAATATTCACATACCTGTCGAAGGAGGCGGGGACATTGCGCAGTTGAGTCTTGCGGCCGTTCGCGGTATAACATTCGCCACCCCATGTTCATGCTGTCCATGGCAAACAAACGAGGCCAATCTAACATCTTGATCAGGCAGTGCGGCGCATCGGGCAGGCCACGTTTCCGGTAGACCATTACTTCAGGATCCCTCGTGCCCCGAGGCGTTCCAGCTGCTCAGAGGATGGCTTGCGAGCTGCGTCTCCGGACATCCAGCCTGCAGCACATCGTTTGTCGCGTCGCAAACCTCCCTCGCGAAAAGTATACCTCAGCTTCCGACAAGGGTGCTGGACGTCGGCCCGCCCGATGGATCCCAGGAGCCGCGAGTCAAGATCGCCGGCGGTGAGCGTGCCGCGTACGCTGCACTCAGCCATTGTTGGGGAAAGCACCAAATAATCACGACGCGGACGACGAATATACAACAGCATTGCCAGTCGGTGCCCATGGCTAGTTTGTCAAAAACCTTTCAAGATGCCGTCATGATTACTCGTGAAGTAGGGCTTCGCTACTTGTGGATTGACAGCTTATGCATTGTCCAGGATGACAGCGCGGACTGGAAAAGAGAATCAGTAGTGATGGGGAGCATATACCAAAATGCCACCATCACCATTGCTGCTTCTTGGGCGAAAGATGGGCGGGAAGGGTGTTTTATAAAACGTTCATCTGCGTCGCCAAAGTGCAGCTGCCATATACCCCTGACGATGGCGCCGCCCCCGACGATGTGGTATACGCTAGTCTCTTCCCAGACGCTGACGTTAGTGACCTCGACGGTTCGCCGTTGGGGCAAAGAGCCTGGATTACCCAAGAATGGATGCTGTCGCCAAGAACGGTGCATTATACCGAGGCTCGCCTAGTTTGGGCGTGTCGCACCATTCTCGAGGGTGAGGACGGTGAAGTCTTGGCCCCGATGAACGAGCAGAGACTGCTAGAAAGCGTCAAGAGTTTCAGGGCTTATGTCGAGGCAAAGCCTTCTGGAGAACGGGCGCTCTCCGACCGGGATGAAACGATTGGATTCTTTGCGGACTGGAGTGAGATGGTCTCTACGTATACTTCGCGTCAGCTTACCTACGAGAGCGACAAGCCAATGGCAGTATTGGGCCTGGCCAAGGAGATTAGCCAGGGGATAAGCACCGAGTACATTGCAGGCTTCTTCTACGAAAGGGGCCAGGACAACTCATTGATACAAACCCCGTCGGGCAAGCCCGACGCATCCACTGCCGGCGGCTCTTTCCGCTCGGTCCTGGATCGCTCGTTGACCCCCGCGGATAGAAGATCACTGGATGGCTATACAGCTCTCTTGGTTCAGTAAAATTGAACTGACCCGGCCAGCCACCCTTTGCCATCTACCATCTTGGTCGTGGACGTCGACCATGGGCGAGGTTTCCTACCATATTCCGGCACAAACTGCAAACCCCGTCGCCAGCGGGATCCGAATCCGGGACATACCTACATCGGAATCACACTTTGGAAGCCGCGCAACTCTCGAGCTGGAGGCCCCGATCAAGTTGCTCGACCTTGGCAAGTACATTGTAAAGCGGACGGAGATTGGTTCGCCGTGGCCGATGAGCAAACCACTCGAACAGTTTTACTCCCGATCCACGTTCACGGATGGGGCGGCCGTCATTGCCTATAAACCGTTTGTCATGGCCCGCGCGGACTCGGGGGCAGCAGTTGGATGGATAGCGGTTGATGAGGGTGTTTTGCCAACCCACGAGCCCATGTTTGCCGTGTGTTTCTCCGGGAACGAGGTGAACGGAAAGTTTGACGGGTTCAACGTGCTAATTGTGGGGGAAAGAGACGGTAAAGGCGGAGGGCTGAAGAGACATCTTGTGAGGCTCGGCATCGGCGAGATTCAGGAGGAAGGGTGGTTTGATGGTGCTTCTCTAGAGAGAATCTGGGTGAAATAATGTGCATCTCGGCTTGCAATTTCAAGTCACCCTCGTAGCCAGGATGACAATTTGGTAGTAACATAGAGACTGCCGGTTCTACCGCGTCCATGTGCTCAACTTCTTCCCAGTGTTTCTATTAGGGCCCTTTCGAAAACCCCTTTGCCTTTGAATGCATTTCGCAGGCTGCCCGAGCTTTCTGCTTTCTAACCAAAATTAAAATTCTATGTCTTTCTCTTAGACGTTAATTTGGCCATCCAGCGTTGAGTTATGTGGTAGGTAGTACTAGTATGGACTATCGTCTTGAGGTCTGAGGTGTGTAGAATAGGGCTATCCTATCACCTTCCCATATAATCGACCCCCTCATGTAAAAGGCTATCAAGCTCCTCCGGTGTGATACGGGTTGTTTGCCCACCCGCAACCCATACTTCCTTGACTAGGGCCACCCGAGTGACCGATGATGTCTACGACAGAGCAGAGTCAAATCGAGCAAATCCTCCTTGTGCTACTCGTTTAAGCTTATGTAGGGCTTGCGTGCTCTGCCGCGGCCTGGAGAACAACCTAGTCGGACTTGTATCCCCAACCGCCCTCTTCACCCCGTTGCATATGCTAACCATGGCTCCCTAAGAGTTTGTACACATCCAAGGTACACGAAACAGCACATGAACAAAACATCCCTCGGTACCTCGGTATACTTGCTTTCCTTGGCTGTCTCAGTACGGGCACGGCATCAACCACTGAGAAACGCCAAAAGCCCAGTCATGTATCTATATATGCACCAGCCATGCGTTTCATCCCGTCGTGCTCGCGCGCCCCTAGAGGCGGGACAGCTTTGCTCCCGTGGACTTGCGGGGTGCTGGTGGAACCGTTGACGCCGTAGCTGGGAATAAGAAGAGCATGGCGTTGACCAACCCGTCCATTGACCTTGTTATCTCAAGGGGTTTATTTTCTTTTTCTAATTGTCAATTTCTTCCTTTCTTTTTATTCCTTCCTTCTTCATGATTGATTTGACTCTCCGTTATTGACTCGATCGCCGGTTTGTTGAGACACCGCCATGGGACGAGCTGCATCACAAGCTTGTGATACCCAGCTCCGCGGCCGAGGGCCTCGAAATGATGCGCGAATGACCTTGCTTGGTTTTCTTGGTGTCTGGAGGACTTTTCCTTATTATTTGCGAAAAAGAAAAAAATCTCCGAAATGAAGAGAGGCTTTGGGTGGAGAGAGACTCCCGCCCAGCTCCGAAAAAAATGTGTAGATTGATGCCGTTGTCTAATATCCGCGTCCTCCATCCTCTTGTTCCAAAATACCCACTTCAAGCTTCAAGGGTGCTGTACTGGGCGTGGGCACTTTTCCTCTTCAAGGCTAGTGAGCAAAGCTCAGCTCAGGATCCGACCCAACCCCCGCCTCCCGCCTCCCGCCGTGCACAAGTAAGGCCGGATTTCCTTTTCTGTGCGCAGTGAGATCGGCAAGTTCGAGAGAATCAGTGACGTGGTCCACGCAGGCGCCCAATGAAATAGCGTGGATTATCAAGTTCCAAGCGCTTGTGGCGCCATGGCTTGCTGGACGATGCTTTTCGTTGGAAGGTGTGCCCGAGACCACAGACTCTTACCTGAATCATTGTGCAGGGGAGAGGGGAAGCTGAAAAGCAATAAAGAAAAAAGGGTATCCTGAGGGCCAAGAGGAAAATAAAACAAGGTCGGCCTCCCATGGGGCCCAATTCAGAAAACAAAAGTTATGAGGAACTCTGTTTTCTCTCCTTTTGCCTTTTCGTCTCGTTCGTGTTCCCTCCCACCGAGCCTCCCCGTCAATATTCCTATTTACCAGGCACTAGTTAAAACATCTTGTGTTCCTAGTTGTGACATCTTGTGGCTTACGCGCAGCACCGAGTGTTACCGAGATCCCTGTGAGAACGAAAAGAAACCCTTGCGAGAATGTCTCAACCGATCCCGCAGCCGCCGGGCGTTCCCTTGCTCGGCAACATCTTTGATGTTGACCCAAGCAACACCTGGACCTCTCTGAAGAAGCTGGCGGAAAAGTACGGAGAAATTTTCCAAATCAGCGTCCTCGGCCACAAGCTCGTCTTCGTCGCCGGCGCCGCGCTGGCCGAGGAGCTGTGCGACGAGAAACGCTTCCGCAAGTTCGTCGGCGGGCCCATTGTCGAGATTCGGGCTGCCGTCCACGACGCCTTGTTCACGGCCTACGATGACGAAGAGTCCTGGGGCATCGCCCACCGCATCATCGCCCCCACCTCTCCCCCAGGCCGTGGCCGACACCTTCGTCGACATGCGGGACACCGCCTCGGAGCTGACCCGCAACTGGGCGGGCCTCGGATCCGGCAAGAACACGATCCAGCTCATCGAGCAGCTCAACCGACTCAACCTGGAAGCCACCACCCTCGCGCTGTACGGCAAGAAGCTCAACGGCCTGACGGGCCCACCGCATCCCATGCTGCAGGCCATGGAAGATTCGACCTCGGAAGCGATGAAACGACCGAACCGCCCGGGGTTCCTCAACCGGTTCTTCTACGGCGGCAAGTTTACCAAGTCCATCCGCACCATGCGGGGCTACGCGGCCGACGTGGTCGAGAACCGAAAGGCCAACCCTGGCGACCACGCCCGCAAAGACGTGCTCGCCGCGCTCATGAACAGCAGCGACCCCGAGACTGGCAAGGCCCTCACTGAATCGCAGGTGATTGATGAAATCGTCTCCATGCCCATCGGCAGCAGCACCGCGCCGTGTTGCGTCACCACCGCCATTTATTTCCTGCTTAAGAATCCCGACAAGCTCGCCGAGGCCCGGAAGGAGGTGGATACCGTCCTCGGAAAGGGAGAGGAGTTTACTTATGCCCACCTCTCCCAGCTCAACTACGTGGAAGCCATCGTCCGCGAAACGCTACGCCTCTCGTTTGCCGCTCCTGGTTTCAATATCGAGCCTATCCCGAACCCCAACGACAAGAGCCCCATAAAGCTAGGCGGAGGCAGGTACGAGATTGCCCATAACCAAGCCATGATTATCGTGCTCGCGGGCGTAAACAGGGATCCGACCGTATTCGAGGACCCCCACCTCTTCCAGCCTGAGCGCATGCTCAAGGGGCCTTTGAAAAGCTGCCTCTGGGAGTCAGGAGGTTCTACGGCAACGGCAAGCGCGAGTGCATCGGCAAGCATTACGCCGCCCGGTGGAACGTGGTTGCGTTGGCGACTCTTCTCCGCGACGTGGATTTCGAAATGGCGGACCCCCAGTACGAACTTCACCAGGATGGGTGGTTCAATCTTCGGCCGGTTGATTTCTTTGTCAAGGTCAAGCCGAGACAGGCGTAGTGTGTTGATTTAGGATAGAAATGCATTAATGAGATCCGCGGGATGATGACAAGACCCTCGCATTGTTTGACGATTGTTTACTTGGATGATAATGATTGTGTTTCTACTATTCAATGTTAAGTCAACAAAGCAGTGTCCTATCATGACGCAAGGACGTCGGTCAACGCCAAAGCCGTTCAAGGGCTTCGCCTGGGACAGTCACATTCAAACGTGTCGGCTCACAAGCAAACATCGTGATATAATGCAATGAAGATGAGAATAACAGAATCTCCCTTCACTCGGCCCCTTCCTACCAAGTACATTTCTAAGTTACCCATGACTACATATTCATGAAAAATAGTCTAAAACTTCCAAACAGCTAATTTAGCTGCTTTCCGTGCTATCGTGCTGGCTTGAGGCAACCTTTTCCGAAGTCTGCTGGCCTTGGCCAAGCTCAGTGACCTCCTCTCTCGACGTGAAGAGATAATCAATCTCCTCCAAGGTAAGGTTGGATGTTTCAGGATAGAAACTAGAGTGGAAGAGCGGGAGATTAGTTTCGCAATAACACTAGATATGAGCAGGATGTTGTGTTCACTTACAAGTAAAGAAAAGGAATGAATGCGAAATTAGTACAGGTGAAGATGAGGTAAGACTTCCATCCAATCTGAGTGGTAATGACGGGAGTGATCATGGCGACGAAAAGTTCCAGATCCAGATACCGAAGCCGGTGGCGATTGAAGCACCCTCGGCGCGAATCTGCAGAGGGAGAATCTCGGGGACGTAGACGTAAGGGACACTCAAACACGTCATGCCAAAGACCAAGTTGTACTGTAATGGCAGTGTTAGCGAGCCAAAGCGACCCAAAAGAAATTCCCACAGTGATTTAAACTCACAAGGAAGAAAAAGGCAACAGCAGCACTCGCGCAGGCTGAAGTTCCAATGGACAAGAGAATGGACAGCATCATCATGCAGATACCTAAGCCGGCAGAACCCCAAATCATCGTCTTTACGCGGCCCATTCGATCGAGCCATAGGGCAGGCACAAAGAGCCTAGCAAGAACATGACTTGAATGCTACAAGTTTTAAAATAGGTTAGCTGACTGCTTCTTATGTGTTCTTTTGATTAAGGTCCAGAGTGCCGGAGATCACCACGATACTTACCATCCTCCGAGAATCAACGACAGTTTATGTTCCATGCCGATACTAGTCTCGAGCACAAAAGCAGCGTAGTAGACGACGAGGTTGATACCGCCCATCTGGTTGATGAAGTACATGCCCCAGGCGAGTAAGAGGCGGCGACCGCTCTGAACAGAATCTCCCCTGAAGATGTGCTTCCACTGGAAGGGGCGTGACTGCTCGAGAGCGAGGGTCTCGAGGATCTCCTTGCGGAAGTTTTGGATGTACGGGTCGTCCTCGGGAATGTCCTCGACGCGGCAAATAGTCTCGACAGCTTCTTGGACGTGGCCCTTTTTGACGAGCCATCGGGGAGATTCGGGAAGTACAAAGACGGCGAATCTAACAAGGTGGAGAGTATCAGCATCGTTGCGGACTACCCCCTGGGTATTATTTTTCTTCCCAAACCAAAGTGCATATAACATCAAGAAACTGGTGCAGACTTACACGACAACAATGGCAAAGATAATCTGTAGAGCAAGGGGAAGGCGCCAAGAGATGGGTCCCGGAGCAAACGACATGCCAAAGTCGAAGAAGTAGGAGAGTACGATACCGGCGCCGAGGAAGACAACCTCCGAGGAGATTAGACGGCCCCTCATCTCCGGGCGGGACAGCTCGGCTTGGTAGGCGGGGACAGTCGAGGTCTCGATGCCGGTGCCGATGCCGGTGATGACTCGGCCCACGAGCATCTGCGCTACCGAGTACGAGCACGTCTGGATGACGGCGCCGACGATGATGATGGCCATGGCAACCCACATGCATCGACGTCTTCCCAGTCGATCGGCAATGAATATGTTGAGCATGCAGCCGAGGAAACAACCTTGCGGAGACAATTTCGTTTAGTTGTTTACTCGCATCAGGTGGCAGGCGGAGCAGATGCTCTATAAGACGGCTGCGACTCACCAATATTGTAGATTGACACGATGATACCGGTCAAACTGGCGCTGGGGTAGTTAAAGGTCTTGACAAAATTGGGATTATTGACAATCCCACCAAACACGCCCTGATCATAGCCGAATAAAATGAACGCCTATCGACGGTAGAAGGTTAGCAACAACGTGGGGCATGCATAATTTCTGATGCTGGCTAATCGTTAGGAGATGCACAAAACTCACAATATCGCAAGCAATGTTAATCACGATCCGCAGGCCGAGGCCGCGCGAAAGTGAAGGGTGCCTTTTCAGCGCCCATCTTTCGTTGATCGGTTGTCGAACGTGGGATGGCTTGCGTGAGTGTGCGTGTCTGTGTGGATGCTTGCGCTCTTTGCTCAAGTCCCGGAAGCCGATGTCAAGGCAGATGCCAATGTTTCTTGTGGAGATTCTTATCCATCTAGCACTAGAACCATGAGGCTATCGATAGATCTTTATAGAAAAAGGTTTCTGAATTTCTGGGGAAGTTTTTCGCCGCCTCCACACATGGTCAATTTACCCCATCCGACTCGGCTTGTTTCCAGTCTTACCCAAAACAGCGATGCGTCCCGGCGACGTAGTCCGGGGATGGTTACACTTCCCCCAACTATTTTCCCCGTCCTCTCGTTGCGCTTCATTCTCACACCTCTTGTCTTTCCCCGCATCAATCGGGCCAGGGAAAATCACACCTCCCCGCAGAAGCACCTTGGCTCTGGCCGGGGAGGGAACCCCATGGGGAAATCATCGTTCCCCACTTGGTCCAAGTTGGAGATCCAATCCAGGAGCTGCCGTGGGCGCGCTAGCGAAACCAGATACTTGGAATTCCCCTTGCTGCTTACTCGATGGGGAAAAAGTCTCCGCCAAGTTGAGTTCTTGGGTTCCATCCGCCAGCCTAGATGCAGCGCGTGTGCGTTCAATCATCATCGTTGCCAGATCGAGAAGATCCTCCAAGCCGAAGAGGCAAGAGGTCCAGGATGTAGCCAACGTTGACAGCTATGAATAAGATGGCCATGAGTTTAGATTGATCACTTCCAGGAAGCCTACGAGGTAGGGAGACAAAGTTCTAATGGAGAAGCTCACCAAAACTGGGAATAATGCCCGGGTCGGCTCACCCAGCCTGTGTCTACGACTGGCCTAGCTGTATAGACAGGCCATTACTGTATAGACAGGCCATTACAGCCGTATTTTGACAGCATATGAACTGGTCATTCTTCCCAACGATTCATTTCTATATATGGGACTTCTTCCTAAAAAAGTAGTAGCATTCGTTCATCAAGAAACTCGAGAGCTAAAGCCAAAGCCAACCTCTTTCGTTGTACACAAGCACAAGAGGATTCTCTTCTAGAAACCCTGGGAAAAGAAGGAAAAAGCCCCAAGTCTCTTCTACCATCATTTTCTCCCATGTTATCGCTTGCCCTCTTAGCAGGCGGCACGGCCGCGGCGGCCGTCGCCTACTTTGTTGTCTACCCTTTAGTCTGGTACATGTGCGATCCCCTCAACCTCAGGAGATTCCCGGCCCCGAACCTATTGGCGGCCACGACTCCTATGGCTGATGAAGATCAACGCTCAGGAGAAGCGCTCGTACCGCGTGCACGAGCAGCACCAAACGCTCGGCGACGTCCTACGCGTCGGACCCAACACGGTGTATTTCAACGACCCGCGCGCCGTCTCGGACATTTACGGCCACAAGGCCATCTCCAAGATTGGCAAGGACACCTTTTACGACCGTCTCGCCGGAGACTTCCACGACATTGTGCAGGAGCGCGACCGCAGCGAGCACAGCCGCAAGCGCAAATACCTGTCCAACGCCTTTGCTCTCGCCACCGTCGTCGATATGGAGCCCGTCATCCGCGCCAACTTCCAAAACATGCTGGACCGCCTCGAGAGCTTCATAGACTCCACGGCCAAGGAAAAGACGGAAGGGGACCGGTTCAACATCCGGCAGTGGTTCAACTTCTTCACTCTCGACGTCATTGGCGACATGGCCTTTGGGCTGCCCATGGGCTTCACCAAAGCAGGTTGCGACACCAAGACCGCCGAGGACCCCAGGGCAGGAAGTACACTGTCGAGAGCACAATCAAGGCCCTCCACCAAGGCGTCCGGTACAGCATCACCGTCGGTCAGATCACGTCTTTCCGCCTCAACGGCATTCTAAAGCAGCTAGCCAAGTGCAGTGGTCTCATCTACTCGTCCACGGGCTCCAAAGATGCCGATGACTTTGAGTACATGTCCCTGCACCAACTCCGAAACCGACTTGACAAGGGCGGCCCGGAGCGCAGCTCGGGCGACTTCATCGGCAAGATCTTGTCCGACAAGGACGGCAAGTCGCGCTCTCTACCGCTAGGTGAGATGCTCGCCGAGTCCGTCGTCATGATGAATGCCGGTAGCGACACCACGGCTGCGGCCCTCACCAACACCACGTACTACCTCTTGTCCAATCCTCGCTGTCTTGCCAAGCTGCGCAAGGAGCTTCAGGAGGCCATCCCTGCTGATCACCAGGGCATCGTCGAGTACAACTATGTACGCTCCCTACCGTATCTTCGCGCCTGTATCGATGAGTCTCTGCGCATGCGACCGCCCATCACCTACCCTCCCCGTCTAGTGTACGCTCCTGAAGGCGCCACCGTGGCGGGTCACTTTCTGAAGCAGGGCACCGTCGTCGCCGTATCGCCTTACACCATCCACCGCAACGAGACCGTCTACAAAGATCCCGATACCTATGATCCCGACCGGTGGTTCGACCCCGATCAAGTGGCAGCTCTCAAGGCCTACAATATTCCGTTTAGTACCGGTTCCCGCGCTTGCATCGGTCGTCACATTGCCATTGTGGAACTTCAGATTCTCATCTCGACCCTTATGCTCAAGTATGACTTGGCCCTCGAGCCTGGTCAGGAACTGGACGTGTTTGAGCGCTTCAACGCGAATCCTGGCCCCCTGCCCATCACTGCCCAGCGGAGGAGCAGGGATGTCGAAAGTACTGCGTGACTAGAGTCGTTGTGAGAATGATGTGTCGCTTTGCCTCTAGCTTGACCTGGATGTGTGTGTGTATGTAGCTCTTGGAGTGGCAGTGGCAGATGGGCGGGATGGGTGATCGATGGATAGAGGGATTCGATACGTCTAGAGACATCAAGATGCAGGTTATTATCCTGGAACAGGCGATTCCGTACCGCCTCTGATGAATTGACGATTTGCCTAAACTCATGATGGGCCAACCTGTCTATATGACATCTTTCTTTCGTGCCTGGTTAACTAACACGAAAACAATGAAACCCAATGTACCAGAACGGCAGAAGGAGAAAGAACGAATGAAAAGAATGCCGCTCCTCGTCATAATAGTTGTTACCCAAGTGCTAGATTATGTGGCTCGGTGCTACTTTTAGAGAAAGGCGCTGTTTATGATGCGCCTGTTTGTGCCTTTATTCGCCATTACACTTGCATCCACTATACATATCCTCACCCCCAAGGACCTTGACGTTTCGGTGCCTAGCCCCATGCGTCTTTTAGTCTCTTTTCCACTTCGTCTACAGGCCATCCGGTAGCAGTTCTGGCCATGTGCAGCAACTGGAGAACTTCGCGCTGTTCTGCCGGATTCTCCAGGAAGATCCCTGCCACGATAATCATGTGGCACGCGACGATGAGGGCCTGCGCAATGGGATTCGAGATGACGATGCCGCAGAGTATCCTTGTGTGGTTGATAATTTCGCCCTATAAATCGTTAGTGGCGCAATGGAGCTAGGCTAAGGGGTAGTCAGGATCTTACCTTGCCATGCAACGTCGTCAAGCTTCCGGCCTGCCCAGGCCGATGGCTCTTGAGCAAAATTAACGATAGATGGTAGTACAAAAGACCGATGACTACCATTGAGTATTAGAGATGATCCATATCATTCCAAACAAAGTAGCGAAAGGAAAGGGGGAAACAAGAAAGAAGCGAAACATACCATGCCAATCACAACTCAACAATATGGTGGGAAACACCTGGTTCTGCTCCGGTTCGGCGTCGTGTTCGTGAAAAGGAGCAAACGTGTCGGGTTTCTCCAAGTTCCAGCACTCCACCTGGGACAGAAGCACGGCCCACGTCTCGACTGACTTGCCTTGCTCGGGGCCAAAGCAAAAGTTGATAACGTGGCAAGTTAGCCCGATGATGTGGTTGCTCCAGGCGCACTCAATATCCGGGCGCGGAAGCCGGAGCCCCGGTGGTTCCAGGCTCGTCCTTCTCTCGGCCAGGTTCGCCTTGGTGAGATCCTTGATGGCTTTTAGGTTTTGTTGAAACAGAGGGCAGTCGATCTTGATGGGCCACCGCAGGAAGAGGGCGACGTGGATGTCCTCGCGGATGTGGACCCAAAACGCCGCACGCTTCAGCGACCCTTCTTTGTCCATGTAGGCAGACCATGGAGAGGTCGACAGCGCCAGGGATGACGAGAATAACGTGTCAGGGTGGCACCCTCGTAACTCCACTATACGGATTATCAGTTAGAAATTTGTGCATCTCAACTTTGGCTACAGGTTCTCTAGTAACGTGGTATGGGAGAGCTTACCAGTCATCTGGTCATAGATGCGCAGCAAAACGTAGGTGCCAAAGATAGCCCCCTCCATTTCTCGGTTCGTGAGGTCTTCCAAGACAGGAATCAGCAAACGCCCGCACTGGCGGCGGTATTGCCTCGCGGCACTGATCGGATAGTCGGACACGCGGCTCAGCTGAAGCGCGGATATGGTAAGGATCGCCGACAAGAGGCAAGGTGCCTTGGTCAGCGCCAGCTGAGGTATGGCCATAGTGAAGTGCCTCTCAGGGTCGTTGCAGTCCAGTAACGGGCCAAATGTCTGCATGAAGAACTTGATCAAGTGAGCTTCGCGCGAGTGAAGCGGAGCTGGCGGGGCGAGTGCTCTCGCCACCGTGTCCGATGTGCTGAACCCGTCATAGCGGTGGTGATGGCGGCTGCGGAGATCGAGGTGACTCTTAGGGTTCGTGTGACTTGTATAGTTTACGTGAGCTCCGCTTTCGGTGTGAGGATTCTCGGATCGCGTCACAGCAGAGGCATCCGGAGGATGATGACTATCGTAAGGGGATGCGATCTGCAGCTGTGGAGTTGGAGTTGCAACATCCACTACAGACCGCGCGGCGGTGGCGGTACCTGCAATACTCGGAGGGACAGCGGCAGCGGCGGTAACTATAGCGGAAGACTCGGCATGGCCGTACACGTGGTGGTGGGTGGCAATTGTGGCGGTTAGAGGGAGGCCAAACACCGCGGGAGGGTTTTGATAGAGGACGTCGCCCGAAGGTGAGACGTAGTCTTCCATCACACTACTCCCCGTGTCGATCCGACCAAGGGGAAACCCGTCCTCGAGGTCGCCAGATGGCTCATCTGCGCCATTCTCAGCTGTGCGGCCGTGGTTTCCAGTGTCATTACCCCTATCTCCGTTGCTGTTGGTAGCATGGTGGTTATCGCCAGCGCCGCTGCTGTGCTGGTCGCGAGCGTCGAGGGCATCAGCTCCTGGTCATTGGCTGCAAACGAAATGGATGCAAGTGACCTAGCTATAGACCTGGCTAGAGTCGGACTGGAGATGCTGGTTTCCTGACCACTGGAGCTGCGCGCCCCTCTGTACCGCTCAGAGATTCAATGTGTTGGATCAATTCTTCACGGTTAGGGTTAGTGTTTTGTAGAAGTGGGGGTGTTAATGGCCTCGTTGGCGCAACAGAGGGAGACGAGGGGGATACAGGTGCGATTGATCTGATGACATGGTCGTTATTGTTTACACTTCGTGTGGCCCTCTTCGGAGATCTAGCCCTTCCTGGTGAGTCGATGGGATCTTGCGTTGTGGCACATGAAGCTACATGTAGTCGATAAGATTAGTGAGGGTCAAATTATCATTCTTCATCTTGGATCTATTCTCTTAAACATACATGCACGTGTTGAAGCACCGGCACCGGGCCACTCACGCCCGTCAGCACGGTATTCCTCGGGAGAGTCATGTCGCAGCCGCCGCTTTCGGCGTTTCTTAACTTGGGGGCGGAACGACGTCACTTCCTGAACTGGAAGCTGGGCGCCGGCCGACACCTTTATTGACCCTGTCACAATTGTCGCAAACGGGATATTTTCGGTCACCTACATGACGTTGAGAAAGTCAGTAAACTTGTCGTCATCTGCGACCAACAGGGCCAATATGATAACCTATAGCCCGCAGTCTACGTCGAAGCTATCCCGTAGCCAAATGTGCCCCTTGCACATGTCTTTCTTCTCGCGCGTCCCAAAGCCATCCTTGAGAAAGTCCTGCTTACTTACACTTTATGTGCTTCTCTCGACACAAGGCGCTGTGGGGTGCAGGCCGGGGCTCTGGTCAGTTCAAAGTGGAGCAAGACAAAGACAAATGTGGGAATGTCGGAATGTGGGAACACGGCAACAGGATCGCCGGTGGCACCAACCAGGAACTCGGGATCGCGCGACTCTCCATCTGAGAATCCGGGGTAAGATGAACAGTCCCTCCCCTGTCTACCCAGGAAATCACTCAGACCAACACCGAAAGCAAAAAGTGAAGGGCCGAATATTCGCAGGCACAGCACGGCAAAGGAGATTGAGATTGAGCACGCATGTGGGCAATGTGATGCGGGCGAGAAAGTAAGATGGGAAGATGAAGACTGATCTGGCGAAAGCATCCGACAGACGCCTGGCCTTCTTTTCTTCTTCGCTCGCTTCAACGTTTTCTCTTTTCCCCCTCTTTCTCTATAGTTCCCGGCAATACATTGATGGAAAGGGGCGACGCATCCCCCGCTTACGCCTGTGGGGCAGAGCGGATCCCACGCAAATCGCGCTACTGACTTTGGTGAGTCTAGATCATGATGAAGATCTATTGACCTGACGTCGGAGGGCTTTTCCCGATTGGGAAATACATGGCAAGTCTGCCCCTCGCCGCCACTCACGTCTTGGAAGTAGGCGAAGGGACTCGCGAAGGGACTCGCTAGTGTGCTTTATTTTTAGCTCCTGATCCAGCTTGTTTTCTCGCCTTCTACTTCTTTTTCCTTGTCGATCGCATCCCGCCCAACAAGGCGGCAGGGCCCGAAAAGGTGGAAACAGCAGTCACTTTGTGTCCCTATTTTCGGACTAGGGTTGGCGAGTATCACCTTTAGCTACTTTGAAGTGATCTTGAAAACAACCTTTGCGGATTCTTCTGAGAGAGATCCAAGCTTTGGAGGTGGTTAGGGTTTGCTCTTCGCTGGATTCAATGTTCAGACCAGGTTACGACTTGTTTTCATCTCCACCAGTGAACATAACTTAACAGGGCTACCGAAATCCCGATTGGGGGTTATTCCTATACGGCTCATATAGTAAGAGGCAGGGTTAACCTGGACGGTAGTGCACTATGAAGGCGCGATTCGGGATTCGAGAAAGACACGGCAAGGCCCATCGCATTACCAAGGCCAACAAGTCGCCACGTTGAGGGTTTCTCTCTAGAAGGAGTAATTTATCGAGATATCTTAAAGAAAGGATACTAAAAGAGCGTCAGTAACTCTCGCTTCCATATGGTATGCTAGATACCAAGGGTCTTGAGGGTTGCGCGGGTGTATCCTTAGTATCCGCGCCACCAATGTTGCACGTGGTTCATGGACTAAAACAGTAACTCTTTCCGCCTGCATGGATTGATCCCATAGAAACGTCAAAGAAGCAGGACCTACTGGTCTCAGATCAAATTTAGGAGAACGCTTAGCTCTCCCCATAATAAACCCCCATGCGGCGGCGAATACTCGGGGTCCCTATTTGCTTGCCAAAAGGAACCCGAGAAGCGATCCATGGATGAATGATAGTGAAGATCAGCACTCTGTTCAGAGACAACAAGGCCTTGCATCTCTGCCTGGAACTAAAGCAGCCGTCTTGATTAACTCCCCTCTCGCCGCGTCCCATCCTCCCTCTACAGTCACCCTCTTCCAACTCAAGTCCCAACTATTACATCTATTCCACCTTTAACCATGGCATCCAGCAAGGGGTTTAGCGCCGACGAGGTGGCTGGACATACCCAAAAAGACGACTTATACCTCGTGATTCATTCTAAAGTCTATGACTGTACATCGTTCGTGAAAGACCATCCGTATGGTTTCCTCTTCCCCTCTTTTCCGTGTCTATGATTTACTTCTCGCTAGCCTTTATTAACCATTTTGGTGTGGTTTGCTTAGAGGTGGTGAGGAGGTCCTCCTTGATCTTGCGGGTGAAGACGCTTCTGAGGCTTTTGAAGACGTTGGGCATAGCGACGAAGCACGGGAGAAACTGGCAACATTTTTGATTGGCACTTTGATAGAAGAAGTAAGTGGACTTTACCGTGCTCCTTAATGGCTTTCATTCGAATGCTTCCGAAACGGAAGGATTTCTCACGGATATCCAGCACGCTGCGTCTGAAAAGACTGGGCCTCGCAGTGATGGTAGTGCCCAGATTCAAGAGGGCAGGACGCCAGGGACAGGAATGGGAGCCTACGGGATCGCAGTGATTGGCTGCTTGATGATGGCTCACAGTGGATGGAGATATCTTCAAGGCACTTGCATATTACATGTATTTTGTTGATCATACCGGAAGTGATAATCGCATAGACCGTCCCTTGCCAAACGCTCGATTTGATTTTCTTGGTCCTTTCGAGTGTTTCCCAAACCATAGCCCGCCGCCAACCCCGACACAAAACACCCTTCAACTTCCCTACAAAAGAAATAGAAGCACAACGGGTCTTCAGGTTACAGGAGTCTTAGCTACCGAAAAGACTCTAGTGAACCTCGACTCATCCGTGTGGCCTTCTCGCATCGAGAGAACCGAGTCGCAGCCTAAAGGTGATAGGCGGTGCAGAGAATGCCTGGTCATTACTCCTTGCCTCTACAGATCGAAACCGCTTGTGTCCAGAAGGGAAACTTCTTCAGTTAAAAAGCCTCCATTTTTTCAAAGCTCGCAGCTCCAGTTAGCGGTCTTGCATATCTGTGTCGCGGGGTTATGTTGGACCTTCCACCTTCCCCAGCTAGATCGTAGGGACTAGCCATTGTCCTTGGTCAGGAGCTCTTGTCTAAAACCGGCAACATAAATAGTGTCCTAGTTAAACGCCGTAATACCGAGACTTTCCCATAGGCCGCCCCTCGCCGTACGCACCGATGAAGTCAACTTCGCAGATCCATGCACCGATGGGGCCCATTGTGGAATGGTTTTGGGCGATGATAAGGACCAATAAACTTGAGAAGCAATCCCAGGGTTGGGAAAATGTAACAAGGGTGTTTCTTAGCTGATTCTCTGCCCGTTAGACCGAGAGAGTCGGGGGCCGAGATGGGGCCAAGGTAGTAGACTCGTGGCTTGTTTATGACTTGATAGTCCACCCCCGCCTCCCCGGCCACAACTCCAACTACCCCAATTACCCCATTGCGAAATTAAACTATCCGATCGTACATGGGGATTCATATTGACATGTTCAGGTGGAGAAGCCCGAGTAGCTATTGTTGTTCGGTATAGTCGGGTGGGACCCCGAGGCCCTTGCCTACCCCGGAGTCTCATCCTCAAATCGCATGGAGCCTTTCTCCCAAATAGTGTTAGGCTGTTTTTCTCCCATCACCAGCTCCTTCTCGACTGATTCGCCTTTAGTATCATTTCTCGTCGATTCACGGTCTGCTCCGGTAACCGGCCCCACCGCTGCTTTGACTGACGGCAACTGAATCGCTTACAAGTTAAGTGCCGGCGATTTCCTTGAGCTTTAGTTATACACAGACCCTTGGCATGTGAAGTTTGTGTTTTCATCATCTAATTATCAGGCATGATCGGCAAGTTCTCATTGTATTGAGGCATCTTCTAAAGCTAGTAAAAGGGCGTTCCTATCTACCCAAGTCCTATTTGGAGGGTTGGCTGGCGTATTCCTCAAAAGCTTCTGAAGCCGTGTTCCTTCCGCATCCGCCACCTCGGAAAAGTCACGGGCTGCTCCAAAGGGATGGTAAGGATAGGGTCTTGAAATCGTCAGTCTCATGAGCAACATGTTTCTATCTAGCGATGATGGGTTGCTAGGACATACCCGTATTCGGGGACAAATGTGATTGGAGAGAATGTTTCCGCCGCGTTCTCAATATATAGATCTATATATCTGCCTCCACATCTCCTCAAAAGAGGATCTCTCAGGTTCAAAGTGTGGATTCGTGGGGTCTGGGCACTGGGAGGATTGTGTCGTGCCCATCCTAGCATGGATATGATGAACCTAGGCATCAAGGTTGAGCATTTCAAAGCAAATCATCAACATCTCCGTAGACTAGATCAGCTTCTATCACTCACATGGGGTATAATGCACCGTAGAAGATCCTTATCCTCTTCACTGGTGGTCAGGAGACGCTCGCATGTCATGACCCAATGAGAAAAGTCTGCAGTAATCCGTAGCCTTCATTATGAGGGCGGGGGTAACCTGGGTTAGGATGAAGAGGTAAAAGGGGGCTTCAGGGAAGGAGGCTGGAGGAACACGACTTACTCGGGAACGTGGTATAAGATCTCGCGCGCTTTGTACGGGTTGAACATGCATCTGTTTCGGTGCGTCTCGTGGCAAACCTTTCCTGCGAGTCCCATCTCTATATCGATGTCGAGCGTTCCCCTGTAAAAGGCCACGCACTCTTCGAGAGACCAGGCATCGCTGTTTGCGCTCAGGTCAGTCGCTCCTAGCCTTGGACAACTTTTCTGTTGGGCAAAGCACATTTTGCCTTTGAAGAGGCCCTCTTCCCTACTTACCATCCCGACTGGGCATTCACCTTGTAGGCTCGAAGAGATTTTGCTAGTTGGAGCTGCTCCTTGTAGATCCGCAAATGGTCATCCGGCTTCAGCCCGTCAGGCCTCGGCCCAAGATATCGCGGCCAGGCTGTATGAATACTAAGAGCCGTCAGTGATGGAGCGAAGTGAAATTTCCTGCGGAAAAGGTCTACGTACAGTACGCTGATCTCGAAGCCGACAAGGTCACACAGCTGACGAAGCAGGTGCAAGTCTTGAAGGCCGGCAATTTCAACTTCTACTCCGACTGCATCATGGCGCCAAGATTGCTATTAGCTCTCGGCTGGATGCCCTTTTGTCTGCCATGGATGTCTCAACGCACGCACACGTCAAATTACTTACAATAACCGAGTTCCTTGAACGTGGGAAACCATGCTTTCCAGTCCTCAAAGTTTGGCCCGGGGCTGATGCCCCAAGTAGATCGGAAGCGCAGCACCTGTGTCATTTCGCAAAGGTAGTCAAGGGACGTGCTGGTGATCTCCAGTACAACTACGGATCTGGGGCATCTTAGCTATTCCTACTTCATATATTCCATCATTTATACATCCAGACAGTCGGAACGAGTGCAGAAGTAGGAATGGAGGATTAATTAGGGCGTTCCAATGCGAAGAACAGATGAAAGGCGAAGAAGGAAAAAGAAAAAAAAAAGAAAAAAAGAAGAAGAAGCAAACGAACACAGAGATGGAATAGAAGGAGGCCATAGCATGGACGGATTGACCAAATACAGCAAAAGCCAGCAAACGTGGCGCGCCCAGAACTACCAGGCCAAGGAAATTCGGGGCCTGCACCAAGTGTTGTCCGGAACCTATGACCAGATCGGGCTATCGTCACAACCATCCCCACCCACACATCTGCCAACGGACTCCCGCATGATGCTAACGGATCGTGTTCGGCAGAAGTGGGGCCGCGGATGATTGCCCGGAATGTATAGCCCTTTCTGGACTGCCCTTTTCAAGGGGCCATGGGGAAAGGTTCAAGCGCCGCTTCGTCAAAGCCAAAGGGGTGTGTATTTTCGCGAATGTTGACGGCATCGGGAAGCTCAGTTGGTTAGAGGCGGGAAGGGCGGGGAATGACGCAGATAAACTTGGGGTCTCGTGGGGTCTTGACTTCTTACCCCGGAACAGATCTGGGACAAGTCTGCCATGCTGGAGACTGAAGTGTGGAGGGAGCAGCGAGCCAGAGGTCGTCAAGCACGACAAAAGGGGAGAAGGTACAGTTTTATATATCCTAAAACCATGAACAACAAGGAAAGCCATCCCCAGATTCCCCAGGTTTTCCATTCCCTTACAACACCTGACGCTGCAGCCACCACCTCATATCGAAAGACCACCCCTACAAGAAAGAGGTTTATTCCAAGACAACATCGAAGACAGCAAGCAACATCCGATCTGTCACGAAAGCTTACAATGAAGGCTGTCAATTACGTTGGCCCTCACAAGGTCAAGGTCGAGGAGGTTGAGAAGCCCCGGCTCGAGCATCCAGACGATGTCATCGTCAAGGTGACCACTGTACGTGACTTTGATAGCCTCGCATAGTTGTCGACGGTGGACTAACTCGCGTTTTCTAGGCAGCAATTTGCGGCTCTGATCTACAGTAAAGCCAGCCCCTCTGCGTTCCATAAACAGGCGTTCACAGACTGACACGCCAGCGCAGCATGTACGAGGAAGGACGGCAGCGGAACCGGGCATCACATTCGGTACGTCGGTGGAGAAGACGGCCCGAGATTTGGGCCGTGCTGAACAAAATTGGCTGCTAACTCGGCGCGAGGCCACGAAAACATGGGCATCGTAGAGGAGGTGGGTGAAGGAGTGAGCTTGTTGAAGACAGGCGATCGCGTCGTCATGCCATTCAACGTGGCCGATGGTCGGTGTCGCAATTGTGAGGAGGGCAAAACTGCGTTTTGTACTGGCGTCAACCCAGGATTTGCTGGTGGTGCTTACGGTACGTATGACTTAGGTGGTGAACGTGGCCGTGGTGTTTACTTACCTTAATCATAAGGTCTAAGCTAACCTACCCCAACTAGGCTACGTCGCCATGGGCCCTTATCGTGGGGGTAGGCTTCTCATCCACCCATTACTACCCCAGTTTCAGAAGCGGAATTGACCCGTCGTAGGCCAAGCGCAGTACATTCGCGTTCCGTACGCCGACTTCAATGCCCTGCTTCTCCCACCCGGAAAAGAGCACGAAACCGATTTTATCATGCTTGCTGACATTTTTCCCACTGGTACGTGCCCCCTTTTGTTTCTTTTTCAAGTGCATTCCCGTCGTCCACAGACCCAGCAGGCTCATTCTCCTACTCTTTTCCGGAATAAAAGGGTGGCACGGCGTAGAGATTTCTGGATTTCAGGCAGGGGAGAGCATTGCCGTGTTCGGCGCCGGTCCCGTCGGCCTGATGGCTGCGTATTCGGCGGTTCTTCGGGGAGCTTGCCGAGTCTATGTGGTTGATCGCGTGCCGGAGAGGCTCGGGGCGGCCGAGAAGATGGGATGCACGCCGGTAGATTTTACCCGGGGCGACCCGGTTGATCAAATCATCGCGCTTAACGGCGGCATGGTGGATCGTTCCGTCGACGCCGTGGGGTACCAGGCCGTCAACTCGGGTGGCACTACGGAGCAGCCCAACATTGTGTTGGAGAACATGATTCGGGTGACTCGGGCCTGCGGTGGGCTTGGGATCCCCGGCCTCTATGTGCCAGCGTGAGTTGCGCCCACCGTATCCTCTTTGCCTTACATGCATCCGCTGGGTATATCACTCACACATGCCCCGACTCCAACAGTGACCCTGGTGCGCCGGATGAGGCATCCAAAAGGGAATGATTAGCCTAAGCTTTGGCAAACTTTTCGAAAAGGTTTCGTGATCCTCCTTCTCCAAACTCAAATTCCTCTTTCCATTCATCCATGTCATTGACGATTTTCATTTTCTCCTTCTCCGTAGGGCCTCTCCATCGGCACTGGGCAGTGCAACGTCAAGTCCTACAACCGCTACCTCCGCGATCTCATTATTGCCGGCCGCGCCAAGCCAAGTTTTGTCGTTTCCCACGAGATCAACATTGACGACGCGGAGATGGCCTACGACAAATTCGCGCGAAGGATTGATGGCTATACAAAGGTCCTCATTCACCCTAATGGTGACTTTTGAGTGTACGGGTCGGGTCGCCTTGTTATTAATGGATCTGGATAAACGAATGAATCAAATGCCAGACTGGAATAACTAGAGTCGCTTAGGGCGCGTCTTCCGACAAAAGCATCAAACATTATCAACCCGCTAGTCTACCCATATATGTAGAAACCAATCGCGACATTTCTTCCCTACCGATGGAGTAAAAATAATACATGTAGTATCCACCTCAAATATGGATCCAGGATTGTCTTGAGCCTCCGCTGAGCCTCCTTGCCTCTCTGCCCCTCAACCCTTGAAGCCCAAGCTACCCCAATTGATATGCGAACGGATGTAGAATAATTCATCGTCATAAAATCCTTCGAGCATTTCGTTGGCCAATAAAACACGCATGTGCTAAATTTATCCACTTTCCGTCAACCCTTGTCAACGCCAATGCAACTTGGAGATGCGGGTATTAGTGAAAGGAGCAAGAAATGGATCCCATTCCATCAATCCCCAAAACGCACAGCAGGCAGCGCTCCTTAGGTAATATTGTGAAGCCAACCCAACCCAGGCCGCTTCGCTTTTTCGAGGGCTTGTGCGCGATGGCAGCACAGCATTCAAAAGCAACGTGCATCGCGGAGCGTCGCATCGTGTGATTGCGAACCAACCCTTTTTTGCCCTCGGACGCGAGGGACCCTTTATTATCATTATTTTCCCAAGATGGAGCCGGCAGGTCTCGCCGTCGGAATCGTGGGGTTGGCGGGGTTGTTCAGCACGTGTCTGGATGTTTTGGACAAAGTCAGCGATTACAAGGAGTTCGACACCGAGTCGCGGGCCTTGGTCGCACAGTTCGAAGCGCGCAAAGAGCTGTTTCGGAAATGGGGCAAGGCCGTGGGGATTGACGAGTACGGCGAGAGAGCGCTGCACCATGCGCCGGAGCTCGACGACCCCGTCACCTCGACCAACGTGGAGAACATTCTCTACTCGATCAAGGACTTCCACGGCAGCTCCGAGGATTTCCTCGCCAACTTGCAAAATCAGGCAACGTCGCCCACCATATCGAAATCCCCAATCAGCTTCCCCAAACCTCGGCTCAATGGCTATCCCGGCGCCTTTCGGGAAATGGCGTCGCGAAGAAACAAGTTGAGCTGGGCGTTGAGAGACAAGGCGAAACACTACGCGGCGCTGCAGCAATTTGGGACTCTCGTCACCCTGCTGCACGAACTAGTGCCGGTCTCAGCTCCCAGCAGCAATGTGCCAGTGGGGAAGCCAACGCGGGATGATGGGTTTCTATCGAGTATGTATCCATTCTCTTCGAATGCAAAGATGAGTTTCAAAGCAGCATGTGTGTCTAAGAAATACCAAACACAACTCCAGGTGACGCCATGCTAGAATCATCCTTGGCATTTGACCTACAACAACTCACCCTGGAATGGGATAAGCAACTTCAGCGTAAGTCGTGGGGACCACTCTACTAATCCGCCTACACCCATCCCTCCATCCATCTATCCATGTTCCAAATCTAGGCCTTGTCCTGTTGCGTCGTCCGTTGCTGATACGACATGGTGTTGCTTGTAGGGAATATGCGAGAGGGGTTGGAGGCCTGGTTGTCTGCGTCCCAGACGACGGACCTCTATGATAGCTGCAAAAGGAGAGGCTCCTAGGAACCTGCGACTGGATTCTCGAGCGCGACTTCTTCCGTGACTGGCAGACGTCCACATTCACCTCGGGAATTGCCAAGATCCTCTGGATCAGTGGGCCGCCGGGATACGGCAAGACCATTCTTAGTACCCGCATCGTCAAGCATTTGTCGGAGCACCTCCAACTTCCGTTTGCCTACTTTTTCTTCTCGTCCGACTTGGTGGAGAGAGAAGACCCATTTACGGTCTTGCGAGGGTGGATTTCGCAAATCATCTCCGTCAACGACGACGCGTTCGCCATCGCGCTAGAACGGCAGTACATTCAGAAGCAGAGGGTGGCCTCTCGAGACGACATCATCAGCCTCTTCACCGCGCTGATCCAAAAGATCCCCGGGTGCACCTTTTAGTGGACGGCCTGGATGAATGCGCCTCCAAGTGGGACTGGAAAGAAGACCAGCAGCGCAACCTATCCCAGTTTATCAAGACCGTCACCCACGCCGTCTCCGGCACCCGGTCGCGTCTGGTCATTGTTAGCCGCGCCGATAGGGATATCGAGAGTGGTTTCGACGCCGCGGAACAAAATGAGAATGCGGGGTTTAGTCTGCATCGATATAAGATCCGTTGGGAGGATGTCGGCCCCGACGTGCTGAAATACTCTCGCAGCGTCGTGGAGGAGAAGTTGGCCACCAAGAACGAATCGCTTAAAGCGGAGCTCTCGGAGAAAATGGTCAACCAGGACGACGCCACCTTTCTCCACGTCAAGCTCCTCAAGGAAGACCTGCGCGACACCAAGAGTCCGAAAAAGCTTCGCGAAGTCGTCGACCGCGCGCCCTCGGGCCTGGACAGGCTGTACGACCGGAACTGGGCCAAGATCATGGAACGGGAGAACGACAAGGCGCAAGCGCTTTCCGTCCTTCGATGGGTGGCCTTTGCCCTGCGACCTATGACGGTGCTGGAAATGACAGAGGCCATGGTTATCGCGGAAGTGGAGGACTCGGAGTTCCCCGAAGACGAGCTGCCCGAGTCCATCTCCGCGGTCTATATCCGAGACGAGATCCTCAACGTCTGCGCCTCCCTAGTCGACGTCCGAGAAACGACGCAAGACATGGGATCGTGGACGCTGCACTTGACGCACTTTTCCGTCAAGCAGTATGTCCTGAGCCACCTGCCCTTACCCGTCGAGAGGCCCATTTCCAACGAGAAGCAGCGCGAAGAGATGCACAACAACGTACTGGCCGAGCACTGCCTGCGATACCTGGAACTCGATGAGCTGTGGGACGAGCCCGAGTCCGCCGCCGAGAAAAGATCGTGGACCCGGAACCTGAGCGATTACGCCACCATGTGGTACCAGCATCTGCGGCCCAGCGCCCCCGAGTGCGACGACGTCAAGGAGGCGTCCAAGCGCTTCTTCCACCCGGACAACGAGAACTGGGAGGGCTGGCGAAAGAGCTTCGACCGGCAGCAGAGCGAATCGTGGCTCAAGAGCTCCTGCGACGGGGACTCGCGGAGCCGCATCTTTACGCCTCGCTCGTCAACTGCGAGGAGATTGTGCTGGAGCTCATCGACGACTTGACGTGGACGTGGATGGCGCGGACGACTCGCGCCGCACTGCCCTCACGGCCGCGTCGTGGAACGGCAACGCCGACCTCGTCTCCGCCTTGCTCGAAAAGGGCGCCGACGTCAATCATCGCGCCCAAGAGGGAAAGCGCCCTCTATCTCGCATCGTCTCACGGCCACGCCAAGGTTGTCAAGCTTCTCCTTGCCAAGGGCGCTGATCCGGCCGCGGCTGCGGATAATGGTCGGACGCCGCTGATTCACGCCGCGGACCACGGCCACCTTGACGTCGTCAAGCTTCTCATCGCCTCTCTCACCCAAAAGGGTGCGGGTGCGGTTGCGGGCGCGGGCGCGGATCTAAACTACGCCGCGGGTACCAGCTGGCCTCCGCTAACCCTGGCCGCCAACAACGGCCACTACGAAATCACCAAGCTTCTCCTGGACAAGGGCGCCAACCCCAACATCATCAGCGGCACGTGGGGCCCGCTAGGTTGCGCCGCTGACAGCGGCCACGCCGAGGTTGTGCGGCTCCTCGTTGAGCGGGGCGCGGAAGTGAATTCGAAAGGCGCGGGCGGTTGGTTCCCCTTGGTTTGCTCCGCTAACAAGGGCCACGAGGGAGTCGTCCGCGTCCTCCTCGATAACGGCGCCGACGTGAACTCGGTGGTCGATGGGTGGAGCGCGCTGGCTTGCGCCGCGGACAGCGGCCACCTCCCCGTCATCCAGCTGCTCCTCGAGAGGGGCGCCGAGGCGGAATCGAGAACTCCCGGAGGGTGGACCCCGTTAATTGCCGCCGCCAACGGGGCCGCACGGCGGTGGTCAAGATCCTCCTGCAGAAAGAGGGCATCGACGTGAATGACGTGACAAAGGCCCACTGGACCGCGCTCACCTGCGCTGCGGACGGCGGCCACCTCGAGATCATGAAGATGCTCATCGAGCACGGTGCCGAGGTCGCCGCTCCCACGTCCGGCGGGTGGACTCCGTTCTACATTGCCGCGCGCGGCGGCTACCTCGAAGCTGCGAAGCTTCTCTTGGAGAATGGCGCCGACATGACCAATACCAACGCCGATGGGTGGAATGCGCTCAGCGCTTCCGCCAACAGCGGTCACCTCGAGGTTGTCCGGTTCCTGCTCGACCAGGGCCTCGACGTGGGCGGGCCCCGGCCACGCGTGGCCCCCGATGAAGAGCGCCGCGGATAGTGGCTACGTCGAAGTCGTGCGCCTGCTTCTCGAGCGGGGCGCGCACCCGACCACCTCCTCCACGTCGGACAAGGTGGAGGGGCCGATGTGGACCCCGTTGAGCTGCGCGTCCAGCGCCGGACACCTCGGGGTCGTCGAGGTGCTCCTCGACGCCGGGGCTGACATGACGGTGACGACGAGTGACGGGTGGGGCCCGTTGAGCCTCGCCGCCCTCAACGGCCATCGTGAAGTCGTGCGGCTGCTTCTCGACAGGGGCGCCGATGTCAACACCTCTCAACCGGACGGAGATACCCCGCTGGGCAGCGCCGCCAAGAAGGGTCACGCGGACACCGTCAAGCTGCTGCTCGAGAGGGGCGCCAGCCCAAACGTGGCCAACATTGGCGGGTGGACCCTCTTGTGCTACACCACCGACGACGGCCACTTCGACATCGTAAAGCTTCTGCTCCAGAGCGGCGTCGACGTGTCCGTCCCCAACGAGGGCGGGTGGACCGCGCTGCACTGTGCCGCAAACAACGGCCACCTCGAGCTCGCTCGGCTGCTCGTGCAAAGCGGCGCGGACGTGGATAGCAAGGATGAGAACGAATGGACCCCCTTCACTGCGCGGCGAGCGGGGACCACCTTGACGTTGTGAATTTTCTTATCGAAAATGGCGCCGACGTGAGTGCCGTAAACGACGCCAATTGGAACTTGCTGCATTCGGCGGCGCTTCTCGGTAACTTTGAGATGGGGGCCGCCCTCCTCGCGCGCGAAAAGGCCCTCGTCAATGTGCTGGACGAGCTGAATAGGAGCCCGGTCGCCATCGCCATGAGGGGGAAACTCGAAGCTCGTCAAGCTCCTCCTCGAAGCGCAGGACTCTAGTGGTGAGGTTGTTGACGCGTATGGGTCGACTTTGATCTCCCTCGCCGCGAGGCACGGCCTATTAGATGTTGTTCAGGAGCTCCTTGACAAGGAGCACGGTGCTCTCGACTTGCCGGATTCTTTCGGAAGGACGCCGCTGTGGTGGGCACGATGGACGGAGAACGAGGAGATAGAGACTCTCCTCCGTGAATTTGCGGATAGCCACGACATTCCCTCTCCGAGCCGGTGCCGTTCAGAGGTAATCGCCACCAAAAGACGACCGAGGAAATCCCTTGTTGGTGCGACGTCTGCTGTATCGACGTGGCGGCAGGCTCGGTGTATTATCAGTGCAACGTTTGCTCCAACGGCGACTTCGCCATGTGCCAGCCCTGTTACTTGTTTGAGGCGCGGTGTACAGAGCCCTATCACGTTCCTTTCAAAGCGCCCGTATCGGACTAGTCGTAGGAACCGGCCTGGGATTGTAGAGAGAATAAACCTAGCTTAAGCTTAGGATAACTTTAAAGCTAAAACTAAGACCCTTCATGGATCAATGGTTCATCACATTCATCTTTCACACAACGTTCCTGTGTCCCCGTTTCATGACTGACGTCCCTTTTCGCTATCCCTCCTCTGAATATGGATCCAAAAGTTGGATTGAAAGGCAAACCATTGGGTTTTGGTTACCCATGGCCGCTCTGTATTAGCAAGGGTAGCGTCGAACCTCGAGAAAAACTGCGAGATGAACTTGAACATTTCGACGACCGCGAGGTTTTTCCCAATACAACCTCTACTGCCCATCCCAAACTAGTATAGCACGAGCAGTTAGCTTGTCACACCTCATAATAGAAGCGTTGATGGTATCCCCAAGCTATCAAAGAAGGCGCCTTGAGCGCGAGTAAGGAAACTTACGGTGGTTAGGTGTGAATTCCACGTCTTGATTCTTTCCTCGTCGTCCGCATCCTTGGGAATCCAGCGCTCAGGCTTCCACTCGTCAGCGTCGGGTCCAAAGATATCTTTCGACCGATTCATTGTCGCGGGACTGATGCCGCAGACCATGCCCTCGGGGATCTGATGCGGCCCAACGAGGAGTCCGCCTTTGGGCACGACACGTGGGAGCTGATACTGAATGGAAGGGTGGAGTCGCGTGCTTTCTTTGATCACTGCCGAAAGGAAGGGAAGCTTAGCCGCCTCGAGGTAGGGTAACCCATCGCTTCTCCCGTCGATGCCAAGCTTCGCATAGGCCTCGTCGAGCTCAGCTTGGAGGCGGCTTATGGACTCGGGGTGCTGCAGAAGTGCGCCCAGAGTGGCTAGAATTCCGATAGTCGTGGTGTCCGCACCCGCACCGAGGATATTCACCCCTTCAATCATGACGTCCTCCTTCTTGACGGGATTCCCCGTCATATCCTTTGCCTCGATGAAATGCTGCAAGAGATCCCTTCGTTTGCCACCCAGCCCGTTCCTATATCGCTCTGCCACTCGGGCATCGAGCCAGTCCAGAAATAAGTTGAAAGCGGAGAGTCGCTTGCCTCCAAACCGTTTGACCAGCCACTGCGCCACGGCGTTGTTGAACCAGAACATTTGAAGCGGCATATTGCCCATATTCGCCATGACCCAGAACCCGTCGTGGATCGACTTGATGATGCCGTCCACGTCGACCCCGCGATCGATAAAGCCTATTGGGCCCCCATGGCGAGGGTCCCCACGACGTCAAAGGCGAAGAAGTTGGCCCAGTCATGCATCGGGACCGGTTTTGCCTCGTCAGCAAACTCGCCCATCTTCTGCCACATGTTTTGAGCGACGTCCTGGATCAGAGGCTCCATTGACAAGATGGTGGTCATGCTATAGGCCGCCGAGACTCGGGATCGGAGGTGCCGGTGCAACTTGATGTCTCGCGCCGCGAAGAAGCTGACTGTCATTTTGGGTATAATCCAGGCATCGTACCATTTGCTCTAAGTCTCGTTAGCCAAGCAAATTGAGACTAGTCCCTATGCCTTCTTTTTCAAGTCCGATGGATGAGGCCAATCTCTCATAATCAGACTTGCCGAGGCTAGAAACTAGACATCACAGGCAAATTTAGAGGGAGTGCGGAATTTACCTTGACGACCTTCTGCCCATGGCCATATAGAGATTTTAATGCCGCCAAATCCACCACGCTTATCTCATCCGGAGCGATACGGACGACATTGCCATACTTTTGGTGGAGAGCGAGGGCATCTTCATGCCACGTACCTCGGAAATACTTGTGATTTCTCCAGGTCTGGCTGCACCTGGCTAACAGCGGGCCAGGAACCTTGCGTAACGGATGGAAGAACAAGTCATATGCCACTGGGAAGAAGAGTAAACAACACACGATTGCTGCCAAGACCGAGGAAGTGTTGGTCAGGTTTGCCGGACCTTCTAAGTCGGGATGAGGCAGCCACGAGGAATTGGAAACCATGTTGCAAAGAGTTCAAAACGTTAGATTCAGGAGTGAATGATGAACATTCGTACAAACAAGAAACAAAACCGGCGAGCTAAATTTTCCATCCATTTCCTTTATAATTGTAAAAGCAGCGAGCACTTCATATCAAGGCTCGAGTCCAAGATCGGGACTTGCTCTCCACGACGCTTAACGTGAGGGCCGCTCACGACGGGTACGCGCCCTTGCTAAATTCTTGAGTGGCGGAACGCCGCTTTCCCCATGGGCACTTGCTCAATATTTGGAACCCGGTGATGAAAACCCGTCCATGCGTTCGGTTGCGAGACCAAGCGTCCGGGGGATCGGCAGCCCGTGTGGGGTTACCTCCGGTGGGGGCGGCATACCCACACACACGAGATCATCTTGGCTTGTGGGGAATATCCCGGCAAGTTTTGTGCATGCACCAGCACCTCACACACTCACACTGTTCGGCATGTCGTGCCCAGTGCATCCATAGATGGTTCGAGGCGACCACTTCTAGGACGATGCCTTGAATGTCGGGTTCTTGCATCGATCAATGCTTTATGATATGCTCAAGAGTTATGGCGTTCGTACAGGCCTTTCAAGGTCAAGGTGCCAAGCAACAAGCAACTTCAATGCCGGCTTACCCCCGCTTTGTCGTCCCCATCACAATTTATCCTACATATTCAGAGTACAATGAAACGGATATCTTTGTGCGTGGGGATTTTGTGCCACTAAGCTAGGATCTTTCCCCATCCCCTTATTACTCTCCCTCGGCCGCCCTTTAAAGCCCAAGTCCGTCATGGTTCTGTTGCTCCAGCCTCGACGGACATCTCAGAACTGAGGCAAGCCCTGCCGGCCTAGGGTCCCAGCTTGACCAGTGGTTGTTTGAAAGAATTCGACCATTTCTCTTCGTCACAAGCCGATTTCTCCCGAATCCGACACAAAGCCTTTATCACCAATGACTCCCATCCAAGTCAACCTTACAGGAAGCCATCATTCATAGCAAAAGAGGCACTGATTATAACTACAAGGCCGTTGTCTTGGTATGTAGACGGTTTGTGCTCTCGACAGACACTAACAAAAAGGGCAACAATCGAGAATTTGAGACCGGATATCGTCTCCTTGCGAGATTGGACCCAGAAACAATAGAAGCGCGATCGTATAGATGGATCTTCTCGGCAGACCCGGTAAAAGGCTACATATGCCTTGCGGGCCAACGACGGATGGTTTTCAGTTTGGAAGCTCAATACTTTAACAAACAATAAAACGGGTACAGGCGAAGAGAGCAAGCATACATGGGCCGATGTGAACCTGAGAGTAGTGGCTTAAAATGATTCGCGGGTTCCTATAATACAACCTATCTATGGTCACAAACAACATGGCAAGGGAGCCCTCTCTTTACATTTGATGTCCATAGATGCTTAAATACCGCCAACACAAGAATACTGGGTCATGAGAGGAACCGAGAACGCCGAGAAAGGACTGGAACCTGCCGCTTCTCTTTCCGCAACTTGTTTCTGTATCAGGACTCTGACAAGGCGGTTCTCAGCTGCCGGCTCCGCAGAATCTAGCAGACCTAGGGAAACTTCTTGGTCCTAACGCGGGGTGCAGGGTTGTTGGCTAGTTGAAATGGGCAGGATCTGGGGCCAACGCTTGGCCGCAATTGTGCTAGTCGTTCTTGCTCGGCCCAATACGCAGGGTCGGAGATCTGGTTACCCCGCAAAATATATGCATTCTGCCTCTGGGGTGTCTGGGGACGTAGGTTTCCATAGAGTCGCAGTCTATCTTCAGACCCGTGGTGTTGGTACGGATGAACCTTGCTGTGAATGTATTTATGGCCAACTTCCCTATAGGTGCAACCTCCCAGCACACATTTCGACACACCCATACCACTCTATATCGTAAACGCTACATGTAGCGCAAGAAATGGCTTCCAGCACAGTCGCAACTGCCCTCTCGCCCGTGATATGCCCCGAGTGCGGCAGCACTTTTACTCGTCTCGAGCACCTACGACGTCATATCTTGATGCGTATGTCCTCCCTCTCCATCGCAGTTTCCCTCCCTTGTGCGAGAACGCCGACTCACATCCACCTTTAGATGGTCCCAGCCGCCCATACCAGTGCGAGTTTTGCTTACAATCATTCGGTCGAAGGTAAGAATCCAACAAATCCTCGCTGGTTTCCTCCTTCCGCCGCACGAGTTCACTCACACTCATACCGTCCATTTCCGCCATAGGGACGTTCTAAAACGTCATTTCCAGGCTTGCAAAGTCCGACTAAAGGACGATCTCGCGATTCCCACCCTTTCCCGCGGCCCAAGAGGCAAAAAAGGACAGCCTGCAACCGTTGCAACAGTCTGAAAAGAGCGTGTAGCTCTACCCAGCCTTGCGAAAGTTGCTTCCGAAGGAATTACGAGTGCACGTATTCAACTTCGTCGAGTGCTACAGACAAAAGAAGCGCGAGAAAAACTAAAAATCCTGCATCCGATGAAGGTTCAAGGGAGGAGAGTGCGCTGCCCAACCCCAACGATGGGATTGATGGTTGGGACACCGATGCTGCCCCAAATGCCGCCAATAGCCAGATTGATTTTGATCTCGAGCTTTTATTCCAACAACAGCTAGACGACGGGTTTGATTGCGACGGTCTCTATTCAAATGCAGTCATTCTAGAGGACAGCGACGACCCGTTTGGCACATTTCCTCCAGATCTGTTCAGTCCATCGCCCACAATAACAACGAATCCAACAACGAGAATCGAGAGGATCCCAATCACATTTCGGTTCATGAAGCGCATGACTCGATTCTCGGGTCTATTAGAATCTTTCGAATGCGGTTCACTAGCGGAGAGACAACAATTACTGGGCCAGAACCCGCCAATGTTTCCTCCGTGGATTCCACCCAGCCTCGCGGAGAAATATGCCTTTGCCTCAGTGTTTGACTCGTCTCAATATGCTCTCGCAGGCGAGGCGGCGGCCTGCGAACCCACATATACCGAATCCATCGTTGCCATTCTCAAAGACGCCACTCTGCACAAAGCCAAGGGAAGTAAAATCAGCATTACGTGGTCCGCCAGCGTTGAGGCCACTTGCTACCACTTCTTCTCTCCCCCGTGCTCGAACGCAATCTCGACTTGTTCTGGTCGTGTTGGAATCCCAACTGTCCCATTATCCACCAGCCAACTTTTTCAATCGCCCGAAGCTGGCCCGGTTTGGTCGCCGCCATGGCTGTTTTGGGCGCCTGCCTATCCCCTCACCACAGCGATCGGGCTTACGCCAGCCTATGGTTCAACAGTCTAGAGGAGGTCATCTTCGAAGATGAGTTTCTTCTCGATGATTCCATTTCAGTGGCGCACGGTACGGAAGCTCGCGGCGAAGCGGCTTATCGAAGGCTAGAGGCGATCCAGGCCGCATACTTGGTCTGCCTGGTCCAGAACTGGGAGGGATCCAAACCGAATAAGCGAAGAATCCGTAGCCAACGGTACCCGACAGTGTTAGCGGTAAGACTCATCTCCTCCTAGACTGGGTGGTCATAGTGGGTGGGGATGAGTGTTGACAGACATTGCTGCAGGCTGCCAGAGACTTTGGCTTGGGGACTGTGACCCGAAGTCAGTTGCAAATCGCGGACGTTGCCGACTTCAAATGGTCTGAGTTCATCTTTTTAGAGATGTTGATACGGTAAGTGGGAGAGCTTGGTGGCAGTAGAGATAGCTCACAACCGTGCCAATATTGAAGGGCATCAGCTAACGAGTGGCCATTCCGCAATGCCCACGTCACAAACATAGAACCGGCACCTATATCTTCCTTCTGGATTTCGCCTTTGTTATATTCCACAACTCCCCGCCCAGGTTGGTAGTGCCAGAGATGCAAATGAGCCTGGCGTGCCCCGACGATTGCTTTCAAGCATCGTCCATGGAAGAATGTTTTGTTCGTCTCCGGGCGTGGACTTACGGCAGGCCATTTCACGACGACCTGACGACGTACGAGGCTGTGGAGATTTTGTGTGGGCCGGAGTCTGTATGGACGGTAGAAAGCAAGAGCGAACGCCTCACTGGGCTGAGTATACTCAATATGTTTACTCTAATCTCAGGTGCGTCCTCCCATAATCGAATATGTCGGGAACAGGGTACTGATTGCCACGCAGCGATGCACTCCCTCATGTTCCACTTCCAGACCTCGCTAGCGTCCCACAGCGAGCTTTCACATATCCAGACGGGGTTGGACCGGTGGATGCGCCTTTGGACTCAATCCGGCCACCAAGACGAATTAAAATGCGGAGATTCTTTCACGGGGAAGGACATGTCGAAACGAGTCGGTTTCATGCGCCACGCCGACGAATTCTGGCTACTCGCCCAGGTTACACTTAACGATATGCGAGACCCTCTAAGGAGGAGGGATATCGTGGGGAAGGCTAGAGTAGCGAGTATTGCCTACGACGAGGCTGATATGGAGCATGTTAGAAATATTGTGTCGGGATTCCAGCATCTGGCTATTGTATAAACCAAGGGATATTCTCTCCGGCAACACCTCTACAAAACTCTTTCTTTGCCGAAATTCTTTTACTTTAACGTTCCGGGGTCTTGTCTCCTTTATATGCCAAAAGCGGCTTTACCTAGCAAGAAGACAAGAGTTCCTCACGTCCACACTCGCCCCGAAATCACTCTCCTGCCACCCACGCATGTAACCATGAGATCGGGTTTAGGGAAGCTGTTGAGCCAAACTGTATCCATGTCGATATGCGCAAAGCGCTGCGTTGGTCATCCAGGAACAAGCCTCCAAGCTGCAGCCCCTTATCATTCACCCGGCGTGTCACCTCTTCATCGGTTTGCCAAACGAGAAAGGGAATTACCGGACCTATATGATCGATGTAAGAGCAGAAGAGGCAAGCTGCGGCCAAGGGGCAGGACCGACCAAATCAAATTATCCCTCCTCGGTAATCCCCAGCTTATGAACAAGGCTGTTTCCAACAGTTGGGGGTCGAGAGGCTGTCGGTTGGAACCTCGACACTACAAGGCAGAATCTCGTGATCATCTTGCTCGAAATTATCAAGGTCTTTACAGCCGAGGAAGACATAGTTCTCACCAAGCTCAAGTTTAATTCGTCTAAGCCCTGAAAAACACTCTCCTGGTCAGTTTCCTCGTTGCGGTGGAACCGGTGAAGCTGACCTTGTCTACATGTACCGTTGAGTGAATGGTAAGAAATGGATCCATGGATAGCTCCAAAGTCTCCGCCCCGGTCGAGCATCTGGCACCTGAAGTATACCTAGATGCAAGACTCCAGACGTTAGCTGGACTAGCTTGAAAGTGGGATATGGGACAAGAGGCGACACTTCTCATGACACGCTGGACGATCACGGGATCGGCAGCGATCCTGCGAAGCAAACTTTGAACAAATCCATGGATGGCTACGAGTATCACAAAGACTCTCGACATTCCGCGTAGATTTTGTCCGTCTGCTGGCCGATAGCGCTAGCTAGCAAGACCTTGGTGTCCAGGAGACTTGCTGCCTGGTGGAGGCATAACTGGTGCTTCGCGACGTTGTCTTCCTTCCAGTCCCGAAAAGCCTTACGAGTGTTTTTAGTCGTTTCGTTCCGGAGAAACGTTGGCGCCCGCTCGGAGTCTCTGTCCTCGAAGCCGGTCGGCCAACATCTCAGCATCGCGCTTGCTCTTATGCCGATATAGCCAGGTTGGTTTTCGTCTTCCCCAGCTCCACGTCATCGCCCCTTCCCTCATGTGACGGTTTGCTCAAAATTAGCTCAAAAATGAAGATTAAAACGAAAAAGAAAAGGGAAGAAGCAAGCGGAAAAAAGAGAAGAGTTCGGCCCTTGCAGTCACGAATATTAATTCAAATTTTTGAGTATTCATGGCACACCAGCTCTCTTTCCCAGCCCCAATTACAAGGCTCATACCAGAAGGCAAGGTATCCGAGATTCTCTTATCCGATCCATTCTATTAAATTCAAGTATTTGTCCCAACCTTATAGGGAACCAAACACCTATTCTCTCTTCCTATCCCGCCCCAACTCTGGCTCCATGCACGACATGGAGGTACCAAGCCAGTTACGCTTCCCAATTCTCGATGCGACGGGCAAAGATTGACCTGGTCGTTCAACAACCTCGCACTGGCCCGTTATTGAACAGAGGGGAAAATATGGGGGTAAAATGCTGTTCGTATTCGCTGCTTGGATCCTTCTAATAGATCCGTTTCTACAGAGGAAATTCTACCTCTTTTATATCTGATATTTCTGGGATATTTTACATGATCCGTCGTCAAATGCCATTCCATTTGGAGGTTAGCTGGACTAGGGTCCGGCCGACTAGCGTCTGGCTGTCAGCTTGACTAGGATATTCCTTATCCAACACCCGTTACCTCCACTACATCCATGTGTAAGCATTCGCATTGATGATAGGTTCCATTCTAAACCCTCTCTCCTATCAGTACTTTCCCACCCAACTCAACTTTCCCGCAGGCATCTCTCCAACGAGAGGAATAAGAATTCCTGGGTCCAAACGGAGGGGCATCTCCACCCCCGGCCCTCCATCTTGGTTCAATGTCGGTTGTTAATATTCGGCCGTATTCAGTGGATGTATGTTATGTAGGCAAATTCCAGTCCGCCTCACTTTGAATCACTTGACTCAGGGGATAAACAAGCCACCGTACCGAAGAGCGGAAGCTTCAGGCCGGAATTTAAACAGATCTATGGCGGCCCAATCGATAGGAGGAGCGCGACAAGGTAAAGGCGGGGAATATTGGATATTCTACCAACGAGAGGATGAGAAATTCCCTCCGGTGAGCATCGTCACCACCACGACCAAAATGGACACCGTCCTCAAGATCTCACCTAGGATACCCAACATCAATAGAGACAAAACGGCACAAACATCCATGCCTCTCTTAACAAGCCTCGTGTGTCCGTCGTGGTTTCTCTGAGCTGATTGGCGCTTGTGGTCCTGGTCAAGTGGCGTTTTCACGTTTTGTTCCAACGGATGTAGGTTGTCTTGTTGGAGGCCCGTAATACAGCCTGGTCAATACCCCTCACAAGCTTCAGTCAGATCAGAACAGGTCAGCCAACCCCTTTCCGCTTGGAGAAACCGCCCTTCCCCTCTTCTTTTATTCTTCCCTGCTTTCCTTCTTTTCTTATTCTTTTACTACTATCGCCACATCCGCCGGTTCATCCCAAAAACCAGTATCCCCATTTGACTCTCATCCCCAATTCCGCTATGGAACCCCGGCATCGTTTAACCCAGAAAGCTATACCGTGGGTTGGATCTGCGCCATCTTACCCGAGTACGTCTGCGCACAAGCTGTCCTCAACGAGACGCATGAAGTGCCTGATGTCTTCGATGACCAAGATAACAACGACTACGCCCTTGGTAAAATCGGGAAACACAACGTCGTCATCGCCACACTACCTGCGGGCGAGTATGGCCTTGTATCCGCAGCATCTGTTGCCAGGGATATGCTACGAAGCTTTCCTAATATCCGAATAGGCTTGATGGTTGGCCTTGGAGGCGGTGCACCTAGCGATCGCCATGACATACGTCTTGGCGATGTCGTCGTCAGCACTCCAGGCGAAGGCGAAGGCGGTGTGTTCCAATATGACTATGGAAGGGACATCCAAGACCAGGATTTTCAGAATATCGCCCACCTGGATAAGCCACCCTTGTCCTTGCGCACAGCGGTAAATGGGCTAAGAGCTCAACACGATATATATGGAAATAACATCAATCAAATAGTAGACGACCTACTAGAAAAGAAACCCCGATTGCGAAAAGTTTATAGCCGTCCAGGCCAAGCTACCGACCAACTCTACGCAAAGTCCAGTCTCCATCCCCCAACGATTACTCCCCTGTACACAACACTGTGGAGATCCTATTCCTCGGCCCGAACGCACCAAGGATGAGGACCCCTCGATACACTATGGTCTAATAGCTTCATCAAATAAATTGATGAAGAATGCTATAGTACGAGATGAGCTGGCTAGTAAGAAGGGAGTACTATGCTTTGAGATGGAAGCAGCGGGGCTTATGAACCACTTCCCCTGCGTTGTTATCCGCGGTATTTGCGACTATTCCGATACCCATAAGAACAAGGACTGGCAGGGGTATGCAGCGATGACTGCTGCTGTATATGCTCAGCAGCTTTTATGTAAACTTCGGCCAAGGAAGGTTGAAGCTGAGAAGAGGATTATTGATATGCTAGATAGAGGTTAGTCCCTATCTCCTACACTAAGAACCTTGACTTCTAATACTTCTGAAGTGACCGAGGCGACAAACAGAGTGGAGTCGAAAGTCGGCGTCGCTATAGCCAAGGTGGGCCATCTAGTCGAGGATGCTCAACAGGATAAAGTCAAGCGGTGGCTCAACCCGCCAGATCCCTCAGTCAATGAGAATGATGCAAAGATTCGCAGACATCCTGGAACTGGTGCCTGGCTTATTAAGAGCGATTTTTTACCAAGTGGCTGACGGGAGAGGTTCAGAAACTTTGGCTCCATGGAATGGCTGGTTGCGGCAAGACCATTCTCTCAACAACGATCCTTGAGCATCTATCAAAGGAGAGAAAAGACGAATTTGTTCTGAAGTTCTTTTTCACTTTCAGTGATACACAAAAACAGACTGAGCAAATGCTGCTGAGCTCATTCATATATCAGTTATACTTACAAGACTTGAAAGCCAAAGAACTGTGCGACACCGAATTCAAGTCACACAAAGATGGAGCAAGTCAACCCACAAAACAATCCCTCTCCATTCTTTTAAATGGGATGGTCCCTAAGTCTAAAACAGTCAACATTCTCTTAGATGCTTTAGATGAATGTACCGAGCAACAACGTGTACTATCTTGGCTAAATGACTTCCCGAAACAGCATCCAAATATTCGCATCGTTGTAACGAGCCGACGTGAGGTAGAAATTGAAGGTATTCTTAAAAGTTGGTCCCATAGGGATTTAATCACCAGCTCGAGAAATTTTATTCACGATGATATCCAAGAGTATGTTCACCACTCACTAAATCGCCACGATGATAGGTTCTATCAAAGATGGGGCTCTCGGCCCGATATGCTAAATGAGATTGAATCATCTATCATTCGGAAAGCAGATGGCATGTAAGTTGCAGTCTCATCATCCCAACCTTTCCTGGTAAATAGGAGAATCCCAGCTTATATGGAGATTATATAGGTTCAGATTGGCTGCATGTCAACTTGATATGTTAAGGGAATGTCGCGATCGTGGCGAGATACGTGAGGCCCTGAAAACACTACCGAAAACGCTCGGTGAGGTGTATTTAAGAGTCTTGGAAGCAATCCCAATGAACTGCCGCCGCTGGGAAACAACGGTCTTGCTTCTACAATTTCTCTGCTACACATCTCAACCATTAAAAATTGAGGAAGCAATTGATATAATAGCAACCGACCCAAGGAGCCTTCGCTTCTCTGCAGAGGATAGGTTGGCAGAAGCCGAGGAACTTCGATCGTCCTGTTCAAGTTTGGTTTCTCTTGCTAGAACAAAGGTGAAAGGAAAAGAGACTCTCTTTTTGCAGCTATCCCACTTCTCTGTTAAAGAATTCTTGACAGAAGGGGACCTGGTCGAGCCGTTTGCCAATCACTTTTCGAGAAAGAAGGCAACAACTGTTTTGACGCGAACCTGCCTGGGCTACCTTTTGTCACTCCCCAAGATGGCGATCTAAACATATTTAGAACAAAGTTCCACTTTTCTCGTCATTCAGCGAGATATTGGACCGACTATGCAAAATCAGCCGATGGCGAGAAAGAGACTCAGAGTGCAATTGTCCAGTTTATGAACCACCAGGTTGCTAGTGACAATTGGACCAAGCTTTTTGATATAAACAATCCTGGGAAGGATAGACCAAATCCTTATACGATCAACTGGCTCTACTTGACATCTTTAATTGGCCTTACAGCCACCACAAAATATCTACTTGAGAAGGGGGCAGATGTGAATGCTCAAGTCCGAGGTGGCCACTATGGTAACGCTGTTCAGACAGCTTCAGCAGGTGACCATGGCGATATCGTCAAGTTACTTATCGAATATGGTGCTGATGTCAACGCTCAAGGTGGCTATTTTGGTAACGCTGTTCAGGTAGCTTCAGAACGTGGCCATGGCGATATCGTCAAGCTACTTATCGAACATGGTGCTGATGTCAACGCTCAAGGTGGCCGCTATGGTAACGCTCTTCTGGCAGCTTCAGCAGGTGACCATGGCGATATCGTCAAGTTACTTATTGAACATGGTGCTGATGTCAACGCTCAAGGTGGCTACTATAGTAACGCTGTTCATGCAGCTTTATTACATGGCTATGGTGATATCGTCAAGCTACTTCTCGAACATGGTGCTGATGCTAACGCTCAAGATGGGAACTATAAAAGCGCTATTCAGGTAGCTTCAGCACGTGGCTATGGTGATATCGTCAAGCTACTTATCGAACATGGTGCTGATGTCAACCCTCGAGGTGGCCACTATGAAAACGCTGTTCATATAGCTTTAAAATGTGGCCATAACGATATCGTCAAGCTACTTATCGAACATGGTGCTGATGTCAACGCTCAAGGTGGCCGCTATGGTAACATTGTTCAGACAGCTTCAGAACGTGGCCATGGCGATATCGTCAAGCTACTTATCGAACATGGTGCTGATGTCAACGCTCAAGGTGGCTATTTTGGTAACGCTATTCAGATAGCTTCAGAACGTGGCCATGGCGATATCGTCAAGCTACTTATTAAACATGGTGCTGATGTCAACGCTCAAGGCGGCCACTATAGTAGCGCTCTTCAGGCAGCTTCAACATATGGTCATGGCGATATCGTCAAGTTACTTATCGACCATGGTGCTGATGTCAACGTTCAAGGTGGCCACTATAAAAGCGCTATTCAGGGAGCTTCAGCACGTGGCTATAGTGATATCGTCAAGCTACTTATCGAACATGGTGCTGATGTCAACGCTCAAGGCGGCCACTATGGTAACGCTCTTCAGGCAGCTTCAGCAGGTGGTCATGGCGATATCGTCAAGTTACTTATCGACCATGGTGCTGATGTCAATGCTCAAGGCGGCTACTATGGTAACGCTCTTCAGGCAGCTTCAGCATGTGGTCGTGGCGATATCGTCAAGCTACTTATTAAACATGGTGCTGATGTCAACGCTCAAGGCGGCCACTATAGTAGCGCTCTTCAGGAAGCTTCAGCAGGTGGTCATGGCGATATCGTCAAGTTACTTATCGACCATGGTGCTGATGTCAATGCTCAAGGTGGCGTATATGGTAACGCTCTTCAGGCAGCTTCAGCATGTGGTCATGGCAATATTGTCAAGCTACTTCTCAAATATGGTGCTGATGTCAAGGCTTAAATTAGTCAGTAGGCAGTTACCTGAAGTAGTGGCCATCATCTTCTTATCCGGGAGATCATTTTCCTACAGAGGTTTCCTTCTTCTCATAGGTTTTGGGTTCATCACCTGGAAAAGTCTCCATGGTTCGAACCGCGGGTGCTACCATCATGTTTACAATGTCTCGATTTTTATACAAGTTACAGCTGCGCTATCGCGATCAAAGGGATTAGCAAAATCTATTATTTGATACATGAAGGGTTACTAAGAAGCATGGGAAAGAAATATGAAGGTTGCAGCGACGGGAAAAGGTTGTGGTACCGCCCAATGCCGTTCCGGAGACCTGCTATCCTCCACTATAAGTATTGAACAGGTGTGACATTGGAGTAACCCGTCTTCATGTTCGTTTCTTAGCCATCCATAATGGAGGGCGTTCTCTGCGAGGACTCTAGGGTTCTTCTAGTTGGCATTCTAGGATCCGTCATCAGGGCTCCCGACCTCAAGCCATTGATCCATTCCTAATGTACAGGAACTTAGACCTGATGATGGTACCACATCTGGGATATGGGTAAGTTCTCCATACCCTTCAGCTGACCCAACCTTTAACCGTTAGTTTATCATTCGTTCCTCGGAAGGTTCAATGGCGCCCTTCCTAGTCCTTCCTACAACGTATGGATGTCGTCAGGCGAATTATCGAACACAGCTGAAAGATGAGATAAACGCGCCGATGAACAGCTCTAGTATATAGCTAGTCACCTCTCTAGATACACACCGCATTTTGCCTTTCCTGCTCTCCGCCGAGAGTGACTCATTTGTGGACAAATTTGTTGAATACTTTTCCAATCTACTAGCAGTAATACTCTGCAGAAGATTTTTATCCCCATGCGGGCCTCCAATCTTCACTCACCCATCAAGAACCTTTTAAGTGTAACCTGGATCTCTCGCAAAGCCTTTAGGTGGCACTCCTTCTGTGCCCGCTTTTGGATTACATTTTCCTTCTCTCCGGAAATAGTCTTGAGGGATTGGACATCTAATGCCTGTATAAGAGCACGGGTTAGGATCCCGTTGGGCAGCTTTTGCACAATGCTGCTCTCCTCGACCAGAGCGTTGACGTAGCCAACAAACGCCAACATGCTCATCTAACATAATCTCGCGGTTAGTTATGAAATGTCCTCCTTTCGTGGGTACTACAACTAGTCCTACCTCATAGTACGTCTCTACATATTCGATGACACGCTTCGCTGCCGACTTGTTACTGGTGCCAGCCCACCGAAGAGGAACCTTTCGCACGTCTGGCTTGATATCCACCGAAGCAGACTTTCCGGTCAAAGTCCCCCGAACCATGTCGGCGAGCTGGCCGGTGATAAACTCGTTGATCACCACTCCACTCTGCGGTAGAAAGGTATTGAGAAGCATATTGCCAACGCCTTGGTACCACCGATCAAAATCACCCAACTTCCCAGCCGCCATCTTTTCATACTCGTCGCGGAGTCTATTAGTAAGGTGATTGGCAAGTACCTGCCCCTGCGGACGGACTCGCCGTATGTCCACGAAGCTATCGTAGAAACCCGAGTTACTGGAACAATGGCATAAGAGGAGCCCCTGAGAATCCCAGTGCTCTCTCTCTCGAGTCTATTCAGCTCCCGGTTGATGATGCGTACCTTCAAGGCCTCGAGAACTTCATTATCGGCACACGAAGCCCCCAGAGCCAACTCGACGAATGTCCTCACGGACTGCCACACGGCTTTAGGGCGGCTCATGGCGATTTCACGCCATTTTGTTGATTGGTACTCAAACAGACCCGTGTATATCCTCTGACTGGGCTCACCCCGTGGCTCTTCGCTACGCCAGTTTTCTATATGTTTATCCAGTCATTCTCCGTGTGCCTCTATAGTGGAACGCGAAGGTTCCTCGTGTGTGTAAAATTCTCGGATTGTCTCCGGGGTCGGAAGGGCCAATCTAGCTGATGGGTCTTCTTGTGGGAGATTGGTGTCGCCATTAAAAAATCATTTCCAGGGGTGGTACAGGATTTTTCGCTGGCTTGATCTACGAGTACCTCCCTCCTGCCATATCTTTGTATGGCCATCGTAAACGCTCTGCACAAGCCCCGCACTTTGGAGCATAACCTCTTATCTTGGCTTTCCTTGTCATGATTTCCAAAGGCGGCGAAGAATGGCCTGCAGTCCAAGCACCTATCCTCCTCCCCTATTAGGTGGTCACGCTTGCAGCCCTCGTTCCTGTAGGAGCCGTCGACAGCCTCCCTGACGAGCCTCTGAAAATGTAGATAGTCTCGTTGGGTCGATTCATTGTGGCGAGGCTGGCTAAGACCGGCTATGGCGTGTTCGGCATCCGCAATTTCCTCGCCATCATCTTCGATCAGACTCGGCAGCTCGGTTATGGTGTGATTCCAGAGGGCGTCCTTCAGCGTCGACCGTAAAGTGCCTACCCCCTTTGATTTTGCGGAATAGCGTTCCACGGCGGGGTGCAGAAAAATTCGTGTTCCTTGTGGTCTCGGGCGTCGGGGATTCGGCTCTTTCCGCACTGGATTGATTCTTTACGGCGTGCCAACCGTATCTATTGGACTCGCCCGCAAACAACTCTCCAGACAAAGCCCGAAGGACCTCTGTGGGGTCCTGTGCTAGGTCTGGATGGGTGAAGACGCCCACGACTCGTTTCGCCAGGGCAGGATCGCCAGAGAGATGCTCCTGGATCATGGCCGGGGCTATATGCGTCGCGTCCTGGGATCGGGCGCTCACAACCAGCAGGACAAGATTTCGCTTGAAGGATATATAGTCCCGGACCATGTCTTTGACTTGCGCGAGACTCTCCTCGCCTTGATCGGCGGTGGTCGACTGGAATAGCCCAGGAGGTCAACCAGACTGAGAACGGGTAGGCCTTTCTCCGACCATTCAATTACCAGGGTATCATCGGAAAAAGCCCCTGCAGTCTGGAATGCTCCGCATGCGTTTTGTTCCCAGACGCGACGCCGATTACCTCCGTTGCTTCGCGAATCAGTTCATGCAAATCTTCGCCCGGCAAGAGTTTTCGTGAGAATCCCCGAAGCCGAGTCTTTTCCTCGTCTGATCGAGAAGCTCTTGGCGTAATGGAGAGTACAGTCCTTTCCTCATCCGTCGTCCGCAGGATAAGTTTGGTCGGGAACCGAGTGCAAAGGTTTTGAGCAACGGGAAAGTGAAAACGGGCAATGGCCTCCAAGACGGAGCTCTTGCCGTTACTCTGGTCTCCGACGACTATGAGCTGGGAGGCTCAATCCCGCGCGTGGTGGTGAGGGCTGAGAGCTGGTCAATCGCGTTGAATAGGTCGACCTGCTTTGCGTCTATGAGGTCCTGTGGGATAGTCCCCATACTTGAGGCAGAACCAAGCCCAAGGCCGGGGCCGAGCATGGGGGCCGGATTAGAACGAAACGAGAACATGTTAGCTGTAGATAGGGATCAAGGCTCTAGATGAAGGCTATAAGTAGAAGAATCAGACACTTGCACTTGAAATTGAGGATGGGTTGGAGTTGATAGTTTCTTTTGCGAGACTGAAGGAGCAGAATCAACGGCTATTTACCAATATAGCTGAGCGATCCCATAGTGTCACGCCTACCCTCGAAGCGAATCATCCTTCAACAACAGCAAACGAGGATTTCTCGTGAATGCCCTTCTTCCCAACACCCTATTGTCGTTATCGCGACTTCGGGCCGCCATATCACCATGAACTAGATAGAACGCCCGACCAGATACTGTCGCACATGTCATGCATAGATCTAGAGAAAACATAGCATCGACCAATCTCCGTCATCCGAGAACCCAAGCGAGAATATCGGGACTCATTCAGGTGGACATTGAAACTTAGCATCGAACCAATCGCGTTTCGGGGGTCGGCGTGGTTTGAGGAGACGTCTTCGACATGGCCTATCAGCCGACAATACGCAACTCACATCACGACGTCAACGGGTGGGCTGGCCTCGTTTGGGCATGGAGGATGAGGCATCTAAGGCTACAGATGAGACTATATACAGAACTTGTAGAGCAGATAAACAGATATATATTTCTCATCAGAGAATCCGCATGTTCCCTCATGGGTGTAGTGGATCCATCCCATTCCACCCCTATCCTACCCGTGATCAAGCACCCAGAATCCACCGCATATCCCTTTTTCTGCCCTCCTCTCTTAGTCGCTATGACTGACTTCACTCCTTTTGATTATCCCCATGGACTCCTACCGCTAGACTCGTCAATAGATCTGTGGCCAGAAGACCCGCAGTACCCTGCCCAAGCGGAAGGCTAGTCGGAAAACTTGCAAGTGGAGATGAGTCTCACTCACGAGTTCGACCAGGGCCAAATCGAGAACAGTGTTCCCATATTGGAGAGCCTTGACACGCAAAACTATCACTTTGAACGCATTAGTTTGCCTCTCACAGGCTCTTCTAGCCTTGACCTGATGCTTGATGCCTCTAGCCTCCCAGTCCCAGGTAGCAGTGGATATATTTCGCAGCCCAACGTTAACGCCTTCAGCTCCGGTCCCGATTCCCATCTCCCAATCACCACCCCAGTTCTCTCGAGTGATTCTGTTTTCCCACTCTTACAGTCAAGTTACGCCCCCAGACTTCAGACTCGCAAGAATTTGCGGTCGCATGGCCGGGCCAGGCCTCTTAATCCAGTGCGAGTGGCTGGCTTCCTCATAACCCAGGACATTCACCCTCGATTGCCGTGATCGACCCTCACGGCCACATGTACACTCCTCCAGAGGCAGCTAGACCATACACGCCAAACTCACCATTGCAGCTACATGCGCCACTCCCTATGCGGGACGTCCCCTTCGCGCGTTCAAAGAAGCCACGGCGAAAAACTAGGTCTCATACGGAGAGCCCTCCAGGGGGCGCCGATACACCCCATTATGACTGGGAGCTATGGAAGGACTGGCTGTTCCACCTCTATATCACCGAAAATCACACCTTGGAAGAACTGTCGTTCGAGATGTCTGCCATGCACGGGTTTTCCCCCTCGTAAGTACCCTACGTCACTGCAGAATATTCCCAGAGATGTTGTTTCTTCTTGTAGCGAATCCATGTCTGATTTTGAATAGCTTAAGCACCTATGCCAAGAAGTTTACGAGTAAGGACTGGGAGAAGTTCCGAAAGGACGCCAGCAAAACGATGGGGAGATTGACACACAAAACCAAACCTCACGGCGCCGACATGCTAAGTCTTTGCCCCCAAGCGATTTTGGGGGAGTTGGGGCTGTTTCTCTCTTTGAGAACGAATGGACCCTCGGGTGCTAGACCGACCATCGAACAGGAACCGTACGTGCAGCAATACAGAATGTTCCACGTAATCGACACCATCCTCAAGGGGGCTTCGGCATGAGGAAAACGGATGGAGTTTCACCGATACCAAATTCAAGGGTGTCGTTGACGACTCGGCAGCATGGCAATTCCTCTCAGATCAATGCTCAGGTTTCGCCATCTCGGCCACCACATCCGTCGCGCCGCGGTCCATTTTCCTGTTCGCCGAGATTCTTACGCAATTGAGAACCCTGGCCGGATCCCCAAAGACATTGCGCGGCCCTTACTTTCTCGTAAGTTTCTGGAAGATGTGCATGGTACTTCACGGAGTCTGGCTTGATGGGGAGATTGGGATTGATGCGTTTTTGTTCCTGCGCACTTTTCTCCTCTGTCTGCAGGAACTGTTTTACACTTGCTGCCGAAATAAGCATGACCCGTTTGTGACGATTGTGGCCTGTCTTTTGGAAATTTTGAAGAATGACTATAACCTCATGTCTAAGCGGGTGCAAGAGGTCGAAACGAAAAAGGCCGAGAGACGAAGGGCCCGGAGAGAAGAGAGAAATTCGCGGGCAGCGGGAACGGTCGGAGAGAAAAAGACGAGGAATAGACAGAACCCAGATGGAAATCGGCGTGAACAGGTTTGTCTCTACCACTTCAAAGCCACCATCGGGCTGGGGTGTTGGAAGACGGCCCACTTGCTCGCCAAGATTGTTGGAGAAGACCACTTGGAGGTGCTTGGACTGGGTGCCTACTGTACAAAGAACTGGGGGAGGTTTTCCCTCGACAAGAGCCGCCTCTCTTCCTGCTATAAATCTCTCATGGACAACCTAGAGGCCAAGCAGAATCCCATGAGCATCGAGCCAAGGATCGCCGTTCTTTACAGCGTCACTCACGCTCTTTCAACTTCCGTGGACCAGACCATGGCTGAGGAAGCAGCCAAGTCGGTGAAGCTGACTCAAAAGTTGTGCGAAGACGAAGCAAAAATGGAACTCTACGCTTCACGTTGACTACGCAGACGTACGCCTTCACTTCCGAACTGTTGGCCGTCCATTACCTTCAATTTAGCAGAAAACATAACGAAGCAGGGAGCAGGGATGTCAATCAGCGAGAGAAGGAGAAAACGGAACAGATAGAGAAAAGGGAGGAATGCTTCAAACTCATGGACACGGCGATAGGCATCCTATGCAAAGGCGATATAACGTGCCAGGTGAAGGCGGCGCACCTATCCAAGCGACTATCCACGTGGCTCCAATCCTACGCCCCGGGAGAGAAGACACCCAAGGACCGGAAAAGCCAGAGGTTCAAGGGCCAAAGGGCCATAGATGAAAAGAAAAGGATGGTGAGGATCTTGTGCGAGATTGACCGGGCATGGTATCGGAAACACCAACGAGTCCGCATCGACGATGTTCAGCCCACGGGGAGAAATGACCGGCGGGGTAGACGAGAAGTCCAGCGCCGTAGGCTTGCGGTCTGCGTTGCCGAGATTACAGGCGCTTGAACTCGTTGACCTGAATGTTCTCTGAGGCTATCAGTAATTGAGGTAAGTCGTCTATTACATCACCCCCGCCTTGCTATCAAGGAACACTTGAGGGAACCAGAGTTTACATAAGGTTCATATCTCGCTTGCAACTCTAAATTTCTAACTCTCTAAACTCTGAAAACTCAGTAAACGTCTTCCACGTATCAATTTACCCCCTCTTCATCTACTCAATTTCGATGTGCTCCTCCGGCCTTGCACTTCTACACCACCGATTCCGCACTGCAGATGATGGCGGCGCCAGTCTCCTCCATCCCCCATATCTCTAATCTAGCCACCTCTGGGGAATCAGAGAACGAAAAGGCGCCCACCATTCGATTCACAGGCGTTGAGGAGCTCTTCCGGGAAATCAATCGCGTATCCGGAGATTTTCTTGTTGTCACACGTTCGTCCCATCGAACTCACCTTCCCTTCAGTCCATCATATACTAATTAGGCAGATGTCTCGCCTCACGACTTTGACCAAATCGATCGTCTAAGATGCCAAGCTCGCCCAAAGGGCCGAAAATTCCGCCTTCGCCGTTATCACGCTGATGCAGGTATCCTCGTTGTCACAATCCCCACCGAGCTTCATGAATCACTCCACATTCAATTATATGAAGGATTCCGCGATCAGCTCGTCGAAAGTGGTAAAAGGTAAATTGGAAAACCATTGGAAGCCCTACTTTTCCTCGACAAGGCCACCCAGGAGGTGACGGTGCTGAGAGCGACTCCAGTGGTGGCCCAGATCCTGAACGCGCTTCCAAGGGCGCCTGGCCAACGCTAGTTATTGAGGCCGGTGTCTCCGAGTCATTGAACGAACTCCATGAAGATATGAGATGGTGGTTTGCGGCTTCAGATCATCAGGTCAAGATCGTACTCCTTACCAAGTTCGACCTAGCACGGAGCGCCATTTTTCTGGAAAGATGGGAGGAAGAATCATGCATTGCTCGTCCTGGCCCAACGACGACGCGGTATGCTACAGCTTCATATCCGGTATTACGGCAGCGCATCGTTATCACACGAGACACTACCACCAACCCGGTATCGTACCTTGTCACTAGCGGTGCATTAATACTCCCGTTCCGGCTTCTCTTCATCCGTGAGCCAGGCTCGGGCGAAGGAGACTTTGTCATTAGTATTCCAGCCCTAGAGTCGTATGCAAGAACGGCCTGGCTCCTTGTTTAAAGCTCCAGTGTAGTATGGTCTACGGAAAGGATCATAAGTCTCTCCGCCTTGGGCATGGGAGTTTCCGAGGAATCAGACGAGGGGTTCAATGATGGATAGTATATAATAATCGTAGCCACAACAAAAAGAACTGAGAAGCCCACGCCCTGGCGAGCCTCCATGCCTTCATTCGTTAACAACCTTGGAACTATTTATGTTCCTGATGTGGTCCCTTGCTTATTGGTCGCTGTTTAGCCAGGCTTCTTCCTTGACTGCTCTGGCTGCCTCTCCCCGGCTTAGGCCGCTTATGGCAGTTTCTTAGGCCGCTTATGGCAGTTTCTTAGGCCGCTTATGGCAGTTTCTTAGGCCGCACATGACCGACGAAGAAAGTTGGGCTAACTGCTTATATAAAGGTGCCCGTTAAAAAGAATGGCACTTTGAAGCAGCCAAGTCTATGATATAAACTCCATCCCGGCCCCCGCACCCCGCACGCTACCTCATAGGAAAGCCGGGGGTGTTTGAGGAACCATATTGGTACGGTTGCCCAACCATCATGCAACAGTTCCAGCACGTTGGAACGCTGGAACGGTATCCCAAATGGAACGGTTCCTTTTTCCTGATTGGTAACAAGGGTTCCAAGGTCCTCAAGGGTTCCATATCCTAACAACGAAGATACCTTTAATAGGAAATAGCCCCTTCATTTAGTGTGATAGCTATCATGCCGTAGATGTAAACCTGTAAAACCTCCACCTGTAGATATGTAAATGAAGGCCCGTAGTTCAATCCAGAGGTAAAACGGAATTTTTCCTATTTTCGTAGATATTGTAAGTTGATGTAAGTTCTGAAAATATCGAGCGTAAAGAGCGGAAGTCACTTTTAGAGGTTCCTTGAGGGTGGAACCGTTCCTCTTGGTGGAACTGTTCCCGACGATGGAACCAGACTTCAACCCAAAAATAACGGTTCCTTTGAAATTGGAACCTTTTCTATTTGGAACCGTCACGGAGCCGTTCCATTGAGGTTCCTTGGACCCCCGGGCTCTACAATTGCTACCTTAATCTTGATTTCGCTGCCGCTAGTATCGTTTCATTATGGAAGTGCTTATCCTCGATAAATTGAAGAACCCCACATTTTTCGAGGTTCCCCCAAGAGAAATGGCAGAGCAGCACCCACTCTTCTGTAACTCATGTTACAACCTATCCTTCTCCTCCGTCGACGGGACTATAGATCCCAATATATCCCTCAATTCCTACATTCTTGAACCTGAGACCAGGGCAGCTATTGAAGCTGATCCCCTGGAGGCGTCAACTCCGATTCCACACTCTGGCGCCTGTCAACTTCATATCCACCTCACTTACCTACAGACTACAGCTGACGATGGATGCGAGACCTGTATAATGATGCGGACCGTTATCGAGCACCTGGGCGGCGGTGCTATTCTATATAGTGATCCAAGCCTGGTAGCAGAGATCACCTTTCGCCGAGGTTTAGTACTTAGGGTCGAAATAACTAGGCTCCACCCAGAGGATGTTGAGGAAGAATTTACTGATGATTTATTTATCTGGGGTCCTCATAAGCCTATAGGCCGAGTAATAGGGGTGATAGGAAAATTTGAGCTCTATACGCTACGTGGTATGTCTCTCCTTTATCTATATCAAGACAACACTATGATACCAACCATTTATTATTAGTTCTGTTGTTAATACCGACCTAGGACTTCCTTGCCCTTGGCCATCTATAGGGTGCTCTATGGCTGAGGAACGATCGAGACTTCGCGGCGACATACTCATTGGTGGCTTCGCTCGACATGTTCCAACAGATTCTACAAGTAGAACAAACTTCGAGTTAATTCAGAAATGGCTAACCGATTGCACGGAGGGCCATGACCTCTGCCAACGACGCCATCAGTATATATCATCACCTCCTAAGCGACTTATTTATATCGGAGATCACTGCGATGATACTATTCGCCTTATCGACACCGCTAGCATTCTTCAGAACGGCAATATACCAGCCTATACTAGTCTCTCTCACTGCTGGGGTCATAGCAACCATTTAACAACTACAAAAGAAAGTCTAAATACTCGAAAGTTGAACATTCTATGGGATACACTTTCCCTTACATTCCAAGATGCAGTCGTCGTTACACGCGAAATTCAGATCCAGTATATTTGGATAGACTCGTTATGCATCATTCAAGACGACCTCCAAGACTGGGTTGATGAGGCTGCTAATATGGCCTCTATCTATGAGGGGCTACCCTTGTACTTGCTGCTACGTCGGCTGCTAATGGTGATACTGGGTTTCTATCTACTAAGAGAGAACCATATCTACAAGTTCAGGGAGAATCCTATGATAACATACCATATAAGTTCTTTGCAAGGAAGACCCGACCTCATGATATATTTAATGCGAAAATCGTCGACCATGATATCGTTGATAATGAAACGATAGTTCGAGATTATCCCCTTTTAGTCGAGCGTGGTGCTACCAAGAACGACTCCTCGCAACGAGGATATTACACTTCACTAAATATGAGATAATCTTCGAGTGTTTATCTGGGATTAATTGCGAGTGTGGTAGACTCCAAGGGTTCGACTACGATAATGTTCAGGACTTACGACGTATTGCAAAGTTGGGAGCACAAATTATCCCCGACTTGATCAAGCGGCGCCATAGGAAAGTGTAAGTAGAAGGCGAGGAATAGCTAAATAATAGTAGTCGCTTACCCTATCTTGTGCTAGGTACCACCAGGACCTCAGTATATTTGGCAAATGGCGTGTTTTGATCGCGCAATATTCACAGAAGCGAATCACGAAAGTATCCGATCGCTTACCGGCGCTGTCTGGAATAGCTCGCATTTGGCCAGGAGAGAATAAAGGCCGATACTTGGCTGGGATCTGGACAGGCGATCTCGTGAGAAATCTCCTCTGGATCTGCAACAGCCCGAATCAGCCAGGCGACACCGAGTATGTTGCACCGAGCTGGAGTTGGGCCAGTAGCTACCGAGGAGTCACTTGGATTAGGACTGATACCGGACCCCATATTGCCGAGAGCTTTATTACTATCGATGATACTATCAGTGCCTACCAGCTCGGCACGACGGATCCATTCGGCGGAGTGAAGGCAGGTTGGCTCCGTCTCAAAGGGCGAGTAGTTCCAGCGACTATTACGCAGGTATCTGAGACCTTTCTTTGGGTACACAGTACAATTCTCGGCTGCCAGAACAGAAGTGGCCAAAAGACGTCGGTGAGGTTCGAGATAGATGATACTGAGCAGTGCAAATCGCTACTTGGCAGAGAAGTGCTATGCCTTAACGTTTGCAGTCGGCCACCCTATCCTAGAGTAGGTGTAGGCTTGCTTCTTGTTCCCGCACAGCCTCAGAGTAAAGACTTGCCTCTAGCAGTTCGGAATAGCCCCATCTTTAGGCGCATTGGTATTTCAGACTTATATCGCTGGGATAACTTAGGGCACAGTGTCATATCTGAGGAAATGATACTCACTCTTGTATGAGAATGGTTATCTACTTTACTACATCTTCTATAAAACTCTCTTGAAACCAGAGCGCTCACTACAGTGGTTCTCGCTTTTGATTCCGGTTCTTTGGTCCATAACAAAATGGATCATTCTTTTCTGGTCCTTTAGCGCCGATTTCTATCCCGCCAGAATATTGGCTGAATAACAAGGAAGACAACCCCGGGCAACAAATCCTTAGCTCTCAGGTCATGCACCTCGGACCAAACGAAGCCATGACTACGGTGGACCAAGGCCGAGCGGCAAAACGCGCTGCCGGAATCCCTGGAGGACGATGCGGGACGCACGTACAGGCCGCCATATAATAACAGGATGGTGTGGACCAGCTTTTATCATGACTACGAAATATATAAAGAGAAATTTGTTTGGAATTTCTTTGACAAAAATACACATGATTGTAATGCGCGGATCCCTGTCTATGATAGTCTTACGATCGGGGCGATGAGTATGAGGCCTGCTCTCCACCCCATATAGTTTAGATTGTGGAAACTTACCTACCTAATGTACAGGGAGCGTTCCCCTGTTCTTTTTGGTCCAACACATTCTTCTGCGGGAGTCCGACGTGGGTCGAAACACGTATTGCACGGCGCGGCTCCGTAGATTGCGTCTTGATTCCCAGGAGGCTATCCAAGCTTTTACGCCTAACGAGAGACACACTCCCTTTGGCCTACACTAGGTTGCAGCCCGATTCTTGTATTACCGTCTTCCTCCTTGTCAATCACGTTGTGCCAGATAACATGAGCTTCTTTTTTCTTATCATCACATTACCAAAAGAGAGCGTGGTGCTGCTCAAGGAACTGGCACGAGAAGTGGGAACCATTCAAAGAGACCATACGCTCGCTCAAGATTGACGAAAAGCACACCTTCTCCGAATTACCATTTAAGATGGCAACATTGAAGTATATATGGCTTCAAAAACGCGCAAGTACATCGCCTCACCATTCGAGACCGAATCCAAACGAAAAACATGGCTGATTCTATGATCAAAGTTTCAACATATCAAAAATTAGGCCAAAAGTGGCCAGAATTCCGGCCAAACAGAAATTGAATAAGGTCTCCTGGTCCTTGCTGCCTGGTGGACCAGGGATGAAGAGGGAGATTGTTTTCCATGGATAAGCTTATGGACCCAGCAATGAGATCCATGATGCTTCCACTTTTCCACCGCTCCGTTGAGAACGGACACTTGCTGCTCACGATGGCTCCAGACTGCCTCCCAAGGTACACCTTTCCCAATTAGAGCTCAGAAGCCAATCAGAAGCACTATTGGGTTAGTGGTAAACTTGGTCGTTGCCATCGTCCGATAGATTCGACCAGCCCCCGGTTCGATTCCGGGATAGTGCATTCGATTCTCTTTTACGCAGCACGTTTAAGGGCCCTTTTCTCTTTTTTTTGTCACGTAGCCCCGAACTTCCAACTTTCCTATGATTGACCAGTCCGTTCCATATCCTAGCGTCCTATCTAGTGTTGGCAAACCGCACACTCTTTTCTTGTGTGGCACTATCTAAAGTAGACAAGGGCAGCTTCAGAGTCCCATAATCCATCTCAAGTTACCAAGGACTTCAGCATCATTGCTGCCCCTGGAGAGAGGGTTTCACAATTATTCGGCGGGCTGAAGAAATCCAGGGAAGCACAGAATTGTGGATCCGTCACTGGAGGCTAGCAGTCTACCCGAAAGATGCGGGTCAACTACGGAACTTCTACTTGTTGCCTACAACGCTCAGTCAAACTCTGCCAAACTCGCGTGATGGCAAGGCGTACCATTCATTCTTCTCTTGGCATTTCTAGCTATCTATGGGGGTAAGACCGCTTCTTTCTGAATTTTGAGCAGGACACGCTTGTACCAAGGCCAGTAGGTGTCTTCTATGTAGCACTTTAATTTTTGAAGCACATAGATGATTTTGTACACGCCAATGATACTTCGAGTCGTGCCAATAGGATAATCACTCCATAGTATCGTTTCCGCTCCGTTGCGCGATGTTGCGGCCAAATACCATGCGTGGCCGCGGACAGAGATGGCGGGAAGAAACGGAAGCTGTCGAAGCAAGCGGTTGCACTCATCATGAGCAGTTTCTGAGGCAGGGTTTGCCTCACCTGGAGCATCAGAATCGGTGCCGATGGCCTGGCTATTACCCGAATCGGAGCTTTGCAGGTTTCTGCCATGCGTGTCCGTCGCGGCGACGCTCAGCAACCTTCCTTCGATCAGCTGCGACCACATGTTCCACTGGGAAACCTGCCATATGGCAAGTTGAAGAGCTTGTCGTTGCTCATCGCCTCCATCCTTCTTTACTTCTATACTAATGGCGATGGGAGTGTCGGAGAGTATGGCTGCGTCAGTGTGGTTGATGGAGCTGCCCGGAAGCTTTTCCCGAAGAGAAGTGATAGCTGCGACTGCTTCAGCCTCGGTCTTGACTTGGTCAGGGCAGCAGACCATACAAAAGTCGACTCTTCGAGACTTGCGTGGTGTCGCGGGCATGTACCGACTGATAATTTTGGCGCTCGTACTTATTCCACATCTCTTGTCAGTCTCGTCCATGATTTATGAAAGCATGGGTTATCAGGGTGTAGGCAAATTTGGAGTATAAGATGTTGATCCTTTTCAAAAGGTATTGGGCTTATAGGAAAGCAAAAAGACCTACCATAAGCGAGAGTCGAGCAATGAAGGCCCCCGTCTCCTACCGCCATGTAAGGAGAGCCGTAGCAGTGGGTGGTGCACCAGAGCATTCCAACCGTCCTCTGTCTGGCCCGTCCGGACGCAATGCTCGGCATCTTCTACTACCGTCATGATATCACTAAGTATCGGTGAGGGACCCAGCCGGTCTCTTTCGCCGGTATCATCAAACATGTATGCAGGTATCCGAGGAAGGGTTCCTTTGCTAGTTTCAGACTCGATCTCGGCCTGTAAGTAAATCATAGAAGACAAAAAAGCTGTTAGTTTTTGCATGCTTTGGTTCAAGGCGATAATAAAGAGCCAGAAGATACAGGCGGAGAACCAACCTTTAAAGACGGTGGAAATATACCAACAGAGCCCATTTCCAGTCCCTCAAGTACTTCAAGCATCGCTTTGAGCTCTGATGGCAAATCCGCCCCTCTCGACAAGGGCCTATTCACGACAGGCTCTTCCCCGAGAGACATCATCACCAATTCCTTAGTTGGTGAAGACTGGCCTGATCGGCAGCTCGCGCCCGATTGATCCGTTGTGAAAGAAGCCTCACTACCCGCCTCATACTCCGATGGTTGCCGTGCCACTCCATACCTCGGTGGTGCCAATATTGAGCGCGCGAGGAGCCGTTGCCGCGAGGGCTGTCGCGGTGTTGCCTCTTCGTCCTCGTGCGCGTCGTGCCGTGTCCGCCTCTTCTTCTTCGGAGTCCGGTCCGTCATGGCTGGTGGAGAGTTGGAAGGCGGAGGCGATATGAAGAAGGCCTCCGGGCAAGGTGAGCTCCGTCGTCGCTTTTTGAGTGAATAGTCGCCGCCTGATACAGAGGCTTTTGTGAAAGAGGGTGCGAGGAATGGTCCTCGATTTGTTCCAGCCACGTTAATATGGCGGCAGTTTGAGCAGTCACGTCAGAGCCCATTACTCGGGATAAATGGCGAAGGCCTGCGGTAAGGCCCCCGAGTTGGGAATTGAATGCAAAGAGTGACCTGCGCTGCGCGGTGGCTGTCGCTGATGAGGTTGATATATGTATCGATGTTCTCTTTGTTGAAAGAGCATCCAAGTATGGTATTTTGTTTATCGTTTTTGGCGGGGTGATGGCGCCGGTTAATCCTCGGATATGGGTTCAATTAGCTCGGAACGCGTGTGGTCGGAATGTGTCAATAATTAACCGAAGGACAGGGCTGAGGAGCTCAAGTACCCTTGGCTCGATGGCTCGTGCATAACTACAAAGGAGCATGTACTTTTCCTGTCCATTTTCGCCAACCAACGAAAAGAGAAGAGTTGCAGAAGCACATCGCTGGACAATTCCGTGCGAAGACCGCCATCCACACGGTTATCCCCACCGAATTCAGCATCGCCGTTGGTCACCAACGGTGTAGGGTGTGGAGCTGTCAAGCACTCATGCTCGTGATTGGATCAAGCACAACGCGACAGTGACCCAAAAGCCGCCGCTAACTCGTCAACGTGAAGCTCAAGCTCAGAATTATCCCTTCACTAACATTGATGACTCTTTGATGTCATCAATGTTCGCATGACGACCGCAAATCACAGGTAGCTCCAGTCCGGAGGAAACAAGGTTGGCCTCGCTGCCTGTTAGATAAAGGAGCGATGTGAAATCCCAAAGCGGAGATCTTTCGACTCACGCTGCCCTTAGAATTGAGGGCGCAACCACGAAAACGAAGCCAACAGCTATAAGTGGAACCCGACGACTAGACCACACTCCTACGTAGTCGAGCTCAGCTAGCGATGAAATTATTTATTTTATTAGTAGTCGACATACGAAAAATCAACAGAGGCTGAGCTCTTCTTGACCAAGTATCATCCCGTATCCCTTCTTTCGTTTCCTTAGGCATCTTCATCTCTGGCCGTGAGAACTCACTCAAGACGCTAAAGGGATATAAGTGACAACCGTATAACCAACGATAGCTAAGAATTACTAGCTACTCTGGGTTACTATGGATACGTCTTTTCATTGACGGGATCTGCATCTCCACTTGCAATAAAGAAATACGATAAAGCCCTTGGCAATCGTCTACAAGACTCAGAAGCTTCTACCAGAATTATACCAGGCCAGAGCGAATGGCTCAGAGCATAGACCCTATCTTCTTCGGGTGCGCAACCCTCGAGTCCCGCATATCAAGGAAGAAGACCTAAAATCTGTCCAATCTGTCCGTCAATAAGCCTATCCGCAGCTTCTTTACTACTTCATGTCCGCCGCCGCATCTAGCAAGGTTTCATGTAGATCTAGAGGAAACGAATTACTTTGCCGGTGAGATTAGCGCCAGACACCTCCAACTCGACGATTTTAAGGCGAATACAATATACACACGGCAATTTTCCCATATTAAGCCCCTAGACCTGGCCAAGGCCTCCCTTGAGAAATAGATCCGGATATGCTTCAATCGGAAGCAAAAGACGGTCACCTTGAAGTGGCAAGCTGGTTTCTTAATGTCAGAGTCCCCAGCGGATGCTACTCTTCGTAAGCCGCGCACAGCTCTTGAAGCAGCACGCGGTCGCCCTTTGGTAGTTGTGTGGCTTCTCCAGGCTGGAGCGAACAAAGTAAACCTTGGACCTCCTGGTTCTTTCACTTTGGCTAAAAATAAAGCTTGGCCGAAGATTATGCGAGGTCATGGGTCCAGGAACGTCGATTCAACCTCACAGGCATAAATACAGCCCAATGAGCCCAAAGTAAGGTGATAAAAAGCATAGGCAGGACCCAGTGAGACTACGGGACCTATACTGCAAGGTATCCACCGATGTAGACTTGGCTATCCTTCTTTAAATTCAAGTCTCCTCTGTAGGAAAGCCTCACGTCAACTATCAGAGGGTTTCAGTATCCCTCGATAATAGCTAAAGATATTTCGACAAACTGATGGCAAAATGAAATGCAATTACGGGGAATTCACTAGGCTAACAAAGGGATATGAACAGAATAACAACTTTGGAAGTCTGCGCCGGCACGGATATACGCTATCAAACAACCTCAGTCTTCCCTTGCTCGCTATCCTTCTTTCGTCTTCAAGTCAAGGGCCCCATACCTACAAATTATGATTAGAATTCACTCATTTTATAGACGGGAGGCGTATCCTAGCATGTGGATAAAAAGGTCAACTTACCAAGAAATGACGATTATTCCCAACACACCCGCAACACAACTAAACACCATAGCGATGTAACCCTTAGTTGTGAAGCCGGCTGGGAGAGCATGGACGGGGGCGTTCTCCCCTGCAAGGTCAAAGACATCTTGAGTGTTTCCAGCGGCATTCCCAGAGGTCGCTATACCAGCTGTCTTACAAACCCTGAGATGATCATCGGGGATCTCCAAGCCTTGGATGGCCTCGGGAGCTTCAATGATGGTTGCGATCAAACCTTGCACCATGTGCCACTCAATATGGCAATGGAAGAGCCAGACACCCGGATTGTCAGATCTATATCGGATCACGAAATTCCCGTTTGGCTGAACAAACAAAGTATCTCGGCGCATGGGGACCTTGGGAAGAGAGATGCCCTCATGGTCGATAAACACGCCAGCCTCTTCTTCTGACCGGTAAACAACCTGAAAGTTATGGCCGTGGAGGTGGAATGGGTGTTTTCCGGGATCCGCATTGTTCAAGACGATTTCGATGACCTGATTGTGCTCCAAAACATGGGATATAGTGTTTGTGCCGTAGACGGACGGATTTGTCGAATTGCCCGAGCCCACGCTGAGGGCGGTGTACAGCGAAGGAACCTTTGGTCCGACATAGGTGAGATCATTAAAGAAGGCGCTTGAAGAGGTGCACAGTCAGCTTCTATCCTCTTTCATCTTTGTTTGAAAGATTGAAGGATGAGGGGAGAAAGGGGGTGGGAGGGGAACTGAGGGAAGGGGGATGTACTAATTAGCCCCGTCGCCAAGGTTGTCCATCTTGACATCAAGCTGGAAAGAGTAATCCACATTCTCAAACAGCTCCTCGCCATCGGTAGGGACAAGTTTAACATCGTCAAATGCGTCTAGTTTGTCGAGCAAGGCGGGCTCAGGAAGTGGCTTGCTTTCATCGTACACTAGCCAGCCGGTAACGTTGGGATTCAGACCCTCGGGTAGGACATCAAAGAGATCCTGATCCATGGCGCCGACTATGGCAAAGTTTTCGCTCGTGTCGTTTTTAGTCGTTAGCAAGACGCTGTACCGCTGGGCAGGCGTCATGTAAATCATATCCGCATCGGCAGCCTCCGTCCACACGCCGTCTACCTCGACGATGCGCATCGTATGGCCTTCAAACCAGATATATTGGGCCGCAAAAGCGCCCATGTTGACCATGTGGATCAAATATGTCTTTCCGGGCTGGACCTTGACCTGGAAATTTTGTGTGTCGTTCATCAGGGCCGAATCCGGAACCGGCTCCGCGCCAGTTGGATTCTTGAAGCTTATAAAATCGGCAATGAGATCCTTCATCGACCTATGGTACCAGTCGGAGAAGGTAATTAACAATTCTTCGTCATATTCGCCCTCATATGGACCCTCGGGGTCATGGATGATGACAGGGCCACGAAGACCTTCGGGATATTGGCCATCATTGTGTGCGTGATACCAGTAGGTTCCCGGTTGGTCAAACTGCGTCTGTGAGCGGTGATCTCGATCGGAACAGAAGTTTCAGACGCCACTAACCTTGAAGTCATAAGTAAAAGATTCGCCTGGCGGGATCGGGCACTGGACTATCCCCGTGGCGCCGTCCATATGATTTGTTCCATTTTGAAAAAGGCCATGGAAATGGAGGCTAGTGCTGGCGTTGCCGAGGTCATTGGTGACGTGAAGAATTAAACGGTCACCAACAGTAGCCTCAATCAGCGGAATAGGCCACTGTCCGTTAACGCCTATTGTTGGGCGGTCATAAAGTCCGTCCGGGTTGGCCGTGACCCAGCCAATGCTGAAGTCGAGTTCTATCGTCTCTGCCGCGATCGGGGCAAGAAGAACAGTAACCGTTATCACAACCTTGGCGACGATGCCATGCCAGAAGAAATCCGAAAATGCCATGACTGGTTGTCCAGATTAGGTTTCCACGGCGCCCTGAGGCCGAGGAGGACGATGGGAGAAGGGGAGTCTGCGCGCAAAGTAGGGATTCTTTGTGAAGAAGCGAAATGCGGGCCAGGCCTCGGGCCAACAAAAAGCTATAACACGCGAAGGGGCAGCATAAATGAATAGTGGGCAGGCCATGTTGATCCATAGACGAGGCGGGTGCTATGTCCTAGGTGTGGCCGGTACCGGCAACCTACCCAAGGGTAGAGGCTCGCGGAGATGCGCGATGGATCCTCGTTATCTTAGCCACGCAGCTAAGCTTTTGCTACCAAGGGGAGGAGAATAGAAAATATCACCTTACACTCACAGACAGGACCCGAATTGAGGGGGTGGAACTGGAACTAGACCATGGTAGCCGCGAGGGAGAGTACGAGCATCGCAAGTGGTGACATTCTCCATTTCCCGTAATCTGCCCACCCTCTTCAATGGGGGATTCAAATAGTACAAGTACAAGTAGGGTAAGGGGGCCACCTATCGAAGAGGAGGGAGATTGATTAGTGACCAAGCTAGCTTGTCAATCTGGTCTGTCACACAAGTCGGAACCTAGTTGCAGATTCGCTTCGTTTCCTCGTTTCGGTGTGGAGGCGGCCAGAAGGACGACTTGCATCCAAGTCAATAAATCCGGAACAGGCAGCCCGTCACACCACGGATTCACGGATCCTCGGCTCTTTGCCGTCTACAAATCATCCGTGCCTCCTTTTATGGTGGTAGCCCCGCTCACATCCGGAAAGAAGGAATACGAAGCTGAAGAAGAACCCATCGTTTTTGCGCCCCAGCAGCGTCCTCCCATGCTCGGGAAAAAAATATCGGCACATGTTCAATGCGACGAGCAGAGCTGTCCACGTGCGGCTGACTTTTGAGCGTCAGGTTTGGCCATGCACGCGGCGAGCCCAATGGCATCTTTTGGGGATCAATTGATAAGTGGTACCATAGAGACGCAGTGGGGTCATGGCTCGAGAGTTTGCTCGCCACTAAAACCACTTGGGAGTAAAATTCATGATCCTATGATCTTATCAATCGCTTCTTGCCCTTCTTCCCCACTCCACACCAGGGGTCTGGACACTCCCGTCCTTGGCACAGATTGGCAGAAAAGCTTAGCTTCGCCCTGTCCCACACCTCTCGGTTCAAACATTTCCTGACCGAGGCCCAATTAGGCTTGGTCCCCTTCAGGCCGGGCGTACGCTGCAACGTTATTGGTTCCTCATCAATTGATGTGCCCATTCGTTTGGTTTAAATTGACCAGGACAGCGCTGCCTCGAACCACCTACCCCACGAGTCTCTGAAGGGTGGGTGTAGGCTGAAAGGGTGGTCTGAGAAGAGCAGAGGGAGACCACCGGCAGTCCGAGCTGGCTTCTTGTGCAGTTGATAACCGAGATGCGCCTGGGCTTTGCGGGGCGAGGGGGCCTTGTTCACCCAGACTCCTGCCGATATCGCCCCAACGAACAAGTCCTTGCGACATGGAACAAGAAAGAAACACGTCCATCCATGGATTGATTCATGGAGAAATTTGTCACTAGGGAGTGCCGTATCGTAATGTATGGATAGATGGACCTATCTCTCTTGCATCCGTAGCTAGCTATTAAGCGGCCAGCGAGCCCCCATCCACCTCTAATGACATTACAACCTCACTCACCACCTTCTTTGTGAAAATTTGGCTACGGGGTGCCTAGTAGCAAACAAGCCCATTTTCTTTTTATCTTGAGATGCCAACTCGCCCTCACTTTTGTTTTTCCTCGAGCCCAACATGACCAAACAAGTATTCTCCGTCCCGGTATTCCTCATCGTCCTTCGGGAGACTATCGAAGCCGCCATCGTCGTGTCCGTCCTCCTCGCTTTCCTTAAGCAGACCCTTGGTGGTCCAAATGGAGATCGAGCTGCGTACAAGAAGCTAGTAAAGCATGTAAGATATATCTCCCCTTCGAAGTTTCAAAAGCGAAAAGGAAAGAGGGGAAAGGGAAAAGACGAGAAAAGTAAGAAATATAGCAGTAGAGGATATGACCCTAATTATTTGGAACTCTCAAGGTATGGATCGGAGCACTGCTCGGATTCCTCCTCTGTCTCATCATCGGCGGTGCCGTCATTGGCACTTTTTATCGCCTGGGTAGGAACGTTTGGGAATCCGCAGAAAACATTTACGAGGGCGTTTTTTACCTTGTTGCCGGCCTCATAATCACAGTCGTGGGCGCTGCTCTACTCCGCATTGGAAAGATGCAAGAGAAATGGCGCTTGAAGCTAGCCAAGGCTCTCGATACGCCAACGCCGTCCACCAACGCCGCGGGCAGGTTCAAACGCTTCACCATGAAGTACTCTCTCTTCCTGCTATCCTTCATCACCGTAAGCAGAGAAGGAATTGAAGGTGTCGTGTTCGTCTCAGGCGTGTCTTTCTCTGCTCCCGCCACGGCCATCCCCCTTCCTGTCGTTGTCGGTCTAATCATTGGCATCTTTATCGGATATCTTTTATACAAGTAAGTCTGTCCCGATCCCGCGCTCGCTTACTATGCTCGTCAATACGCCCCTGACATTTCTCCAAAGGGGAGGTTCTTTAGCCACGCTACGGGTGTTTTTGATCGTCTCCACCTGTCTGCTGTACCTAGTCGCCGCGGGCCTTGTCGCCCGTGCGGTATGGTACTTTGAAGCTGATCGATGGAACAAGATCGTCGGGGGTGACGCTGCCGAGTTGGGCGATGGCCCCGGCTCCTACGACATCCACCGCAGCGTCTGGCACGTAAACGTAAGTCTTGGAGCCAGCAACAACGGGTCCATTCCATCAATTCCATGCCACCTGGCCGTTGTGCACATCACTAACGGCCTTGAGATACATGTAGTGCTGTAGCCCCGAGCTCAACGGCGGAGGCGGATGGGGCATATTTAATGGCATTCTCGGCTGGACAAACTCGGCGACGTATAGCACAATTATCACATACAACATCTACTGGCTCATCGTCATCATCTCGTTTTTGAGTATGGGCTACCTTGATCTCCACGGGCATTGGCCATTGATCGGCCGCAAAACCACGCGCCAGCAAGACTCTGACCAAGAACCGAGCGTTGGGTACGAGGCGACCGCTTCCGGCGGGTTGGGAGGAACGCCGGAGAAAGCTACAAATCATGCATCGATTGAGAGAGAGAGAGAGAGAATAGATAGGAGGTTTCAAGGCTAAGCGAGCCGGCTTGAGGATAGGTAAAGCTTACTATCTCGTGGTTTCCGCGCCCCAAACCTGCAAATTCATAATTAAACAAGACATGCGCTTCCCTCGTCACTGTGGTCTCGGAGTAACAGAATGGTTTGATCAGGAAAGCTTTAAGCATAGATAAGACAGGAAACGGCAATTTAGGAGATACTTCATTCCGAAGCCCTTTATAAATCTGCGTATGACCTGTCGCTACGCAGGTGAGATTTTATTTCCGACATTCGGAGTCGCGGAGACATCTTCCACGCCTTGTCGCCACTTCAATCCTACATGTAGTCTATATGTAGAGAGTGCATGCATATAAGGTAAAACCCCTTTCGACACAATTTAATTTAGATCCAGCCCAAACTACAACCCAAAGAGGTATTTTGCACCCACTCGCAAGCTCTTTCCTCTCTCTACCCGTTTTGTACAAGGCCGCAAACGACAGTATGCTACTTGGACGCAGCAAGAAACCAAACATTTCTAGATAAAGAGCGATCCATGAGAAAAATATGCTTGATGAGTACTCCGATTGGTGAAAGGTTTGATGTCAGCTTTTGTTCGGACGGCTTGGCAGGGAAGAGAGATGAAGCCTGCTGCTATTCAACCATCCAAGGACGGCGATTTAACGTTGATCTCCACATCTCCATGTGCTACATGGAGGTTGCGATGGAGATTGAAAGAAATCAGATTGGACTTTGGATCTGAAGCGGGGTATGTGGGGGCTTTGGCAAATTCTAAGCCAACTAACGAGGGACAAGATCTAGTCACAATTCTCATAGGAGCTGTGAGATCCACAGATTCCTACCTCTCCTCACTTACGAGTGCAATCTAAGAGCGTGATCAGGCATCCATGGATCCATCCATCTAACCCCACTACTTATTAATACACTTTCTGCTCCCCCATCATCACCCTATTCGGGTTTATGGAAAAGAAGCATATGGAACATTGAAGAGAATGGATGGATATGAGGGACTAGAAAAGTTGATTAGATCATCCCAACTCCATCCCTCTCAGTTCGGGAAGTATGACCATGTTAACCAAGTCAAAAACAACCATCGTTGTCGGCATCAACGTCGGATTTCTCGGGGTCGACTCTGCCGACCTTGACTAAATCTAGGCAGACAGATCCATGGATATGTCCTCTACTCCCACCGTACGATATACAAGCCCTCAAAAACTCTTCCAAGAGTTAGACCGGACCCTAGGTGATGCTGTTATCATTACAGGTAGATATATTCTTTGCCTCTCCACCACAGTATATCTACCCAATGCTTCTTTTCATCATATACCAACTATCTAGATGTCTCGCCTAGCCAATTTACCGAGATCTTAAGTGAACGGGAGACCCTCCGGCGTGGATTTCGTTTCCGCAGTTATCATGCCCATTCCGGAGTGCTAGTCGTTACTATCCCCACCCTTCTTCACGAGAAACTACATCTTGGACTGTACGAAATCTACCGGGACCAGCTTTGTCAGAGGTTTATGAGTAGACGATGGGATTCAAAAGGTGCTACAATGTTCCGGGCAACAGACAGTCCCGCTGGAGGAGATGGCGGTGAAGGAGATTCGGGTGGTGGCCCCATCCCGGAGCGCTGGGGGCTGGATAGATGGCCAACCTTGGTGATCGAGGGTGGCTACTCACAATCACTAAACCAGCTACACACTTGCATGAGACGGTGGTTTTCCTTTCAAACCACGAAGTTGAAATTGTTCTCCTTGCCAAATTCAATCGCGGCCAAAGAAAGATCATCCTACAGAAGTGGGAAGAGCAAGGGCGACCTGCTCGAATGGGCGCAACAACCACCAGACGAACCCCGCCCCTCCAGCCAGTGCTGCGGCAAGAAATTGTTATCAGCCGCGATGAGACTACGAATCCGCCATCATACCATGTCGCAAGGGGCGCATTGGTGTTGGGCTTTCGCGCTCTTTTCCTGCGAGATCCTGGCCCCCAGGATGATGATTTTATCATTAGTGTTCCCGACTTGCAGTGGTATTCGGAGCAGGTTTGGAGTGCAGTCTACGACTAAACAGGGGTGACGATGAGGTGATATGGTAGCTTAAGAGACGATGAAGGATTAAGAGTAGAGAACATAAAAGTTATTGTTCAGTTAAAAATAGGGCCCGGCTCCTCGACCTACTCTTTACATGTGAGCTCCAAACACGAACCCATACCTAAAACAAGACAATTCCAAACCTTGATAGCAGCCAGGAAAATGCTACCTACTAATCCCCAGACATTGATAATAAATCTGTGCAACACTCCCTTCTTTCGTATTACGACAGGCTACATATATTGTCCTCGAGGTTTGGGCACTTGAAGCTCAGTATCAGTTGAGAGCAACATCCCGGTGAATCCGCTTCCAGGTCGGTAACAACACCAGTCTTATTCGGAGAAAGTCTTAAAACCCAACAGGTATATTCTTATAATACCGAAAGTTCGAGTTTAGCAGAAATGCTACCACCAGAGTTAACCCAAGAGCAATGACCAGAATATACCCGAAGAGAGAATATCCTCTCGCAGAGTAATCATAGAAGGGGAGACGCACGTTATCCGTTCCCGGGCTGAAGGCGCTTGATTGTGTCTAACTCGTGATTCTGCGAACTCACACTTAACGCTCCCAATACTGACTATGATTTATGCCCTCCGCTTAAGTGTGCCTTTGAGCGCATCCCCTTATAATATATAAGTCAATTTTGCGCGTAGTCCCCAGCAAATATTGAAAAACCCCGTCGAAACCGCTCTCCTGCCACTTCACGAATGTGGAGATGGACTTTTGTTTCTTCTTAGTCGGATATCGCCCGGCATGGTATCGACCTTGCGCTTGGGGACCCGTGAGTTCGATTGGACTAGTATTTCTTTCCTCAATATTAGATCCATCGAGAAGCCTCAGAATTCTCTACTCTTGTAAATCTTGTCTATGACCATGAGTTACATATCCTAACTAGTGGGAATACTAACAGCTTGGTAAAAAGCGTGAAGTTTCCGTGCAGGACTAGATGCCAGCAACCGGAGAGAGACCGTAATGACAGCTCCATCTGCGAACAACTAGTCCTGGTCCAGCCCTAACCATCCACTCTACATTTCACTGGCCAAGAGCACTCTGCGCATCAAAAACGATGTCAGAAAACGACGGCTCGGCGGCGGATGTCTCCCCTAAATCCCACTCCCACCCTCCAGAATCTTGACCTTGTATTCTCTCGAGGACGTCTGCATGGTTTTCATCGTCCATTTTCCACCGGTGCTGGACTTGCAGTCGCCGTGCACATCCCGCCACTGCCCAATCGGCACCCAGTTTCCCATCATACTGTTGGCTTCGAGGTTGTTATCATAGTCGGAAACGGTCTGCTTCTTCCTGCCCTGCCCCTCAACCTTGACAGGTAGACAATTCCGAACGCGAGACAACCATACAGTCACTCTTCGGGCCACGCCGTCCACAAAACGTACACTGGCGAAGGGGAGACTAGCCATGGTGATGAGACTAAAGGTGATGATATAGACATGGAGTTAACCTTAGAAAGTGAAGCGATGGGATGCTGAATTCGCTCGTGTATACATGTAGTCTTGTTATCAGAACGAGTTCGTCACCGATCTTTTTAACGGCCACTTCGAGGGAAACTCAAATCTCGTCCATCCACAGTGTCTCGGCTACTGTCCTCCGCACGCATCCATCCATGGATCCATCCATGGATCTATCTCACTCTGTCCGCAGGCACCCACACGCTCGAGTTCGATCGCACACTTCCTTCATCCTGCAGCCACAACAGTATTACGTATCTTAATCCCTCCACTTTATTTCCTTGACAGAGATGACTTCCTGCTCTCCTTTTGACGATTACCAAGTCGGACAGGTTTTATCCTTGAGTGTCATTCCCGAGCCCAGCAAAACACGCTCGGCCTCAATATTCCATGCGAAAATCCGGCAGCTCCAGAAACCTCGCACGCTTTCTTGCTGCATGATCGTAGACCTTCTCAGCGAAGGTTATCCCGACAATCCAGTATTTCTAAAGCTTTACGACAGGCGCTTCTCAGAGCAACTTCGGCACGATCGTGGAATCGACCCGTGGACGAAAGACGTAGAAAAAGAGTATATCAACGCCGTCCGGACAGGAGCAGCACGCCAATTTCTTCACAATCTCCACACCATCCCCAATTTTGAGGAAAACACTGAGGAGACTTGGGACGACGGACAAAACGAAACATTTCTGACCGACCAAGTTCATAAACTCTTCAACGCTGAGACTACCACATATGATACTCTTCATGACATCCAGGGAAGCTGGTTCCCCGCCTCTTAGCACATGTCTATCTCGACCTCTCACTCCCAAACACTAGCATTGGCCACATCGACTCTACAGAACCATTCTATATTAAGGGAATCTTACTTCAGTACATCGATGGTTTCTCCCTATCAAAGGTGCAAGATCATGCACCTAAATCTGAATGGCAAGGCATCGTCGACCAAGCTGTTGCTATCGTCCAGGTGGTCGGCGACCACAACATCCTTAACAGAGACGTTCGACCTGACAACTTTATAATCGAGCAGAATAGGAGTGGCTCTTATAGGGTGTTTATGATTGACTTTGGTCTAGCTAGATTGCGAGGCCGGGACGAGTCTGACCGCGATTGGGGTAAAGCTAAGCTGAATAGGGACGAGGAGGGAGCGGTTGGGTTGGTGATGAAGAAGCGACTTGCTAGAGAAGGCTTTGAGCTCCGATTCGAGAAGTCCGATAGATATATGGAATGGGCCGGCGGAGATGACGAATAAGTGGATTGATCTGTCCGGTTCAAGTAGGGTAGACTATCGAACTCGAAGGACTTGGGCACGAGGCTGAATGTCGAGGCTATTAATCAACGACGACTCTCCGGAGTGAGATTGCGTTCGAGAGCTAGGGCACTAGGCTTCATTATTACATATACAAATCTATGGATGTCTCATCATCAAAGATATTCGTGTATTGCGTTCCCGCCTGTCTAAAAATACTACCATCAGTAAGTTTAGTCCTTGAGGATACAGGATACGCTAGCCAACAGGATGCGGCCGAGGAGCCAAGGGCTGGTAGCCACATGGCCATCCGAGTGCAAGGTCCAACAGAACATTGCTGATATCGACCTTCCAAGACGATTATGGGACACAAATCACTTTGGGACACTGTTCCCACACCGAGAGTGCCCGAGACCGCAAAGGTGAACTTTGTGAGAAATATATTATGAAGTTGACTATGCCCAAACTTCTTAGCGATCCAAATTTCAGGACATCTTCTATTTTTCAAACCATCCGCTTGCTAACAATTCACCCTTTATTCCATTTCTTTTCGGCCAGACTGATGAATCGATAGAAATTCGTCCGTCCTTCACATACCGTCACGGTCCTTGTTATGACGAGCGGAGTTTCCACATCGCAGACTTGCTGGCCTTCTCCAAGGCCATCCAGGGCCTCACAAGAAAAACCGCTGGATACCGTTGCGGGTACGGTTGCAGGTATGCAGGTCTAGAGTGACGTTGTCTGCCGAGAGACGCTTTTCTCATCAGGTGCAGAATTTCCGCAGATGTTGAAAGAACAGCCTCCAGTGGGTGGAGGCTTCGTCCGGGACGATGCCTTCGACTCCACGAAGAAGAGGCGGATCGACACGACTTTCGAGACGCATCCTTCGCCCGCCGCGAAAAGAGCTCGATTAGAGCAGATGGAGGTGCAACAGCCGAGAGTTAAGAACGAGGAATCAGATCAGGTGGCCAAGGTATATTAACATTTCCTCACTTAGTTAATCGCTAATGCTCGTGCAGACGATCCTCCAGCAGCGAAAGCCTAAACGTCCCTACGCCTCGTTTCTCGAAAACTACGTTAATCCGGACCCTTCCCCGAATCTATTGAAACGCTTATTTCTGAGTGGCTTGAGTCTGTGGAAACAAAATGAGCTCGATTACTATATGGCGAACGTTGATAGTTTCTTGCTTCAGAAGCCCGAAGATTACATCCAGTTCCACAACTACACCCGGAATATCATTGACTGGGAGAAGGACAAGCGGCTAAACGAGATTCGGCGTTCCCTAGACAGCCTTCTGGAAGAGACTAGGCAGAGAACCTCGGAGGTAGCGAAGTCCCGTCCGCCACCGTCTGATGGCTCTGCGACAAGCAGCGGCAAAGCGCAGGTCCTCATCGTCGCGCAAAGAGAGCAGAGCTAATAGTAAGGAAGGGGGAGTGGGGGAGTTGGCAGACCGTCCTGAGACTTGGATGAGACGACTGGACAGTAAGCCTTCAACGGAACTTTTGCACGAGCCGCCAGTCTACATTTCGCGAGGCCGAACGCGCTTCGAGTACGTCGGAGTCGTGACAGGTTAATAATACACGTTAACTGCACTGCTCTTGAGATGCGTTACTCGTCTCTCGCTTGAACTTTCTCTCACGTTAGTTGCGTGTTCCAACACAATCACGTGGGTTCACCCGGCTCTTGAGGCTAGCGGAAGGAGGCCTAAAAAGTTGATCACATATCTATATAGTATTCATTTCTCCTTTAGTTTTGTAGTATTCATATCTTCTTCAGTTTTGTAGAGCATCTCACCTGCAGAGCGCCCCGACTCCGCCCTGGGAATTCATTTGCAAACTGAATTTCATCCCGGTTTATTAGACAACTATCCTTGAGCTCAACAAGCAGCGCATCCTCATTAGGTGTAAACTTAGTATTCTTCGCTGTGTGTCTTCGTTTCATTTCATGTTTCCTACCCTTGCCAACATGTACCCGCTTACGTACCTACCTTCCATGCCCAGTACACGAATCCCACGTAAACTGGAGCTGGAAAACCGTCCTGCTTCACTAGGTTATATGCCCTAGAGCCACGTTCTAGAGTGGCCACTCTTCGTACTTGGCCTGAGAATCCGCCGCGTCCGTGTCCGTGTCCATGTCCGTGTCTGAGGTGTCATCGGAGACAAAGTACGCAGGGGTGCGTCTAGATGGCGTTTCAACTCTGGAGCAGGGTGATGGATTACTTAGTTGAGAAAGATGAGGTACTTTGCGGCGCTTATATGGTGGATGTGGTACGCTATGGTGCGGAGTGTAGTTATCTTTGCTATATGCGTCGTTCTAAGAGGTTGTTGCCTGCGTCTCCCCTCGCTAGCCTCTGCTCCGGAGATATTGCGACGGGAAGACGCGGAAATCTTGCGCTTGAGTAGGAACATAGGTCGGGCGTAAAGGCCATGTTAGCAGTTCCCCCTTAATTTGCGTCTCGTCGTCTCGCTATCTCCAATTGGGTGCTTCGTCGAACCGAGCAATATGGCGCAAGAGAACGGTGCATGAGCGTGAGCCGGGGTTCGATGAGAAAAGGAAGAGGGGAAAGGGGCGAGGATTCCCTTAGCCCATTCTCAGAGCATGGTTATGCTCTCCGTAGCGACCCGTGGCGCTTTCCGCGCAAAACACAGGCAAGTCTAGAAGAGTAGAGTGAATGCAATGAGCCAGAAGATTCGAGGAAATATGTGCGCAGAGAAGCGGGTTCACGAGAGTAAGAAACCTACCAACATCAGGTCCTCAACTCCATCAGTAGAAAGAGGCAATCTCGAGGCGACACTAGCAGGAACAGGAGAAGGGGAAGGGGAATGAGGACCGTGATGAAATGAGTAGGGAGATTAGGGGGAAGAAGAGTGAGGGCGCCGCTTGGACGCTTAGTTTGAGGAGAGAGTGAAGCTTCGTAGGTGTTTGGGGGAAGGAGGAAAGGTAGAGAGTACTAAGCGAGGTGAATCATGAGTGCTGTACTTATATGCGCGACCGGGGCAGATTGACGTTAAGATGTGGCGAGCATAGTAGAGCGAGGACGAGGGCGATAAGAGGGGTTTAACTAATGGGCGGCGCCACAGGATCTTACTAGAGGGTTACAACTGGGAAAACTCTGTTTACTAGGCCCTTCCGCCCTTTATCTTTGCTCTTCAACCAACACTCACCACCCCTCCGCTTTCTCCTTCTCAGTCGCATCATCCTATCCGCCGGGTATCGCCAGAAAAATTCGCTCACGGAGCGATTCTAATGGCTCCACAAGTATTGAAATACAAGAGACCCTAATAGGACTGTACACGGGGAGGATGCCCTTAGGTCGCCTGGAAAAGTCAAGCAAGGGGCGTGGGATCCTGGCGGTGTAGAGATAAATATTCTCGACGTGCATTCTCATAGGATCAGCTGGATTTGCTGTATATAGAACGGAAGCCTATTATAGCTATAAGTAGATGAACACGAGCGTGAGATAGATAGCGTGGAACTGACAGTTATATAAGGCGCCTCTCGGTCATCATGAGCCTGGGCGATAGCGATGAGAAGGGCAGCAATATATGGATTATAATTGTCTCGCCTTAAGCTTTGGTGTTCATGGTATTTCCTGGCGAGGTTCTTCTGGAGGATGATATGCCACTCGTCAGCGTAGGCGAGGAATCGAATCTCCTGGCCACTGCTGTCAAGCTGGGGTAGGACAACGCAGTCAAAGAAGAGTCGACGTCGCTGAAACAAGAGCGCGAGCTTCTCGCTACCAGGGGAGAAACAGGGTTAGCAGCCTTACACACAAACGAAGGAGTGTTATACTTATACCCTGGCTGCGAGCTAGGCGGAGGAGCGGAGAAGAGCCTCGCTATGCCCTTGTGTCGACTGATTGAGTTGGGGGATTGTAAACTATCTCGAACCTTCTGGATATCCCCTCGGTTGTAGCTTGAGGGCCCCCTCGGGCGCGGGAGCGGGCGTCGAGCTTTCAGGGAAGAGGAATCGGAGGAAATCGAGCTGCTCGTCTGTCCAGCGCGCCGGGACTTTGAGGAGTCGCTTGTCGAGCTGGCTTTTCTGGTAACAATCGTGAGACATCCCGATGGCGATGAATGTGCTGGGGGAGGATTATGTCGCAGAAGGTGTGGGAGGGAAAATGGTGGGGAAAGGATATGAATGTGGATGGGTGATGGAAGATGGGGAGAGGAAAAGGTTCCCAGAAGGGGAACCGTTCCGAACGAAATAGGTGTGAGAGGGTCGAACTGATCGGGGGCATCACCAACGGTGGTGCTCCAGGAACGACAAGAGTCTAAAGGACGAGTATGCTGTTATCACAATGCCTCTCTTCTGCGCCATGTCGATCAGCCTAGGCTGATAAGGTAAGGGTGGTACTCGATCTACAGGGCAGAAATCGGCTAGCGGGAGTAGCTATCCAGGTAGTAGGGGAGCTAGGCCACAAAGTTGGAGATGCTAATAGACTTAGCAATCCCTTCATCGACGAGTTATTCAAGGTATCCTAAGTTTCGTGGATGGTGGCCTTGTCTTCCTTAACAGTACCTGCATCATCCTTTCACTAGCCCTACCTATACTGTACTTAACTAGTAGGATCCATAGATATAAAGCTACGGAGCGTCTAATCCTTTAAGATCCTTACTAATTATCAGAACTTAAAATACTAGGTTCTATAATAAGCGATATTCTAGAGGGTGTTATTAATAGTTACCTCTTCTACCCATTACATCAATAGTATACAAACCATTGATTTAGCGTCTTCCTTTCATGCCCCCTTTTCTCCCATACTACCTCTTATTCCTACTCTCTGTACCTCTCTCCTCACATCTTCCACTTTCCCTAGTGGTCATCCTATCAGGACTAACATGTGCGCAAGGGGTATGACGGGGTTTAATGATCAAGCGCTAGCCGCGGTGCGCGGCAACGCGTGGCGATTTCAAGATCGCCATCATCCGTGCCTTCACCCTTTGGGCCAAGGCGATACCGTCAGCATAAACTGGTCATTCGCCGCCTTGAATTAAAGGATGAAGAGAACCGAGAGGAACGACAGAAGTGGCGGGTAGGGCGTCGCCGCCATTTACGACAAGTGACAGCCCGATCTTGTTAGTGGCAATCGACCAGGGAGGTAAAAATAGCTCCTACTCATACCACACACCCCCACAGCTCTACACCCTATTACGAAATACAAACACCACCCTAAAACAAAATCAAAATGAAGAAGTAATAATATAGGGATATTTTAGACTTTTAGCTCTATTTAATAATATTAGATATTTTATAACTTGCTTATTCAATAAGATATATTATATATAATAAACTTTTATAAGTTAAAGTAAGAATAAGATATAATATAATAAATATTATAAAAAGCTATTATAATAATATATTAATAACTATAATAATATAAATAATATAAAATAAAACTTAATAAAAAAAGCTTTAAAGTAGTAAATTATATTAGAAAACTAGCTATTATTAACTTTAGCTTTTTAATATAACCTTTTAAAAATATAATATAAGGGAAAATAACTTTAAAATATAGTTATATATATATAATTAAAACTAAAATATATAACTCTCCTTTTAGATATCTTTTATATATTTTTAAAATATATAATATATAAACTATTATATTATGTCCTCGAAATACACTAAATAGAGTCCTAGAAATAGACTAAATAGAGTCCTCGAAATAGGCCAAAATGAGCAACTTAAATAGGCTAAAATGAGCGCTTGAAATAAGCTAAAAGAAGTATATATAATAAACTAAAAGGAGTGTTTGAAATAGGTAATGTAAAGGGTAAAAGGCTAGATGCCTTAGGCGATGGAAGTAAACGGATGGGCAGGCGCGGAAATACTGTGCTGGCAAAACCACAGATAATCTGCACATAGTCCGAATAGTCAGAGCTACATAGTCCGAATAGTCGGGGCCTTAGCAAAACCCGTACCTTCACAAAGGCGGTCCCACATTCGGCCTGATTCCATGTGTGATTCCTCTGTTCCTAGACAAGATGCCTCGCGATCGCAGTTCTGCTCGCAATGTTAAATTTCTAGACGCCTCTAACCCTAATACAGTCCTTGGCGGTCTAGTACAAAATGGTTCAATCACGGAGAAAAATACTCTCCATTTTCTATCCATCATTCTTATACTAGAGAAACCGATCGAGGTTACTTTGCAGCACACAGGAAGAACCATCTCACGCATTGACGCGCCACTTGAGCCTGGGGTGTATCTTGTAAAATGTGATGGTCAGTCTTTACCCCTGCAAGAATACCTTGCTCAGCTTGCAGTAGACTAATTTTGTATTATAGATGAACTTAAGTTGAGCAACGAGCCTTGGGTCCTACGATTGATATCCCATTCTGTATCTGACCGCGAGGACCGTTTCCGAGATGGCGTTCGCGAGCGCGATGGTCGCTGTGTTATTTCTGGTGTGATCAATCGGGGAGCAATATATCATAGTTGGGATGGATTTGAGGCCACGCATGTCTTCCCTTTAGAGAAAGAGTCTCTATGGATCCAGTTTAACGATAGAAGATGGATTGCGGATATGGATAATACTATGCATGTAGGCAATTCAAAGATCAACTCTATACAAAATGGGATGCTTCTATCATCTCATATCCACAGACTTTTCGACCAATATCTCATATCTGTTAACCCAGATGTAAGTTCCACCTTACCATATAGTCGAAATAGAATATAGCTAATAAACCATAAAGGATGGTCATAAGATTGTAGTATTCAATACTGACTCTTTCGGCTGTGATGGGAGAACGCTGGACCCTGTCTGTCTTAATCCGGATGATCCTCATCGCGTTTCTGACCAACTTCTTCGATGGCATTTTCGCCAAAGCGTTCTAGCCAATATGCGCGGTACAGGAGAGGCTATTTTCGAGCATGATTTCCCACCAGGGACCGATATGGTTAAGGAATTTCAAGAAGGGCCTATAGGAAAAGAGCGGCTTGAACTCGAAATTATTTCCAGGCTAAACAAATGGAAAAACGACACCGAGTCTAGCATATTCGGGAGCGAGTCGCATGTCATCGTCGAATCTTCTAAGGAGAGAAAGGAGTAAGAAGATAGACTTTAATCACATAGGGTACTCTCATCATCCAACTATACTTAAGTTTTATATAGTACCACACCTATAGAGAGTCCTAACTTCATTATAGGAATTTCACTATAAACTATCTATAGATCTTATATATCAGGCTCTAAGTTATCTAAGTCTATATCTTTACTATCTAATAGAACTAAAATAGGATATTACTATATAATATAATAATATAAATAATATATTATCTTTTTATTATTATTAGAGAATTATATTATCTTTTTTATAAATATTTTATATTATTTATTTAAATTAATAATTAATTATAATTATTATTAATATTATTATATTTATTATAATAAAATATTATACTACTTATTTACAGTTAGTTAAACTATCTATAAGTAAGTTAGTAGGTGAGATAGTACTATCTATCTCTTTAGGGTGATCATAGGTAACTTAGTTCTATATATATTATACCTATTTATATTATAATAGAGTAAGGTAGGTATTAGTATATTTAGAGGTAAGTTCTTATCTTTTCTATTTAGGGGATTACTATCCTTTTATATCTTCTACTAGCTAGCTCTTACTTACTAGTATCTAATAGTAATCTCTTCCTTAGGTTACTAGTTATAATAGTGATTACTTACTATTATATTTTACTAGTGATCACTTACTATAGTAGTAGTTCCTTACTTAAATAGGGGTTTACTAGCTATTACTAGTATTTACTACCTAGTAAGTATCTATTAATATAATAATACCTTAGTTTAGTAGGAAATATCTAATATCCTTATTAGGACTCCCTTCCTCTTAGATATCTAGCCTTCCTCTTTTTATTTAATATAGTAAGGTAAATAAGGTATATATTTACTTAAGTAAGATATTATAATAAATATAATTAGTAAGTAATTACTAGTTCTATTTTACCTTTACTAGCTATTTATTTATATATTAGCCTTTATTCCTATCCTATACTCTAGTATACTTTCTAGTAAGTATTCTCTCCCTACTTCTATTCTTTTACTAGTTCTACTACTATACTATATAGCTCCTAGTTCTCCTCCTATAGTTTTTAATATTTATTATATAAGGTAGTAATCTCCTTCTTATACTATAAGAGATTAGTAATATCTATATTATTATCATTTTCCTCTTCTACTAAGGGGATTACTTTTACTATCCTTATATTTAATAACTACTAGAAGAGGGATATAGTAGTTCTATAAGTAGTACTAGGTTTAGTATAAGGTAACTTACTATTTAGGTAGGGGTTAGTATTTAAATATATCTATATAATAGCTTATAGATAAAGAGTCTTTTCCCTTCTCTATATAGCTAGTAAAGTTACTAGTTAATCTAAACTCCTTTATTAGTACTTTCTAATAACTTTTTAATAGTAGTTACTATTTCTTTCCTTTTATTTCTAGTTAATTAGTATATCTAGTAAGGGCTTATTTCCTCTTTATTCTTATCTTTATATAAGTTATTATAGCTATTAAGGTCTATCTCTTCCTTACTAGCTTTAATTATAACTTACTTAATTATATTATCCCTTTTATTATCTTACTTATATATATTTACTACCTTTCTTAGTGATTCCTATATATCCTTAATATACTTCTTTATAGTTAGGTTATTTACCTCCTTTTATATTTATTTATAGGGGTAATAATAGTAACCTACTTATTAGGGAGTATTCCCTAATTTACTATATCTACTTCTTTAAGGTCCTACTAGAATACTAGTAAGAGGTTAAATATATCTTTATATACTTAGAGTATAATAATTATTAATCACTTAACCTTTTTTATTTTTTTCTTATCCTTTTAGGTTTAAGTAATTATAGTTAATTTACCTTATATATTATAGACTATAGGGTTATCTACCTACTTATACTTTAATTAGTATTTCTTATAGAATAATTTAACTATATTTAGGGTATTTCTTTATAATAACCTTTCTTTATAGAGTTCTATAATCTATTCTATAGCTTCCTCTTTAAAGGTATACTTTTTATCCTT